CTGCTGCTGCTGCCGCTGCTGCTGCTGCCGCTGCTGCTGCTGCCGCTGCTGCTGCTGCTGCTGCTGCTGCTGCTGCCGCTGCTACTGCTGCTGCCTACTGCAATCCCCTGTGATTGATAACAACATTGGCTTCTTCCCATGTGCCCACCCTTTGCTTCCTCTTTGTGCATACACTCTCTCCACCCAGCTTGCCTAGACCCAAGAGGCCACAGTCGAGTTAGTGGCCCAGGCTGGTCCTCAGAGGGCAGTCAACCTTTCCCAGCCTTGAACCTAGAAAAGGATGACTCGGTATCTTCCAGGGTCTGAGGTTGCCAGTTCTTGCTGTGGCCTTGGCGGGCAGTGCACTAGGCTATCAGTGATCAGATCTCAAGGAGAGGGTTGGGCTGCTGGGCCACTAAAGAGGTGTATGGCCGGGAGATGTGGGTCTCCCTTCCCTGGCTGCTCTCTGTGTCTCTCAGTTCTGTCTGAGAAGTTCACCCCTCCTTCCTCTGAATACTGAGAGAAACTCAAGAGTGGTCACAGATGGACACAAAGCTCTTTCTCTTGGGCATACCTCTCAGTCACACTGCACTGGTCTCAGGTGCATGGAAGACAGATGTGGAGTTGGGAAGGCAGCCCTTGAGGAGTAGCTCTTTCCCCCTCAGGGGCCCTGAATGAGCTGTGGGGTCCACAGGCCAGACAGCTCCCCCACCACGGTGGGAGAGGATGCCCTGCAGGTGATAGTAAGCCTGCAGAGGGGCAGCCAAGGATGAAGAGGAGAGGGGTAACTGAGGACCCTGGAAATGACAGGAGTCACCAAGCCAGCAGGTGCTTGGCGGGTGAGACTTGAGTAGGTTTGGGTCCACATTAGCTACTGGGACTCTGGTCCATTGGCACACGCCTTGGACTGTTGCTGGCAGAAACTCTGGATTTCTGGGCCTGGCACATCCATGTGGTGCTGTTGTGTACTTGCATGTCTTAGACAGTGTCTGGCAAAGCCTTGTGCCTGTCCCAGGGGGCTCTTTGAGGACCTGCCACAGACTACCTAAGGGACTTGTGTGCACCTCTAGGCCTTTTGTGACTAATCTTTGGACCTCTAGGTGGATCTGTAATACCCCTGGGCTCTTACCTTGGTACTCCCGCAGTTGTTGCCGGTTATGATGAGTTTGTTCCCAATGAAGGAGAGGCCATTGTTCAGACTGACCTGAAGAGAGACTTCCCTAGTGCACAGAAAAGAGAGTAGACAACTGAAAGAGCCCCGGAGACTTGGTTTGCTGAAAGGGTCACACACATCAACCCTCAGTGTAATGATGCTGACACTCTAGCAAAGAGCTCCCTGATAGTGAGTAGGTATGCAGGGAACTTTAATCCCCAAAGCATAACAAGTCAACCTCTCCAGGGATGGTGAAGGCTGCAGATGAGGTCAGAAGAGGACTTCATGTCATATGTCTATAACGGCCACGAGCTAAGGGATCAGGGAGGTATGGAAACATAGGTTTGAACCCTCAAACCCATCACCTCCTCCATCCTGCCCTCAGCAGTGCCTGGACACTATGTATTCCTGAATACTACCAGGGACACTAACAGGGGCCTGTGGAAGGGAAATGGAACCCACATATAGGCAGATAAGTGATTCACAGTAGAGGGTACACCCCAGATTTCCCAAGAATTGGTAAACACCAACCACTGCACTCCGCACTAAGCCTCTGGCAAGGGGCACTTACTCTGATAAACACAAACTACCAGACCTCCCCTAAAGCCTCCAGCAAAGGACACTTACTCTCCAGCTTGCTGTATCCTTGGACCAGGACAGGATATACTTTTGTCATTCATTTCAGTAGGGCCTTCATCTAAAAGAGAATGGCACAAGATTATCAATAGGGGTGTCCTCCCTCCGCTGTCACCCTGTGAAGTGTTCACACTGCTTGATGACTGCCTACATCCCCCTGCCTCTCTTTGTTCAAGGGCACCCACTGAGTCCCAGCACTGCCCACTACTGAACCCAGCAGGCACACACAGCCAAGGGCTCTTGCACCCCAGGGAAGAGAGAACACACACACACACACACACACACACACACACACACACACACACACGACAGTGCAAAAGACAAGAGTGCAGTGTGCTGTAACATGGGTGAGCAGAGAAATGGGTGGGTCATACTGGGGAGAAGACAGATGCTCAGTCACTGGTGACGTATCCCTTCTTTTAGAGATATGATTTCTTATTTTAAAAAAAACAAACATACGCACATGCAATGATACCTTGCCTGGGATTAGCTAAAGATATCCAGTGGTGAGACCGTCAGGCAGCTGCACTGGGTGGGTTGTGAGTTACTGAGCATAGGCCATGGGTGCGTCAAGACCATGGCCAACTCTTGGTACTTTTGGGTTTGGTGCACCATGTGCACCGACACTGATTCTGTGGGAATTGCTGATGTCTGAGCTAGGAGCAGCCAGGAAATGATCTTAGGGCTGGGGACTCTGGGCTAAGCGAGCGGCAAATGGTAAGGCACCTACTACTAGGTTGCTGGAAGCTTGGGCTCTGGGAAGAAGTTTGGACTTTACTGCTAGGGAGATGGGTCTGCCAGGGACTGTGGAGGCTCAAGATAAAGGCAAGATGAAGCGCTGGTGGACTCGGTACAGGGATAGGAAAAAAACGGACCAAGAGTAGCAACCAGGCTTAGACTCAGGAGGTGGGTGGATAGTTGTACTGTTTACTGAACTGGAGAAGGCTCATAAGGGAATAGAGATTCTTCTTTTCCTCCTTTGGGAGCCTGAGAAGAATTCTGTAACTGCGACAGAAGCCACTAATCTTTAACACACATCCCTTTCCTGATCCACTGAGCTGGGGCAAAAGTCAAGGGCTGAGCTGTATTCCCACTTTCTAGGCTTCTAGTTTTCCAATTCTTAGTTTCCCCCTCTGTGTGTTGTTATGAATGGTTTTCCAAAAAGGCTTCCCAGACATCTTCCAGGGTCAGTCTGGAGGCTGCTGTTCTGTCCTACCTGTAGGCACTTCTGGTATTTGACCTTTGGGAAGGGGAGCAGAAGACAGGCTAATCGGATGTGGTAGTCGGGGATGGGTCAGTGCTGTGTCAGTCTCCAGATGCCTTTGGGAGATGGGGGGTTATTCTTTCCTTATGTTCGTACGAAGGCAGGTGGGCCTAGGCATGCCACTTGGTCCTCTGTCCTTTGGTCCATGCTGCCTTTAGCTCCCCAGTGTCCATTGCACACAGTCAGCAAGGACAGAAGGCAAGGCTGACTTAGAGAAATGATTCTGTATGGTAATGTGGACTTCAGGGATGCCAAGGGACTACTTACCAACGATTCTGGAATCACTGAACGTGAATCTGCAAATAACTTGGCTCATGTCTTTCGCATTACTAAACCCACGTCCGCTAATGTTTACTTGGTAGGCTCCTGCAAGAAGAACATTTAAGCATTGGAGTGGAGGAGTTGGGTGCCACGTTCGCTCTGGTCTCACCTTTCATGAAGGGCTACTCCAAAGACAGAATTATCAGGAGCCCTTGTGAAATGACAGCATCCTTATCTGGATGTCACTGAGCATCCATGCTAATGTAACAGGGAGGGGCCTTGCCAAGTTAGGAGTCCTTCTGGGATACCTGAACCAACAAGTTCAAAGCTCATGTGGGAGTCCCAGTCCTGTTCCAAGCTAGGCTAGCTCAGCTAAAACCTTCCTGCTAGGAGGCCTCTGCACTCCTTAATCCACATGGGCACTGTACAGAGGCAGGGCCTTCTTTGCACAGGGTTAGGTACCAGCTTCCTACTTAATTGCCTGTGGTACCACTGAGCATGAAGAATATCAGTTCTTTCCTATGTTTATGGTATATGAATAGAGACCCCAAGAATAAGGGCTGGGGCATAAGGAAGTGTGTCCAGTCCCTGACCCACCCAAGAGAGTCCCTCATAGGAGATGGCCCTCTTAGATCCAGGTCCCGAGGCCAACACATCCTTCTACATCTTCACTCATCCTGCCAATCACTCTGAGGTTTAGCAAGGTCTTTGCGAGGATGGCTGGGTGGGTGATTGCACAGACTGGATTCCTCTACCTTTTCCTCATTTGCCTGCATAGCTGCTTCAGGGGCCCAAGGACAGTTCATTCCTGCAGCCCTTGTATTTCAGATGCCTCAGGGTGGTAGATCAAGGACCCTCCTCAGGCTCCATAGCACTTGAGATGACCCAGCACCACCTCAAGCAAACAGCCAATTCTGTTGTGTTTGGAGTCCTGTCTTCTGCCTTGGGTTTCCCTGAAATTGACCGGTATTCTCATGCGAGAGCTTGACACAAAATGGCCAGCACTTTAGCAGATCAGAGGCTGAGCAGATGGACATCTGGAAGCACCTGTTGCCTCCATTCAGCTTCAGGCAGGAAAAAGTGACAAACTGATGCTTTCATCTGGGGATTGTCACAGCTTTCCAGACACCAAGACCTGTGAGCTCCAGGGCAGTCAGAGGCAGGCTATACTGCTGGCCTTTTTATTTTTTATCCCAGAAGCAGAGGTCTTTTCTACCTGCATCTTATGGCATTGCAGATTCCTCACTTGTCCATAAAACAGGCAGGGGCAGGGGCAGCCCGGAGCCAATGACTAGGATGGAAACATCAGGGCTAGCTTCTGTCTTTAACACCTGAGAGCCTTCAGATGCTGCCTGTCCTCACACCTTCCGTTGTCTCTATATCTCACAACGTAGTTCTGTGTACTGGAGCTCCCACATACATGGTCCTCTGGCTTACATTGGTGTTGAGGGTGGCACAACCCCCAAGCAAGCTTAGTCTTGTCTTCTCAGGCCTGGAAACTTGGGCTCCCATTGAAGAACATGAAGGTCAGGACTCAGCTGCCTGAGCTAGAAGGCATAGGAAGAGCTGAACTGTCCACAGTGGTAAAAGGAGACTTAGGGCTCCCTGCCTCTCTCTCTTCTGCAGGACACCAGATCCAGCAGTATGGGGCCAAGTCTGCATGCAAGTACTGACAAAGGCATACTTCCTCTAGAAACAAACACATGCGTGTTCTTGGCACACAGATGCAGGGATCTGGGGATGGACAGAGGTCATCTTTGTCATTTCTGGTCCTGGAGGTCAGGTTTTGGCCATGACAATGCCGGAGTGCAGTAAGCATTCCTCTTTGTGCGTGTTTTTGCCAGGTACTGGGGGTTTCCTTGATTCCAGGAGCAATGTAGATGCCCACTGTGCCCAATGGTTTGTTCACCCGTCGATACGATCACCTTGTTACTGACTGCATCTTGTAAAAGTGGAAACTGCACACGGATTTCCTCTTTGGCAGCTCCTGGTCTTTCTAGCAAAGCCAGTGTTCTGAATGTGTTGGTGGTTCCATCCCATTTTCCAGGGTTTCCTTGAGAATTTCAAAAATACCTTCTTCTTAGCCTTATGACACCTTCTGTTTGAGATAAATAGGCAGTATTCGCACATAATGTGATGTATGTACAAATCACAGAATATACCTTTCAAATGTAGATCATACTATACCCAAACCATAGTCACCTCATGCATGCTCATCTCCCACATATACTGCAATACACACAGTACCTTCAGAGGAGCACATACACCATATGAACATATTTTATACACTGTGTAACACAAATATTAACTATAATATATATTATGTACTGCATACACATGCATACTGCCTATGGCATTTACAGCCATAAAACACAAGCGCACAAATATCATGCGTCTTTAGAAATACTACATTATTTAATCACCAATATCACAACTCTCTCTCTCTCTCTCTCTCTCTCACACACACACACACACACACACACACACACACACACATACTTCAAGCTGTTTAGTACCACACATATACTCATAAATGGACGTGCTCCATGTTCTACATAAAACAGCACACATGATTTATTCCACACTCACAGTTGAAAACATGCACTACAGATATCATATGTACTATTCTCATATAGCAGACAACATCAATGCATGCCATAAATCCCTTAAATATATACTAGACACCACATGCCACATAAAAATTCAGACATGTAGTACATGTCATAGCAAACACATCACGTGTTACATACACATTATATACCCTTCCACACCACATTACATTACAGCACAGAACATCCCAACATACATAGAACAATCATCACTTTCTCCTCCCAAGCCTATTTGAGCCATTTGTTCCACAGGCCTTCCACAACCCATATCATATTACATATACCATACACATACACACTGCTCATATACATCCATCAAAAGCACACTTACCACACACAACATATCTCTGCAAGACAGACTACAAACACTATCTATACCACAAGATACCATATGTATTCACTTCCCCAAATATCAAACCACACACATACCCTTCTTCCATAATATTCTCCTAAATTTTCCCAATGTAGAGGGGACAAGATATACTACATACATACATACATACATACCTTACCTACAAAACATACAAATCACACACAGAACATATAATTTATACAAAAAAACTCCAACTCAGTTTTCCAAACTTATACTACACAAAATATCACACCTACACATTCATCCATCATATATACCCACATGCATGCCACATGTCATAAACATATCACATACACACAAACCACATTTCCTATCTACATACATTTCTACATAGAAACACATGTGCACAAACCATACATCAGCCATACACAAGTTAATCACCTTTTTCATTCATTGTAACAAAATGTCTCATTAAAGCAGCTTAAGAAAGAAGGGCTTATTTTGACTGACAGTTCAAGAGTACAGACCTCGGAAGTCCAGCATGCTGGAGCTTGTATTGGCACCACTGGATCCAAAGGACTTGTGTAGCCCTGCCCTTCTGGCTCTGATTCCTTCAGCACACATAACCTCTCTTTGGCTAGCCCCACAGCGTGCCTGTAGCTTTCTTTAGTGAATGCTCCATGGTTCTAGAATTCCTAACATGCTGGGGTCTCCACTGCAACATAGGCTTCAATTTCACAGCTTTAAGCAAACGGCTCTAAGGAGCTCTCTCTGACTCTGCTACACATTGGTGGCCCAAAGAGCTCTCTCCAGTCTCTGTTACCCCCTGAATATTGCATCTTGTGTGTCTACAAAACCAGTGCCACATGAATGACACTGCCAAGTTCTGCTGTCAGCTTGGGAGGGCGCTGGTCCCCGTATGACAAAGCTGTCGTGGTAATTATATGTCTTGATTTCTGACTCTGAGAAACCACTTTCCTAGAATGTTACTTTTGAACTGGAAATCCCTTCTGAGTTCAGGCTCTTTCTTTTCAAATAATTTTGCATTTTCAAAGAATAGACCAGTTTATAAGTATGAATCTTGCCCTCAGGGACATTTCTGACTGTCCTTGTTCTGAGCAGGAGATTTCTCTTGAATGATGCTAAGGACTTTAAATAACTACAGGTGCTTTCTCAATTCTAGTCTGGTTTGCAACCTTAAAATTCACTCCTTTTCTCCAGTCAAATAGCACATTTTTTTTTCATATCCTTTTTGCTTCTCTGGCTCTCTTCACCGTAGACCTGGTTAGCAGTGAGCAGTAACCATGACACACCCTGAGTATTATTATGTTTTGAGATTTTTTTTTCTGTCAAATAAATATTCCTTTAAGTTTGAATTCAGCTTCACTCGAGTTCTCAGGACACAAACACAATACAGCCAAATTTCCAGCCAGACTATGATGTTGAATGGCCTCTATCCAGGCTCCCAACAGAGTCTTTAAGGGTCTCTATTGTCTGTGTTTCTCCTGGCATTCTGGTCTTCCAACCTTCCATTAGAATGACCCACTGTGCTGGGCAGTAGTGGTACATGACTTTAATCCCAGCACTCTGGAGGCAGAGACAGGTAGATCTCTGTGAGTTTGAGGCCAACCTGGTCTACAAGAGCTAGTTCCGGGACAGCGAAGGCTGTTGCACACAGAAATCCTGTCTTGAAAAACAAAAACAAAAACAAACAAAACAAAAATGATTCACTAAGCTTTTCTTAGAGAATTCTTGGGCTTTTCTGTGTCAGTTTTCCAGACTTTCCCACAATTTTCTTCTACAAGCTGTTTTCAAAGGCTTGAGAACTACACAGTCAGAATTGAGCAACAATATCACTCCTGATACCAGTTTCCTGTATCAGAGACAGCGAAATCCCAGACCAAACAAGCTTAAGTTTACAGTTTTAGTTCACAGATCGAGAATACAATCCATCACGTATGGGAGAAAGTTCACGGTGGCAGGAATGTGAGGCCTTTGGTCATATCGAATCCACAGTCACGAAGAATGTACACGCCAGTGCTCAGCTCACTCTCCTCTTCTCCAACTACTCAGCTTGGGACCACAGGACGTTGGATGCTGCTGTCTGTGTTTGGAATACTGTCTCCACTCGAGAAACTCCCTCCCAGTCACGCAAAGGGGTTTGTCTTCTAGGTAATTCCAGATCACGTCAAGGTGATGATCACTATCAATACTACCACAATACATATATCACATGCACCATATATCATATATACCTGTGCAAACGTACACACCCTCTTGAGTTATACCATTTGCCCATGTCTGTGACCCCTCAGCTCTTACCTTTTATACACACATAGGAAGGCTGCACGGATAACACTTCAATACATGACTTGGCAGCAAGCTGAGAGAGAGAGAGGAGAGAGAGAGAGAGAGAGAGAGAGAGAGAGAGAGAGAGAGAGAGAAATGGGCAGTTTAGTAAGCCTTAGGGAATGCAGACAGGGTTCCCCAGTGTCCCACATCCCACTTGCTCACTGTGTCAATGATGCTCTGCAGAGCAGAGAACCCTTTTGTGACCGCGAAACTGTGACTTGGGCTGTCTGCAATCTCCATCATCTATGATAGGAGAAAACTCACCGGTTAGAACCTCAGAGCCAGAAACCAGAAGCCTGATGCAACAGGTTCCCAGACCTGGGGCAGTTACTGTTGCCCTAAGCCCATGGTGACAGGAGGGTGTCAGGCACACACTGACTTTCATTCAAAGCCCAAGCTTCGGGAATGGGAAGCTCTCCTGCCCACTCTATGAAGGGGGTTGGCTTACTCAACTATGTGAGCTACCCTTTTGCAGTGGATAATTCTAGACACAGCACCTTGGGTGGGCCAGAGTTTGGCTCTCCTGGCACTGTAAAGATGCCTTTACAATCTTGCTCTAATAGGCTCTACGGGGGCACTTGGTCACCTGGTCTGAAGTACCTGTACTTTGTCATACATATGCACACCCACGGTGAAAATGGTGGCTCCGAGTTCTCGAGCTTTTTTGGCCTAAAAGAAAGAATATGCTAAAACGTACAGCTCTAAATATCAGAGGCAAAGGGCTGATGCTGCTGGGCTGGACTCACCTCTTCCACGGTCAGCTTAAATGGCTTGTCCATCAGTGTCCCATCAGTCAGGGCAATAATCACACTGTTGACATTACTGCCTGCAGAAAAAGCAAGAAGTGGGTGGGCTTGGTGGGAGTGGCCTACTGGGTGAGGCTGCAGATCAATCCAGCACTATCCAGGGCAATAAAGTTGGTTGTTTCTAACTCCTTGGTCTCACAGAATGAAAAGACTTGGGTACTACTTGTTCCACAGATTAGGAGCCAGAGGGGTTTGAGATCCTCCCAGAAGGCCTGACTTCTTATTTCCTGGCCCTGGAACCTCTACCCTAATTAAAGGCTGTGCCACAAGCCCAGCCTCTCCCTGGACTGGTGGGGAAACAGGAGGGGAAACATCCTTCCTTGATGAGGCTACCCAGTGAGGCAGCTTCAGGCACAATGTTAGGGACATCTTACTGGAAACAGTAGGCCCAGTAAGTCAAGACCTGCAATGAGCATTGTGAAAAATGCCTTTTAGACATGTAAAAATAGCTTAATCAGGATCCCTACTGCACCCAAGGCCGCACCTGATAACCAGAACCCAGTGACATCACTCATACAAGATAACTGAACACAGTCCTAGAACCCCACGACACCCACTGGACACTCCATAATCATATACTTATATATAAGAGACCAAGAGCAATGCTCTGCTCTGTGTATCAGGAGAGACACCACCTTAATCTGCCCTGGGGCTGGAAAGTCTCCCCCAGGATCCTTGAATCAGAGACTTCTGTTGCAGGCTGGGCCTGACCTTCAGCTAAGATCCACACAGAGGAGAGCAGCCTTGGGGAGATAGGCTTAGGACTGGAGTTAGGGATTTAGAGTGTGAACCTTGTATGATGATCCTCAGCATAATAAAATATAGCTTTTGTTATACTAACTACTTTCTTGCTGGCCACAAGGATCCAAGTCAGAAAGTCTTAGGCAGGGAACTCAATGGCCACCAATCAAAAGCCCCACTGGATTCCACAAGACCCGTAGTCCAGAGGGACACAGGTCTTGGCTGGACATGATTGACTCATGGGCTTAGGAAGCTGACCAAACAAAGCAAGAGGTAGGAGAAGACTTAGCAGTCAGAGGAAAACCAAGCCCTGGCTCCCAGCACAGGGTCCTCAGTCTGCCCAAGTCCTGTGTTTTCTTCTATTTCCCAGTGCATCTGTATGCCAAGGACCCTAGTGAGAACAAAGCCAACACGTGACCACATACAGCTAACGGTTCTCTCAGAGTCTCCTGAGTGGGGTGCTGTGCTCCAGAGGGGCCAGCTGTGCACATGTGTGTGTGTGTGTGTGTGTGTGTGGCGGGGGGGGGGGATGACAGGCTTCAAGAGTTAGACTTAAAGAGGCTCAGGATCTACACACAGACCCTGTAGGGAGCCCAGCTCCGTGGGTCCTGCCCCACTGAAGGCACAGACAGCTCACCTTCCGAGTTGGCCTTTTTGATCTGCTCTATGGCCTGCCAGGAAAAGAAGAAAAAGAAACAGTGAGATGTGAAGATGTGGCCCTCTACACCGAGCCAGTGTGCCTGTGCCCAGAGAGGGCTACAGCTATCTGTACCTTCTGAATTCCTTTCTGCATGTGTGTGAATCCTGTAGGCACCTCTTCGAGGAGAGTGAGAAGGCCCTTTTGGATTTCTTCTCTGGAAAGGATAAAACAGAAACATGGCATGAAAGATATTGGCAGTGGTAAAACACCTCTAAGCAGTCGTATGGCCTTGTCCACCCTGCAGGCTGAGAGAGGGCACTGGACAAGGGACACTGTCTCTCCCTTCTGAGCCAGGTCTTCCTCTGATTTCATGAGCATGGAGGACAAGGCAGGGAATTCAAGGCACCCCACGGGAAGGCCTGGTTTTCTTTGAGTTTGTTTACGTTTTTAGGCACCCAGGGCCTTGGAGATTTGGACAGAGTCCTTGTCCATTAAGTCCTTGGAGAACATCCTGGGATTTAAGCTAGGGATTCACAATGGATCTCTGCCGGGGAGTTCCAACCACAGTTCTGCCTTTATCCCTTTGTCAGCACAGCCCAATCCAGTTCTCCCCCTGTTGGCCAGCTTAGCTCAACCCTATGCCAACCCCTATCCTTCTGCCTGAGCTAGCCCACTATCTTTTTTCTATTTCTATTCTCCACTCAGCCCAGGATAACCCCTGACACAGCCAGCGTCTCTTTCTGTTTCTCCTATGCCCCATGGCTTCTCTGCACTCCTTGCCAGAATCACCCTCAGGAATTCTCTCTGCCACTCAAATTTAATCAAGTTTCCCCCAAACCAAGCCACTAGGGTACACAGCATCAGGTCTGGCCTGGACTCTTGGGAGTCAGTCCATTACTGCCCCGCCTCCCAGATGGACCTTGGGTGCCGTGTCCATAAACTCAGAGACTCTTGTCCCTTCCTTGAGGTTGTCCCCCTTACTCTTGCTCCTGCCTTTTCCCCTAGGATGCAGGACAGAGATTTTCGCACCTCCAGACACCCCAATCCTTAATGTCCCCACAGACTCTGGCTTTCTAACTTTGTACAGAGTCTCCAGAAGAGCATGTAAAGTTGATCTTCCCTCTTCGTCAGCCCCCAACTTCTTACCTCTGGGATGCTCTCACTGTTGGGCCACCCCACTTTGTGGCTACCTGTTTCCCATATCTTCCTGTGACACTCAGTACAGGTGTCCTATGACCTCATCTTGTTGCTTCCTTATTGATGACCACAGGGGCCCTATGCTCCCCACAGGGAGCTCCCCATGCTCCAGTGTTCTCCTCAGACTTTCCCGGATGTCTCCCTGCTTCACTTACCCAAGCAGAGGGCGACTTGTTCATGGAAGGCCACACAGGCCATGATTCTAAGAGAACATGTATGTCTCACCAACTCCCTGTTATTATGGGTGATAAGGGTACTGACGTGTGTACCTCACCAGTTCCTGTATGTTGCCATAGGCAGGGCCTAGGTAAGATTCAGAGAATCTTCTAGAAGTATCAAGTCTATGAGTTCTGCTTAAGTACAGGCCCAAGAATGCTAGTAAACTGGGGTTGGGGGTCAAGTTGGGTACCTATGGGTGGGCAATGCTGGAGACGCAGGAGTCTCTACAAGCCCTCAGTTTCCTCGAGGTACCAGTGTCCTGGCCACTGGGCAATACCTACCTGTCTGAGGTGAGTGGTATGATAACTTCAGCGTCTGTTGAGAAGGTAATGACGGAAATCCGCATTTTTGGGCTGGGGACAAAGCACAAGCACTGAGAAGCCAAGACACTAGACCATCAGTCTGCCAGGGAGCAGAACATGCACAGAATCCCTGCTCCCACCCCAGCTCCTTCGCACTGGGGACAGTCAGAGGTGAGGTGTTAAGGTGAAGTCGGCAAAGGATTCTGAAGCCCACAGAGATATGTAGCTCTGGGGGAGAGAGAGAACACGTCAGGACAACCCCTGCTCCATCTCATGCTTCGCCTCTCTTCTCTCCCTCAGTCTCTCTTTCCCTCAGTCTCCCTCTCTTCCTGTCTCCCCTCACTCTTTTCTCTCCTTCTACCCTTTTTTTCACCTTCTACCGTTTCCTCTTTCATATGTGCACACACGCAAGTCACCCATTCCGAATAGGCAGAGAGGCTCACACGCTCCCCCACAGGGACATCATCATTCCTGGTCCCGGATATCAGATTCTTTGCGTCTCTAGCCAGCTTTCTTTACCCTTCCCGCCTCCAACTCAATGAGATCACTCTCTGTCTGGGAAGCCCTTCACACGCATGCCTCCCTCTCCTCCATCCCTATAACTCAGGAGGAAATCAGATTCCCTTGACTTAGCAAGATGTCTACTATGGCTTTGTCCCCAAACTACCTGTGGTCCTCTTCCCCCAGCCTTTCCTGAGCAACCTTGACTCCCCTAGTCTAAGGGACTGCCCACTTACTGGGGTCACTGCTATAGTTTGAGTTGGAAACATCCCTTATAACCCAGGTTTTGAGCACTCGTTCCCCATCTGGTGACACTATCTCAGGGGGCTGTAGAATCTTCAGGTAGTATCTAGCTGGTTGAGGCAGATTATCAAGTCAGACCATCAACAGTTAAGAGCCCGGTCCCTGTCCCTGCCATTAGCTTTCTTCTTGTTGGTCTACTTGGTGTGAACAGCCTTGGTTACACGGTCCTCTTTCCATGCCTGTGAGGGAGGGACTGAACCTGTTGGAACCTGTGAGTCATAGACACCTCTCTTAAGTTGTGCCTGATAAACATTGTGGCTACAATAATGTCACTCTTTGACCCTGCTCGTCCTCCTGCCTTGAGGACTCAGTTCACACTTCAGTTTCTTTAGGACCCTGAAACTTTTTTCTGAGGATTCCTGCCTTTTCCTTTGTCTTTTCATGACAAGTTCCCCAGCTCACTCCTCTGGCCCTGAACATGCTATGCTCAGTATAGATTACCACCTGTCATGGTGTCCTTCCTACTCTGAGGGTTCCTGGAGGGTGGACTCTGTCACTGTACTACACCAAATCCCCAAGGAGAATCAGCCAGTGTTGCTGTATCCCAACTAGACGCTGTCCCCCATGTTAGCACACCAGCCTGGGCCTATGCTCTCTCTTTGAGGGGATCTCATGCCCATCAAATCTAAGAGACAAGAAAACGACTCCCTGGAAGCACAGAGGAGACTACAGCCAGGAGAAGCCATACTTCTGGAATTTCTTCACCAAATCCTCGGCAAATGAATAAACGTGGATCCAGTTTGTGCCCACACTGCCTGACCTGAAGACAAAGGAGACATATGTCAAGGTATGATGTAACATCATAGGGTAGGGAAGGGCAGTTTTAGCCTTCCCAGGTGTTCATGGCTTTTATTTATTTGTTGGTTTATTTATTTTTATTTTAGCAACATGTTCCTGTGTCAGTGCTGACCATGGTGGATCATCACGAGAGGTGACTTTCTTCAGGGTCAGTAGTGAGCAGAAGGTAGCCAAACAGCTTCATCTGCAGAGACTGTTGGGTCCCCAAAGGGGCCTTTAGCGGTTCACCACAGTGCCTGATTATGCTCGGTGAGGGCTGTGTTGTCTCACAATGAAGGATGATGTCTTGATTGGAAGAGCTACCTATGTTTCGATATGTGAGGCTTTCCACTCTGCCTCTACTGACTTTAACTTACCAATTCTCAGTCCTGTCCATGAATGTGTGGGTCAGGGCTACCGGCACTATTGTTATCAGAAGGATTTTGAACACTAGGAAAGGTCTTAAGGTGACCCAGGCTTGGCCTGGAGCTCCCTTATTAAACTCTTGGGTTATTAGGTATCAAAGCTCCTTCTCAGGTGAGATTACTCTGGAGCTTGTGGAACATTTGGGGCATAGGTTGGGTCCTGAGGATTGTTAGGTCTTCCCAGCTCTTTGTTGGCCCCCATGTCATACCAGCTGTAGCTGTCATGTCTTGCCTTCCAGAATAGCTTAGTCCACTGAGCCATTCATGAACCAGAACAAAACTCTCCATTGTTTCCTGCTTGTCTGTTACAATATTCACACCATCGAGGGTCTGACAGAAAGAACTTCAAATCAAAACTAACCTGGAGATAAAGAAACTCACTTTCTTCTGATTATGGTGACTCCATCAAGAGGACATTGCAATTGTAAACACATACACACTGAGCATGGGCATGTCTTATTTCATTAAAAAAACATTACTAAAGCTGTGTGGTAGTGGCGCATGCCTTTAATCACAGCACTCGGGAGGGAGAGGCGGGTGGACCTTTGTGAATTGAGGCCAACCTAGTCTACTGAATGTGTTCTAGGGAAGCCAGGGCCACACAAGAAAACCCTGTCTTGAGAAAACAAAACCTAAACAAACTAAAACAAACAAACAACAACACTACTAAGCATAAAAGCACAACTTAACCCAAACACAGTAAGAGAAGGTGACTTTAACATCCATTGTCAGCAATAAATTGGTCTTCCTGATAAAGAAAAAAAACCCAGAAACATTAATGTTAAATGATGTCATAGTTCAAATGAACCCAGAAGACAGTTCTGGAACATTCCATCCAAACACTACAGAATGTATGCTCTTTTCAGCAGCCTGTGGAACTTCTCTAAAAGTGACTATACATTAGGAAATGAAGCAGGTCTCAACAAATTCAGGAAAATTGAACTTTTTTTGTATTTGCTCTGAACATAGTAGAATAAAGCTAGAAACAGCCACAGGGAAACTTGAGACAATGCACAGACTCATGGAGATTTAACAACACACCTAAACACACATACTAAACAGCAAGACCCATTCAACACACAGTCAATTAAAAAGTCAACTAGTAAGATCCAAACTAACAAAATTAAATAAAAAAGGGAGACATTACAACAGACACTAATAAAATTCAGGAAGTTTTAGACATATATTCCACTAAATTGGAAAATCTGAAAGAAATGGATGGATCTCTAGATGCATATGGCCTGCCAGAGTTAAGACAAGTAATTTAACCAGATCTAAAACAGCCATGAGATTGAAACAATAAATACAAAAAAAATCTCCCAACTAAATAAAGCTATGCTCAGATGAATTCACTACAGGATTCTACTAGATCTTTAAAAAATGAATGTGAATGAACACTAATCTTTTACAAATAATTCTTTAACATAGAAAATGAAGGAACTCTGAAGTTGCTAGTAGAAAAAGTAGAAAACACTAGAAGATACAGTCATAAGTGAGGATTTTAAATAGGACTCCATTTGTCAATAAATAAAGCCAACAATCAATAAGTGGGACTTTATAAAATTAAAAAGCTTCTGTATATCAAAGGGAATAATTAATCTGATGGCAAGATAGCACTCAGAGAAAAATCTTTGTTAAGTAAACATCTGACAGAGGATTAATATCTATAACAGACAAAGAGCTAAAAATCTAACTAATGAGACAATAAGCCACTCAATTAAAAGGGTAGTGATAGCAGCTAAGGAACTGAATAGAGAATTCTCAAAAAGAAGGAATTCAAATTGCTGTGGGACAAGGATCTTGCACCCTGTAAATATTTGTCACTATATTGTTTTAATAAAACACTGATTGGCCAGTAGCCAGGCAGGAAGTATAGGTGGGGTGACAAGAACAGGAATATTCTGGGAAAAGGAAAGGCTCAGTCTGCAGTCGTCACCCAGACCAAGAGGAAGCAAGATGAGAATGCCTCACGGATAAAAGGTACCAAGCCATGTGACTAACACAGACAAGAATTATGGGCTACTGTAAGATATAAGAGTTAATAAGAAAGCCTGAGCTAATCGGCTAACCAGTTTATAATTAATGTAAGCCTCTGTGTGTTTCTTTGGGACTAAACAGCTGCGGAACCTGGTGGGACAGAAACCTCTATCAACATCAAATGACTAAATTTTTAAAGGGCTCAACACCTTTAGCTGTCAGGGAAATAGCAATTAAAATTACTCTGAGAATCGATCTCAGGCCTGTCAGAGTAACTATGACCAGAAAACCAACAATAGTAAGTGCCCACACAGGTGTAGAGAAAGAGGGGTCCTTATTCATTGTTGGTGGCTGTACAAACTGGTGTAAGTGTTACGGATATTAGTATGGATATTTCTGAAAACAAAAAAAAAACTAAAGCAAAAAGTACTATGCAGTACAGAAAAATACTTGTGGCCATACACTCAAAGGACTCTATATCCTACCACAGAGAAACCTGCTTATCTTTGTTTATTGTTGCTCAACAGCAGAGAAATGGAGTCCATGAAAACATGGTACATATATACAATGGTGTTTTCCTTTACTATAAAGAAGAATGAAATTATGTTAGCCCCATAAACAGTCATGCTACTATAGCACTAGTGAATACATCTTGCCTGGCAGGTCAGTATTGTGACATGTAGTGCCCAGCGCTAGATAAAGACCATTAATTTCTTCCCCCTCAACAGTCTGAATAGTACCTTCTAGGACTATGAAAGCTATACATCAGAGAGAGAGAGAGAGAGAGAGAGAGAGAGAGAGAGTGTCTTGGGCAGTTCAAGATTTATTTCTCTGTTCCTATATAACAACAGTATGCGGTGTCATCAGCAATCTGGTCTTATCATCTAGCTATGGTGGACAGCCAAGAGAAATGGCAATAACACGTGTTGTTATGGGTACCTCTGGGGATCCCCAAATCAATAATGTATGGAGAGCTATCCATGTCTCACACTGAGATTTTCACCTAATAACCCATGTCTTTTGTGAACAGCATTGTTCACCAATGTGGGGGTACTGTGTTCCAACTTCTTTTAAAATATTTTAAGTTAGTGTGCAAAGTAGGTAGGCTTCATAAGGCTTCCCCTATACCCTCAGCTTTGGCGAACCCACTCTTTACCGCTCCATTCCCTTTACCCACCTGTGCCCACTTCTGCTTTAACTTGAAGCTCCCAGGACCTCTCCCTCTGTCCTTTCATATTTGCAGGAATATAGATGGAAGGGGAAAGCACGATTTCAAGTGAGGTATGTGAATCCTAGATTCTAATTTTTACGTGTGCCACTTATATTGGAGTGTGCACATATCCTAAGACTTGAGAAAGAGGCCAAGCAAGCCTTGTGCCCACTGGTGCAATTGAAGCAGATCTGTTATTGATAACCAGTTGCTTTCTGGTTGAGTTTGAGTCCTACTCCACAAAAGGGACTTCTTATCTGGTCTTATAAAACATAGTCAAAAGCCTGTAGGGGGGGCTCATAGGCTTTAGTGGGGGAGCTAGTGCTATTGTTTTGCTAACAGGATACAATGTACCCATTAAACTTCTTTCTAAACAACTGTGATTACTACCAACATCGACTTTGACCAAGCAACCTTGGCCAAAGGTTTTGTTTGTTTGTATTTTGCCATGAGCAGCAGCAACAGCAGAGGCTCATAACTGGTTAAAGAGTAAGTAATTCCTTCCAAGTTAAATGACTTGAAATTCAGGTGAAAATGAGACATTTACATCACACACTCTAAGGTTAGGGGACTATCACCCAAGATTGGGTTAAGAAAAAGAAAAAAAAGGAAAAAACTGGGAAAAGATGGACCTGTAAACAACCTAATGAAACTCACTGGGTCATCAAAAAACAAACACGAGAGTAGATAGGGAGAGAGAGAGAGCGCGCGCAAAGGATTAACAGGGGAAGGAGCTGAGCAGGTAAATGGCAATGAAGTGGTAAAATACATTTCATACATGTTTGAAAATAAGAGAAAAATACAGACACATCAAATGACTAAGCTCAGGAGATAGAAGTGTAAGCAATATTTCCCATTTTATAGATGTTAAGAGCACACTGCAAATTTCTGTAATCCAAGAAACTGGATAGTTGGATGGGGCACCACCAGAGAAGCCCTGAGCCTATGTTGGTCTCTGACCCCCCTCTTGGTCTCTGACCCCATCTCCATACCCTCCCTTGGCAGTCAGGAGGGGTCTAAAGATCAGCCCAACTTTCCTACCACACTGAGAAAAAACAGGCTTTTCCTGGGATAGGAACTGTCCATGGCTCTTGTGTTGGGAGAAAAAAAGGGGAACCTTTAAGTCACTAAAATAAAGGCTACTTGGAGCAGCAAAACTGAGAGAGTGCCCACAGTGGCCATGGCAATCTCCAAGGTCCCTCTGTGGGTAGCCTGAGGGGCATGGCGACCAGATCAGGGTCAAGATGCTGGGGACAGAGTCATCCAGAAGGTCTGTGTCGGCCTCCTTGCATTCAGGAAGTCAGTGACAGCCTACATCCCGGGGTCTGACCACAATGATCTTGCCTGTCCTATAGAGTCAGACATACCGCTGATTCCCAAGGACTCTCTAGGGACAGTGCAGGAGGGCAACTCACTTGTCCAGGATGATGTAGAGGTCGAAAACGCCGAGGCAGTCCTCTGCCGTTTGGCCCTGGCCCTGGCTCCACTTTTGCCTCATCTGTTGAACCTCGCGTTGCTGGGAACTTCTGGAGCCCTTGCCCAGGCGGTGGAAGAGTTTCCAGCCACGGCCATGGTTGCCTAGGCTCTTAGCCTTAGAAATGGGAGGCGGTAATAGGAGCAGGAACAGAAGGAGTGCCAAGGAAGACATGCGGAGACCGTGAATACCCATGCTGTCTGTCCCCGTGGCCTTGCTAGCTCTAGAGATGCTGTGGAAGGTCACAGGTAGCTGAATGACAGCTACTCTTGGCCTTTATCTCCACCACCTCTGCTTGCACCCAGGGATTGAGGATCACAGCTTGTATTCTATCACCAATAGTAGCACTGCACCTGATAAACTCAGGACACGGGCTAGAAGGTAGTTACTCTGGGATATCCCTACCCCAACTACCTGCAGAGCCCTTCACCTACTGGGGGAAAAACACCCTAGGGTTGTGATGGGCAGAAAGGTTGACATGGTTACTTTGTGACCTGTCTCTCTGCTTAGCCTTTATGCTGACAGTGATAAGTGGCAGTCATAGGTCCTTTGTAGGAGTCTCAGATGAGGCCTCCTTGTCTCTGATCCTAGCCCCTCACAGGGCATCCTTAGGGGAACACCTCAAGGAACAAGGTGTTTTGTTAACTGAAAAGGTGGCTGAGCTCACTAGTTACTGTGGACAAAGCAATCAAGACACCAATGGCAAATCTGGGCTACTAAAGTGCTTATGAAACTAGTGAGGTAGCTCACAAATACAGTGCGAGTGTAAGCAAGTGCAAAGCCCTGGATTTGATGTTCAGCATTAGAATAAACAAATAAGAGAATAACATGCCTGTGAGGGAGCTTATGTGACATGATTGAAATATGTCTGTCTGCTGTGTCATGCACCCAGGCTTCGTTCAAGTTTCTTGGGGATGTTTTATAGTTTTCAAGGTCTCCTAACTGGACTTCATTTGGTCCTTGTGGTAGTTTGAATGTAACTGACCCTGTAATCTCGTAGGGTGTGAAAATGGGAGGCCAGTTGTGGGTCCTGAAATCAGCAGGCAATGCTGGTTTCAAAAAGAGATGGAGATTGTGGACTGCTGCCAGTGTCCCCTGTGAGTGGGGATAGATCCCCTGTCCACTGCCGTGTGACAAGGGGCCCAACTGATGACTTAACGGAACCATTTTATTGTGATCTCAGGTTAAGTGGGTCGGACCCTCAGGAAAGGTAGAGTAGGAGGCCCCTAGAAAAAGAAACCTGGGAAGTGCCAAGCACTAGCAGGGACTGGAATTGTCTGGAAGCTTCCTCATTGTCCCCGGTGGCACCAGGGTTGAGGAATTCTAGGGTGGGACTCAATTGGGATTGTCCTTAAGCCCTTGCCTGTGGTCTCTTCTTGTGACTTGGGCCTCTTTACAGCGCCAGTGGGTATGAACTTTCTTTATGGAAGCTCAAGGGCTTGAGGGGACAGGGTTTGCTGTGAGCAGTTTGAGATGTGGAGCCCTTTATGACATCACTTCAGGGTGTCATTTTATGCTGTCTTCTGGTCAGAGCTTCACCAGCCTTTCCAGGTTGAGAGAGGAGTGTGGGTGGGCTCTCCCTCTTCTTCACCCTTCTGTATTAAAGTAGCTGGAGTGGCAGAGGGGGCATGATGTGGAAAGACGGTGCCAGCACTAGACATCTGCCTTCATAAGGGATTCAGAACCAGCCAGAGCGTGAGGGAAATCACATTTCAAATACCATGCTCACTTTTCTTTTTAGGACGGTATGCTTATGAAAGACAATAAGAACTAAAACTTTTCCTTTAACTAATTCTAAAATTGATCTCAATACATACAACATAAAGAAATCTTGTGTTTTCTTTTGTTGTTGTCTTTAACGACTACCTCAAATAAGTAACATGTTGAAACTGATCAAATTTAGGATACTTGCTTTATCACATTGGAGTTCTTGTCATATCTTCCATGACAATTCTTATTGTCATAGTTTTATAGATATCTCTTAGACTGTGACCTTAATCTGCCTTTTACCCATTCCTAAGTGGACTGGCCATCTGTTTACATGACCTGGGCACTTATATACTTTCAAGAGTGTGGTGATATTTTGTTTGTGCTTTAACAAATAAAGCCTGAAGATCAGAGTGTAGCGTTAAACCGCTACAGGCCAGGGAGTGGAGGCATACACCTTTAATCCCAGGACTCCAGAGGGACAGAGGCAGAGGGATCTCTGTTAGTTCAAGACTACCTTGGGCTACAATGTCACTACAGTCTAAGAGAGAAAGAGAGCTCAAACAAAGGTGACCCCAGCACTTGGGATCCCATGCCTTTAACCCCAGCACGAGGGAGGTGGAGACAGGAGTGATATGGTTGCCAGAGAGAGTATAAGGTAGGAGAAGACAGGAACTCAGTGCCATCTAAACAGGCAGTCTGAGGACGTAGTCAAGGACACAGTCTGCTGACAAGGTCGTCCCTTTCGCCTGAGCACAGGTAGAGGTTAAAGATCTCTCCATTGGCTGCTGCTCTGCTTCTCCGATCCTTCAGCTTTTACCTCCCTCATATCTGACTTCTTTTTTTTATAGAACAATTAAAATTTGTGCTACAGAAGAGCCTGTGTGTATGTGTTCTTTCTCCATCTCGGGTGCTTATCCTTTCATATTGGCCCATTTACTTTGTATATTCTGCACACCAGGACCTTTGTCAGGCGTGGCAATATCTTCTTCCAGCTCATGGCTTGTTTTTCAGTTAATTTTGAAAGAACAATGCACAACTTCTTAGTTTTGATACAGATTGCTATGTGTTAGATGAAAGATCCTGGTTTCTAAGGTAGCAACCTGTATCCTAATGAAATTTTTTCCTTACTGGGGCATCCTTTAAGGGGCAATGAGCCCGCACTCTCTTCCATTTCTTTTCCTGGCTTGTGAGCTATGCCGGCCCACCAGATGCTGACCGGAAGTTTTACCTTCCTAAAAAGTCCCAGCCAAATAAGACTGCCTGATTTTGGAGTTTTCAGAACTGTGAGCCGAAACCTGGATGGAGGAGATGCTGCTAAAACCTCTCTTCTAGTTGGGAGCTCTTGGCAGCTGTGGTTGCCAGGGGACAGAATGCTTTCTGGACGGGTGCTGCCCACACTCTGTGCTGACTCTATACCCATGCATGCCTGCAGTTCTAATTAGACTCTATGGTTTACAAAGAGAAAAAAATCTTACAGTTTGAAATTTTTATGCTTAGTTTTAGAAATCTAATATTTTTAAAATGTGATTTAATTGGCTACTATTATAGAAGTAGGTGATATTGTTAAATATTATTTTTTATAGCCAAACAAATAAGTTCTAAAAATAAACTCATCTTTTAAAATAGTTAATTGCTTCAGGTGTTTTGCTATGGCACCCCAAAGCTAACACACAGATTAACTGTTGTTTTCCACCTTTTACTACTCCCAAGGCAGTTGTGTCCCTGAACACCTTCAGATTCTCCAGTGTCGCAGAACTTGTCCTAACCTGGTACAAGGCTGTCTTTCTACATGTGGGGCGTGGAGGCAGTAGGAAGCAGCGTGGAGGTGATCAGAAGGGCAAAGAGGTCGTGGCAAGCTTCAGCAAATACCCAGGAGAGTTTGGAGACCCCGGGAAGACCCAGCTCTGGTGGCTGCTGGACTGAATCCATCCATGAAGATCTCGAGGATGCTGGAGGATTTTAGGGAGTTTGGCAGAGAAAAGGCAGGAACTACGGAAGCAGAGGTCAGAGTGGCACTAGTGGAGGAGGTGATGGTATGAGCGTGAGGGCCAGGGATGTTGGGGTGGGGAGGGGTAGGGTAGAGGGATGGAGTGGAGAGGTGGAGTTAGGTAGTGAGTGGCTGGGGTGGGAAGTAACCTTCAGCAGCAGTGACAGAACCAGACAAGTACCCCACTCTTGTTTTAATTGAGCTCTACATTTTTCTCTGCTCCCTTCCCTGCCTCTCCCCTCCCCTTCAACACTCTCCCATGGTCCCTATGCTCCCAATTTACTCAGGAGATCTTGTCTTTTTCTACTTCCCAGGTAGATTAGATCCACGTATGTCTCTCTTAGTGTCCACATTGTTGTCTAAGTTCCCTGGGATTGTGGTTTATAGGCTGGTTTTCTTTGCTTTATGTTTAAAAACCACTTATGAGTGAGTACATGTGACATTTGTTTTTCTAGGCCTGGGTTACCTCACTCAAAATAATGTTTTCTAGCTCCATCCATTTTCCTGCAAAATTCAAGATATTTTTTTTCCTGCTGTGTAGTGTTCCATTGTGTAAATGTACCACATTTTCCTTATCCATTCTTCGGTCGAGGGACATTTAGGTTGTTTCTAGGTTCTGGCTATGACAAACAATGCTCCTATGAACATAGTTGAGCGCATGTCCTTGTGGTATGATTGAGCAGCCTTTGGGTATATACAAAAAAGTGGTATTAGTGGGCCTGTCATTGGAATAAAAACAGACAGGAGGACTAATGGAACCGAATCGAAGACCCGGATATTAATCCACACACCTACGAACACCTTATTTTTGGCAAAGAAGCAAAAAATTATAAAATGGAAAAAGGAAGTATATTTAACAAGTGGTGCTGGCATAACTGGATATCAACATGTAGAAGAATGAAAATAGACCCATATCTATCACTATGCACAAAATTCAAGTCCAAATGGATCAAAGACTTCAACATAAAGCCAGCCGTACTGTACCTCATAGAAGAAAAAGTGGGAAGTACACTTGAATGCATTGACACAGGAGACCACTTCCTAAATACAACCCCAGTAGCACAGACACTGAGAGAAACAATTAATAAATGGGACCTCCTGAAACTGAAAAGCTTCTGTAAAGCAAAGGACATGGTCAACAAGACAGAAGGGCAAAAGGGCAGTATACAGAATGGGAAAAGATCTTCACCAACCTACATCAGACAGAGGTCTGATCTCCAAAATATTCAAAGAACTCAAGAAATTGGTCATCAAAAGAACAAATAATGCAATAAAAAATGAAGTACAGACCTAAACAGGGAACTCTCAACAGAATAATCTAAAATAGCTGAAAGACACTTAAGGAAATGCTCAAGTACCCTACTCTTTTTTTTTCATTTCCTATATCAGCTTTATTTAAAACACAAATAAATATTTCTCTTTCAGTAATAGCAAATGGTTCAAATAATGTTGAACACAAATCATTGATTAATACAGGATATTAAATATGAACAGACTTTTTTTAAGCAAAAGAATAGAGGTTATATACAAAAGGGACTTACAATCTACAGGTCAATTCAAAAAAGAAAATGTGTTTATTAAATGTGTGATGAAAGCAGAACATTCCACCCCTGCTAGCGTACAACATTCAGTCAGTTGAAGATGGATTGGTCCAAGTGTCTATACATAAATTTCAAGTCATTTTGGTATGTGCAGAATCATCCAGATCTTCCCAGACTGAATGGGCAGGCCTGTGGCTTTCTTCCTTTTCCATATTCCCAACACGGCTACATGAACTTCAACTCCTGGTGAGCCGCTTACAACAGCAGTTCCTTAGGAGCAAACATGACAGGTGATCCAGGATTTCCCTATGAGAAACAAACTGGCCACCTACAGAAAGTACCACAATGAACAAGTCTTTCTTTCTGCCTTTCAATTCTGTACAGTGTCTCATTTCAAGACTATTACCCTCATGAGACTTGTTTCTTCACAAGTCTAAACCCTGAAGTGATATGAAGACCAACATCAAGAAAAGAAAACTCAATCCAAAAATGAAGAAACTGGAGGTATCCAATATACTGCAGAGCATCCGCCATTCCTGCAACAGTACGGCTCGGTGTGGTGCTACAGTCCGAAGATCAATACAGGCAGCTTGAATGAGTTTTTTCCTCCTCCTCCCAAGATTAAAGCACATCAAGTAAATACTAGGCAAGAGGAGTTTTTTAAAGTACCCTATTCTTACACAGGCACCTGAGCCTGGCTACAGTTAGAGGCAGTTGGCCCAGGTTCCGGGAGCTGCAGGCTGCAGACCAAAAACCTGGGACTCTGTTTTGGTAGTGTCTCCTGTGTGCCTACTAGCCTGGTTCCTCTTACTGGGCAGTGGGGATGCGGGGCTACAGACTATAAACTCTTGAAAATGTGGGTTGCAGAGGTACTAGCCCTCCTTGTGTCCCCCACCATGCAAAACCCGGAAGTTATGGGAAACCAGATCCATGTCAATGCTCCCCTCTCAGTTGTCTGCCTCTCTGTCCTCCCTTCTTCCTTAACTTCCCTGATGCGGGAGAATTGTCTGTATTCTGTCAATCATATTTTAATAAAACGCTGATTGGCCAGGCAGGCAGTATAGGCAGGAAAGCCAGACAGGAAGTAGGGGTGGAGCAAAGAGACTGGGAGTATTCTGGAAGCAGAAGCTCTCTCGCCACTTCTGCGCAGACCACCGAAGAGGCAGCATGTAACATGTCCAGCTGAGAAAGGTACGGAGCCATTATGGCTTAACATAGATGAGAATAATGGGTTAATATAAGTTATAAGAGTTAACAAGAAGCCTGACCTAATGGGCCAATCAGTCTATAATCTTATGGAGTCCTGTGTGTAATTTCTCTTTGGGATTTGCCGGCTGTTGGGGTACCGGGCGGGATGGAAACCCCAACAAGCCGGCCCCTCATGTTACATATGGCACCAACGTGTGGACAACTGTATCCACACAAAGCCTGAGACAGCTTGAGAAGTAATTCTAGAACAAAATAACAGCTTTATGCATGGTTTCTTGGTAGCAGCAATTTCTTGGGTCTGCTCTGTTTGCTAGAGGCAAGCAAGCACTCTCATCTAAGAGAGGCTTCCTGACTCAGCTTTAGCTGCAAAATCCTGCAGCTCTTTTAAGAGGTCCTGCCACGAAACACTTAAACGGTGTTGATGAAAAGGTGAATGCATGCTTTTCGGTTTTCAGCCGTAGCAGGAAAAAAGCTGCGCTGTTTTAAAATGCTGGCTTTCTGGTCTGTCCTGCCAGGGCAAACTCTGACTCTTTCAGGCAGGCAGTCCGACTGAGTGTGGTCTGTGAGCAGAATGCTGCAGCCTATGTGCTGGCAAGGACCTTGAAATGCCATAGAGTTGTGGCAGTGAACACAGTTCTGGCTGGTATCTCAGCCATGAGACTGGAGAGCTGGGGAGCGGGCTGGATCTAGCCGTCAAAGCTACTGCTCTCCATATTGCTTAGTAAATTAAAGGCTCATGTGGTCAGAAAAAGAGAGATATACAGTAAAGAGAGATTCAAATAGGAAGAAAACCTCTAAATGGTTTACAGTGTGTTAAAAAATATATGCAGGCTAAAGGTTAAAGTCATTAAAAATAAAAAAGAAAGAAAGGGAGAAATAGGGTGTGGTGGTACACACCTTTAATCCCAATGCCTGGGAGGCAGAGCAGACAGGTCTCTGTGAGTTCAAGGTGTGGTAGCATACACCTTTGAGTCCAGCACTGGGGAGGCAGAGACCAAGGGATCTCTGTGAGTTCAAGGACAGCCTGGTCTACAGAGTCATTCCAGGACAAAGATATACAGAGAAACTGTCTCAAAAAGTAAAAGTAAAAATAAGAGAAATAGAGGTTAAAATAAAGCCACATAAAGATGAAAAATACATGGAGAATCTTGATACTGTATGTTATTATGCTCTCTTTGAATTGTTTGAGTGCTGAAGAAGGAGCAACAGCTGCTAAAAGACTTTTGTTTATAAATACTGCTGAACTAACCCAAGATAGGCATTTTGGAAATACCTTGGCTTCAAAACTGAAGTCAAAAGGTATATTACTTTGGAGAAGAGATTTTGCTTTTGTTTCCACAGAAAATGAGAGGCTATGGATTCATTCTGAGTTAAGAAAAATCATCTTTGCTCAAGGGAGGCCACCTGAAAAATCTCTGACAGGAATAGGTGGCCCAGATGTCTGAGTTCTTCATCCAGAACAGGTTCAAGACTGCTGCCTGAGATGATCAAGACTCACAGGATACTTCAGTCAGGACTTGAATGTAACTCTAAATTTTCTTTAGGTCCCCATAAGATCATCAGCGCCCCCCAACCAGCAGGAAGTAGCTTGAAATACTACGCCCCCATTCCCAACAAATGGACTATGGGTATTTTCCTTTGTTTAAAAAAAAAGAGGGAAATGATGCGGGAGAATTGTCTGTATTCTGTCAATCATATTTTAATAAAACGCTGATTGGCCAGGCAGGCAGTATAGGCAGGAAAGCCAGACAAGAAGTAGGGGTGGAGCAAAGAGACTGGGAGTATTCTGGAAGCAGAAGCTCTCTCGCCACTTCTGCGCAGACCACCGAAGAGGCAGCATGTAACATGTCCAGCTGAGAAAGGTACGGAGCCATTATGGCTTAACATAGATGAGAATAATGGGTTAATATAAGTTATAAGAGTTAACAAGAAGCCTGACCTAATGGGCCAATCAGTCTATAATCTTATGGAGTCCTGTGTGTAATTTCTCTTTGGGATTTGCCGGCTGTTGGGGTACCGGGCGGGATGGAAACCCCAACAAGCCGGCCCCTCATGTTACATTTCCCTGCAGATATAAATTCTGACTTTAATTTCTTTCCTCCCAAGTTGACTTTCTGGGTCTTGTTTCCATCCATAAATGAAGTCATCCCTGGTGAGTGTTCTGTTCTTCTCAGTCAGGGTGTGTACTGGGCACGGGGTGAGGACCATACCCCAGCCACAGATCTTTCTTGGACATGTATTTCCAAACATCTGGAAATGTAGCATGCTCACTGCCCATCATGGGAAAAAGGAACAAATGATCTAATTATACATTTCTGGGTTTTCAGGGTGAGAGGAAAGAAAGTAATAGTTGGTTTTAGATGTTTCTGATTGGTGCGAGAACACGGAAAAGTGACAGAAAACTGAATGCCTGTGAATGTCCGACAAGACACACAGCAAGCAACATGTTTTTACTGCTTAGTGAGGCGTGGAGCATTTTTTAAATTCTAACTGTGGTAGTTGAAATTAATGTTCATGTGTTTGTTAGGTAGGAGGGCCATTGTGAAAGTATTTTTTGTGAATATCAGGTTTTCTTGGCCACATTTCAAGTAAGGATGTCTAGAAAAACAAGTCTGTTTAATTTGGGGAAAAAGCAGAAATAAGATATTGAAACCTTATATTTCTTGTAGAATTCAGTCTTGTTAGAGAGACGTGACTTTATTTCTGATATGTATTTTATTATATATATGCCCTAAGACACAAGATACTGAAGTTGTTTGTTTACCATTTAAAACCGATTTTGTAGTTTACTATGTTCTTTAATGTAAAATCAGTCGGCTGAGGCTTTTATCTGAATCTTCACAGGAAACTTGGCATAAGGTTACACAGAAATGAGCAGAAACCAAATTTTATGTAGGGAGTTACATTGCATTTAGTGAATTTGCCACGTCATGTCAAAGAATACTGAGCAGTTCTTGTGTGTGTGCATGGGGCTTCAGTTTGAGAGGTTGTAGCAAGAATTTCCTAAGCTGTAAAGATGGTTTATTTGTAGAAAATACTTTTGTGTATAAAATGAACATTTAATAATGAGATTATAACTTCATATCATGTTCCTGTAATCTTAACACTATGGATGAGAGAGGGGAGCATGTAGGATTTAAAAGCAGCCCTAGCTACAAAGTAAGGCCCTATCTCAAAACAAAAAAATAACCCACCCCAAGTAATGTTATCAGTTTCTGCAATAATTTAAAATTTTAAGCAAAATACTTTATTTAAAAGGTCATACTGCAGAAATGAAGGGAATGAAGGGATAAAAACATTACCTGTTACAGTAGACCAAGGCAAGTGCTTTAACACTCCCAAATTAACAGTGATACGTTCAGATTAACTTCAGCAGGATGGAGAAAGATGCTCAAGAGGGATGAAGAAACTCACCGTTACCCAAATAATCTTTCATTAGGATGTGTCCATTCCCTTCTGGAACCAAGACATGTGAAGGACACAATAGACTCTGATAGGGTAGAATGTGACTGATGACTTTTCTAATTATTGATTTGTGGGTCCTTCAATTCAAGTGTCCAGTTAGCTATATGTGGACTGAGGTTTCAGTCCCACTCGCGACCCACTCGCGACCGTTTGTCCCAAAGAAACACACAGAGGCCGACATTAATTATAAACTGGTTGGCCTATTAGTCCAGGCTTCTTATTAACTCTTACATCTTGCATTAACACATAATTCTTGTCTGTGTTAGCCACGTGGCTTGGTACCTTCATCAGTGAGGCAGTCTCATCTTGCTTCCTCTGCATCTGGGTGGCCTGCAGACTGAGACTTTCCTCTTCCCAGAATGCTCCTATTCTGGTCATGCCACCTATACTTCCTTTCTGGCTACTGACCAATCTTTACAGGGTACAAGACCATTGTCCCACAGCAGCTATATCTACAACTCTTGCCTTGTGAAAATCACAGAATATTTGAGGAAATGGTGAAACTTCTTTCCTAAGCATTAAAGAGCAACCTGGTACCCAGGTCTGCCATTGGGGAGATGTCTCCCAAGAGTATCTCTGGTGCAACAGGCATGTTGTCTGCTGGAGAGGGCAGAGCATCCTTGGTTAAGGGTGGTTAACCTCTGTCTCTCATCAGTGCCCAAAGTCACCCTTGACCAAAGGCAGAGTTGCACTTTTGGCCTCTGGGAAGAGGAAATCAGAAACTGAAGTCAGATTGAGAAGGAGATTTCTTCCCTGAAGTACAGATGGCAAGACCCCTGGGATCCTCTGAGTTCACACATTCGATCCCACGGAGAAGCAGTTGGGGACCAGGGAAGCGGGGGTCACATAGACAGAAAGCTGGGGATCTGGTTGCTGGGGAAATATCTCTGCTGTTGTACCAAAGGCCAGCTTCAGTCAAGTTCAGGTCCCAAAGAGGAGGTGTGGAGTCACCAAAGGGATGAGTGTACATCTGCGGTTCAACACAGCTTCCTCCCTCAATCAGACTCTCCATCTATACATCATATCATTTGTGTACATAAGTCATTGGACAAGCATCAGAGCCCGGATCTCTTTTTCACTTGTCCATTAAATGTCCAGGGTGAAGAAACAAAGCACAATGCAGACCATCTTATCTGAAACAACATCTTTTTACAGCCTGTGTCTAGGCTGGCTGCTCATGGGGTTATAATAGGTTAGACAGTCTGAAATTGTTTTTAACTTAACCAAGTTGCCTGTAGAATCATTTGATGTTTTCTAAAATGTAAACTTTACAAAATACCTCATAGTAAGTGTTTAACTTATTGACAATAGCATTTTTCTGCTCCTCGGGTTTTTATTTATTTATTTATTTTTATTTATTTATTTTGGTTTTTCGAGACTGGGTTTCTCTGTGTTTGCTTCAGAGCCAGTCCTGGAACAAGCTCTTGTAGACCAGGCTGACCTCGAACTCACAGAGATCCGCCTGCCTCTGCCTCCTGAGTGCTGGGATTAAAGGCATGCGCCACAATCGCCTGGCTTGCTTTTCAGTTTTATAGTAAGGGCCAGATTTTTTTCATACGCTCCCAGAAAGGAAGATTCTGGTACCTCATTCTCTTTCCATCATCTCTGACTATTCTTATTCTCTCTATGTAGGGCAACCGATATATGGGTGACATCTTGTATCCAGAGCTGAGCAAGACATTCCTCCGAATCTACCTCCTTGGTACCACAGTCCTTGGGGCACCAGGAAGACTCTTCCTTCTGTGATTTTCCCATCAGGCTCTCTGTCTTCAGAGTTTCCTCGGGAACACAGATATATTTGCCCAGGGTCCCTATAAGCAGAAAGTTCCCCGTTATGCAAGCGACTGCTCCAAAAAGGGAAAGCAGGAGCCAACACACTGGCGACCGAATCTCTCAGCCAGGTTTCCCTGGAACTTTGTCAAGCAGCATCCTCCATCTCAGGATCCCTCGTGCCATGGCCTGCGCCACTCTTGTCTCTTGATCACAATAAAGGGCAGACTCTCTCAGACATCCGCAGGAGTCAGGCTGCTCTCAGCAGGTGTCCATGAAACCCTTCCACTCCTACTGAATCCTCCAGGGCCCTCACACACTGAGAGGAGCGCTGGAAGGCTCAGCCCATCAGTTAATGTTTTAATTCTGCCTGGCATGGAAGCTGCTCTCAGAGAGGTCTGTGTAGAAGGTAGCAGAATCGACTCTCTGTGTGATCATGTGCCACCCATGACACCTTTTGTGGCCTGTGTTGGGACCACACATTACCTCGCCCATCAGGGCTCATTTTGACTCTTCTAAGACTGCATCGTGTGACTCAGGTAATGTTCAGTCATGGGGTCTCTACCCTCCTGGCCAAGGATAAGAATTGCCTCTGTCTCCTTTGGTTTGGTGATGCTTCACAGTGAGAACTGCCTAAAAATATCCTGTGTACCCCAGAGACACGGGAAGGACAAGAGAAGAGAGGGACAATGGAACAAAGGGCAGTCTCCCTGCAAGTCAGGTAACGACACCCCACCTTCCTTTAATCTAGGCTAGGAGCTTTGTTTTCTACTAAGACAGGGTGGGTTGAACTAGAACAGATCACGAATGACCAGGGAGACTTGTCACGGGCCCTTTCCCCTTGCTTTCTCTGACACTGATCACCATACACAGCCTGCTGCAGTTCCCTGTGGACGGCCAGAGTGGAGAGAACTTTTTGTCCAAAGTCCTATGGCTCCTGAGCAATGCTTTACTCCTCCATTCAGGGCTGCAACTTGAGTTCATGGTAGCCAGAGCACTCAGACGGTTTATTCATTCATAAACCGGCCTTTCACTTTAAGTGAGCTAGCCTGCTGGACCAAAGCACATGGCAGGTAGGGTTCTCGCCTCTCTAGGACAGGCTACATGACATTCATACAGAGAACTCGGGGCTGACTTCAGAGAAGTGTGAACTGTTTCCAGGGAATAGACTCTTTTGCACACTTACTCTTTTCTGGGTGTCATAAGTACCATAAATATTTATTCTCTGGGTTTCCAGGGATCCACTGTTCCGAAACCCTTTGTAAGCTTGCAGGTGGCTGCTCTAGCCACATCTGCAAGTCCCCTTAGGTAACATACACAGGGTAAACATAGATGACAGAGATATCTGTGTCCCTTCTCTCTGGACCCTGCCCCATGGGGCCTTGCCACTGTCCGGGTAGGTTTCATATGGCATTATCCTATATACCTCTTCCTGTCTAATAGTGTAGTGTGAGCACTCTGGCCTTCATTAAAATTTGTATGTAGATGACTTGAAACTTCTTTGCAAACCAACCTAGATAAAGAACAAAACAAAAGACTAACCAGGGGGCTAGAAAGTGAAGTACTTGACACACAAGTATGAGGACCTCAGTTTGGGGTCCCCAAAATCTCCCTGAAAGATAGGTGCAGTGGTACACATATATAGCCCTGGGGATGCCTCGGCAGCTATTAAACTTACTCAGGATCAATCAGGATACATTTGGGATTGCTCATGGAGATCTTGACATAAGAACCCTATGTGTCACAGATCTGGTGACAAAGTGGTGGGACTCATCCATACCTAGTCACGTGACACCAGGAGGTTTGGTAAACCTCAGCAGAAACACTTCGGAGGCTTATCTCCGGATGAGAAACTTCCTAATAAGCAACTCCAACTAACAAGCAGCTCCAAATTCTTTCAAAATTAAAATTCAAGAACAGATATACATGGTCCAGTTTAGCAGCAAAGACCTCTTGGTCTTGGCTCTGGGGCCTGCTACATGGGAGAGAATGACAGAGGGGTTCTGGGAGACTCCTGGACAGGAAGTGGCTGGGAACAAGTGTCTGGGAGATCATGGCCCAGATAACAGGAGGCCATGGGCAGGCTGGCCTTAGAGGTGCAGGGAACAGGAGAGCAGAGGGCCTTCAGGAGGTCAAAGTTGATGCACTGCCTCTGCGGAGAGAAAAGAAAGATGAGGGCGCAAAAGTGTCATTGAAACTAGCTCAGAAGGTACGGTCCCTACTCAACACAGAGTGGTCCTGAATAAACTTCTCCTCTCCCCTGGAAGCTGTCCTCCAGCCTCTACTCTCTTTCTAGATGCGGTGCTAGAGGCAGAAGCTGGCCTGGTGTGAGGTCCCAATGATTTGGAGCCCCAATTTTTGGAATCAGAGGCTGTTGTTCCTATCAGAAGGGACTCTGTATCTTAGTTAGGATTTGGGGAGGGAGAAGACATGCTGGGGACCTGGGTGGGAGACCCTGTGCAACCCAAGGGTCTCCATGAGATGAACACCAGGAGACATATCAGAAGCTTCCTTTTGAGGTCTCAGGGCAGTGGGAGGAGCTTCCCTGGGAAGATGCAGGCAAGTGGGGCCCTGGAAGGCTCACTTTGCAAGTAGATGAGGGGGCTACATGCCAAAGAAGGCTGAGGCTTCAGTTCTAGAAAGAGTTCTGCTCCAGACTCCCAGATACAGAATCTCAGGACAGGTACAGAGGCTGAGAGCTACATCCATGCTGGGCAGGAACGGGGTGAATGCAAGGTTAAGCCATAGCTGGGCACTTTTAGTAATTGGTAGGTCTATCAGCAATGGCAATCTAGTACTGTCAATCATGCCTGCCAGCCAGTCCTCCTGGACCTGTGATCAGCCATGGACTGCCTAAGTGCCATGTCCAGAAGCCACCTGGGGGGTTCATGAGCACCAGGTCCCACGTGTTGGGCTTTTCTCAGCTTATATTGAGACCACGGCTCTGCACGCCCATGTTCTCTGACACAAATCAAACCAGGGGGAAACCAGTACAGGCAAAACAAACAATCCCTCCAAAGCAAGACCCCAGCTCTTCCCAAAAGAAACCAAAGGTCATTCTGTTCTTTAGGAGTGGCCCTGGGTCTCACTTACCTGGTCACTAGACTGAGACCGCATCAGTGGCAATTGGTGGCGGCTTAGGGGATTGAAGTTGCACACGGTCACATTGCCCTGAAAAGCAGATGCAATCGTGAGGAAGAAGGTGGTCATGGACTCGGCCCCAGAAGGCCCAGTGGTCATCATTTCATAGGACTCTCCTAGGGAACCAGGAAGAAATCCCCAGCATGCCCTTGGGGAGTATACAAGCTTGAATGCTTGGGATGCTCGCTGTAGGACAGAGTTTCCGAATCTGGGACAAAGCAGTGTTTATGTGGAAAGAAAAGCCAGTACCTGGCTTTGGAGATGTGTAGAGGCTTGAGGGATTGTGTGCTTGCAAGGCTGGGCCTTTAGGGGAGCCATGCTGTGGGCACAGACCTGGAGAGGGGCACTGAAAATGGAAGGGCCTGTACCTGGGGCCACACTTGAGAGGCAAGTTAAAGGCCCATGTCCTGTTCAGAAGCAGGTACCCTGGACCAGAGCAGAGAGAAGAGGAAGACAAGAGGCTGGAAGATCCCTGGCTCTAATGGCGAGGGACCCTGTAACCTAGATTCTGTGGCTCAGATGCTAAAGGCCCTGAGTGGGTGGGAGCAGGATCTTCAGGGCTAGGTCATGTAACTGTCAGAAGCATCCTCGGTTTCTGGAAAGTGCGGATTGACTTCTCTCTGGTCACCCACAGGCATGGAAGGGGCAGGACTGACTCTCTGCTGGCCTGAATGACTATAGAGAACCCAAGGTTCTCAAAATGAAGTGGTAGAAGTCCCTCACAGAGAAAGATCAGTAGAGAAGAGAACCAAGTCCGATGGGAGCTGGGTTTTTTTTTTTTTTTTCTCAAAGTTGGCATCATGAGTCCTCTCTGCCCAGGGCCCAGGGCTGCTTCTCTGCTGGTTTCTCCCTCCCCATGATGAACCTAGACCTTCTCAGACTGAGTGGCTGCTTCCCAGGGCTTGACTCCATACAAGGCCTTTGCAATGCCTTTGTCGGGTCTCTGTGTCAGCAGGAAGCAAAAACACCTGGGCCAGCTCCTTTTCTCCATGTGCATGAAGAGGCCCAGAGTCCAGGGCCACTGGCTTTCAGCAACCTTCACGGAGGGCAGAGGTTATGCAGGGCTAAGCCTCGCTGTTTTTACTGTCTCTGACTTCGTGAGCATCTTTGTCACTCAGTGTGCCTTGACTTCCCACATTCCTAAGGGTGACACCAGAGACACTGCTGGGGTCAGAACAATGACTTTGAGGACTAGGGACGGGACTGGCTAGTTAGAGTGCACAGTGGCTACTGTCCTTACACTTAGACTGCCAAAGGGAGACTTCAGCATTTAGAGAGTTCAGGTGGGGGAAGGGGAGGAACAGGCACTGGATGTGATCTCAAACCAATGGCTTTGGGTCTGTCCCACCGAGCCACATTCCCTCCCACACCCAGACACTGCTCTCAGGTCTAGGTGAGCCTGTGACCCTGAACCCAGCCTGAAGTCACGACCTCCGTGGGGTCCTCTCACCTCTATGTCTCTGCTCACACACACGTCGCAGCAGGTACAGCAACAGATGATCACGATGGGAGGCACGTTCACTGGTGGTGCAGGCACTGGGGGAGACGCTGGAGGAGAGCCCTCTTTCTTCTTTCTGGGCTGGTCAAAGGGTGGGAAACATGTTTGAGCTTTGTCTGCAGCTTCTGGAAAGGGGCATTGTGTGTCCTGTGCAGCATCTGGCATTGCAGGGCCCCTCAGCTATTGTTTTGGGGTGAACGATAGGATGCACCTTATTATCTTGGAGAGGTCCTCCAAAGTAACTGAAGGTGAATCCATGCTCCCTACAGTTTTCGTATGTGGGGTTTCACAAATTGACAATCTATCCTTGGTTCTCCCTTGCTGGCAAAAGCCTGGCCTAGAAATTGCATTAGGCCAACAATAGCAGGCAAATGTCCCATCTGTCTCTGGCCTTTGCATGGGCATCCTTACCCAGACCAACACAGTCCCATCAAGACAGGAATCCTGTTCCTATCTCATCCCAAACAGAGGTCCACCAGCCCCAGTCTCTCACTACAACTTCTGATCCTCACCTGATGTGAACCACAGATGCTCATCCACCTTGCTCCTGGGTTTCCCTGGTGACACCCCTCACAGCTCAGGGTTAGCTGGGACTCTTTCACCACCCTTATCCCTCGGGTCCCTAGGCTGATCCCAGCCAGTCCCTCTACCCTGCCAGGAGACAGGGATGAAGACAGATCTAATGGAGCAAGAAGACCTCCAACATGGGGATGGGGACCAGAGCTTGACAGAGAAGCCTATTCTCAGGAAGCTGCAACCTCAGCATCAAAGAGAGTTCACGAGAGTCTCCTGAAAGCCACCGATCGTGTGACCAAAGTCTGTTTGTTATCTGGTGACACTGAGAGTCCCACAGCACTGCAGCCTTTGCTTATCTTTTCTGAGGAGTGGGAGGCCCTGGGTACAGGCTGCACAATACCTCGTTTGCTGGTCACAAGATACAAAGAATGACTCACCTTTGGCTGTGGTGCAGGAGAGGGCTGTGCCTTGGGAGGCTAGAGGGGGAAAGAGGAGTGAAATGAAGGCTTGGCGGCACTATGGTTTAGATCACAGTTCCTCAGATGCCCCATGGCTAAAGTCTTGGTCCCAGCCTATGGTGCTCTCTGGAGGTGATACAGCCCAGGGTGGACATCGGGGGATCCGTGTGAGGAAGTTAATCATTGGCCGTGTGTCCTAGAGTGGTTCTTTCTCTTTCAGAACTGGAGATGAGGTGTGGACTTCCTTGCCCCACGGTCTCATCACAATATGCCCCTTTGCCACAGGCTCTAAGGAATGGGACCTTATGAACTAAAGCCTTCAGATCTGTGAGCCAAAACAAAACTTTCCTCAAGTTGATGATTTCATGTATTTTGTTGCCGTACTGGAGGATGAATAACAGTCCCGTTGCCCCTCACCCCACAGGTGACCTTCATCTGGAGTAAGGGGTTGAAAATGCTCCCATGGGTGCATGTGTAAGCACTGCACGCTGTGGTGCTGGAGTGCTCCATCTGACCCCAAGGGAGCCCCCGGAGAGCGCTCAGCTCCTGCTTCAGCGGGCTGTAAGTGTCATGGTGTTGTCCCATATCCGTGCGCCTGTGTGGGCAGGGGCTGCTCACCTGTCGCCAGCAGAGCCACCAGATCCACCACAGCATTACAGGGATCAGCAGCAGCACCAGCACCATGGTGCTGAGCAAAACTTGCTTGCTTGGCTCAGCTGGTGGGGGCACCATGGCCAGTGGTGGAGGCAAAGTCGGAGGGGGAGGCAGAGGCAAAGGTGGAGGGGGTGGAGGAGGAGAGGAAGGTGCTGGAGGTGGAGGAGGTGGTGGTAGTTGTGGAGGAGGTAGTGGAGGAGGAGGTGGAGGAGGAGGTGGAGGAGGAGGTGGAGGAGGAGGTGGAGGAGGAGGAGGTAGAGTAGTGGGGACAGTAGGCGTTGGGATAGTACTTTCTGGGGTAGAGGTTGTCGGTGAAGTTATGGGAGTTGTTGGTAGGGTGGTGGTCTCAGGGATGACAGTAGTGGTCAGTGGTGGAGGTCTCTGTGGGAAAGGAAGATCGCCATATTTAGCAGACAGTCTAGCTTTGTTGTGGGACACTGCAGGGCATCCTTTCTGGATGCCCAGTGCATCCTTTCCTTTCTCCCAGGTTACCTGGTCTCAAGGTACCATAGTTAGAGTGGAGGATAGGTCTTATGCCTAGCTCAGTCCTTGCTCCAAGTCTCTGCTCTGAACCCAGGTAAGGACAGCCCCAGCTCCTTTGCACCCTTTGGATTTCACCTCTCACTGTGTTCTCAGATGACAGTATGCTGGACTAGGGGTGACCAGCTCGATGAGAAAATGGGCCAGGTTGCTGCTTGCCCAACCCCCACCCCACAGATATAGGACTTTGCCTTGCCTGCCACCTCTACAATGTGGAACTTGCCCCTCCTCCTCCTGGGCCCTAGCCTGCCATCTGTACAGAAGAAGGAGTACCTTCCCTCACAGGCACTTGCAAGCTTAGCACTCAGACACCATCCTGGCTGCTCTATGGGTTGTCACTCACATGAGCTGAGCCTATCTGACCCTTCCCCAAAGGGTCACATTCTTGCTTAGAGCAAGGAATACAGATAGCACTGATGTGAGGTCCTTGGAACTTAGGAACATCTCTTCTGAAACACGGGTCACATGGAGGAGGGTGGCAGCGATGGTGATGATTGCTGCTAGGGGTGGGTAGCACCTCCATCTTTCTAGAAACTAGATGGGCCACCCAAAGTGCTTGTGTATCATGAGCTGCCCCTGGTCTTACCTAGAACCCTCCCCATCTTTGACATTTCAGGAGAGTCTGCTTGCTCACAGGGCCTCTGCCATTACCCACTTGGAATACTCACACAGTCAGAAGTCTTCACAGGGATGGTGTGGGCAAGGAAATCTCTTCCGTTGTTCAGGCTAACTTCAACTGAGATGGTTCTAATGCACATAAAGGCAGACCTTAGGAGGCAGCCTAGGGGTCAGGAACTTTCTTCATGGCAACAACACTGGACTTCCAGGACTTGGGCCTCTCAGAGTGGGCTGGTGAACCATGAGAGATTATTGCTCAAAGCTCAAAATGTCTCCTTGTGCAATTATGGCCACATGCATGGCTCAGGACAAGAGAGGCCCTCATTTGCTGTCATCCTAGATGTTCTGTGGGCGTACAGAGTTGGTTGTTTTAGCTTTATACAATTGTCTGAAATACCAGGTATTGGGGTTTGTTCTTATCATCCCTTGCCCACAGTTCTGAACAGGGCCTGGACACTGGGCAATCCCTGCCTATCATGAAGAATACCAACAAGGTCAGGAGGTAGAGCATCCAGATGTTCTCCAGTAGAGAGGAAACCAAATTCTGTGCACTATAATGACGACATTGTCTCTAGATGTACAGGACCAAGAATTATGGGCACTTACTCTCCAGGTTGCTCTATTTCTGGTCTAGGACAAATGACGACAGTGAAGTTCTTATCAGTGGGATTTTTATCTAAAGAGAGAGACACGAGAAAAATGTCAATTGTCATGTTCAACACCTACCAGGTCTCCCCAAGCTACATATGGCAGGCAGAGCTGACATCTTAACACTCCGGTAATGACTGAAAACACATGGTTGGTGCTTCAAACCCACATACAGTTCTTGGGAGTTTTGCATACTGTGGACCACGGCCATCCTCTTTGAGCTGATGTTTAAAGCTGAGACCAACAAGTGAGAAGAAACCAGGGAAGAAACTGAGCTGAGCTGGTGAGAAGACAAGGGTGGGTAGGCAGAACTGTGGGAGAGGTCTGGGTTTCCTTTCAAGCTTACTGATTTTTCTGGGGCTATACAGACACTGGACATAGAGGACCCAGGACTTGCTGGTGGGTGTGAGGGTTGGATTAAGATGAGTCAAGGGTAACATTGAGATTTACGGCCAGTGTGATTGCATGGATACCATTTACCAAGTTAGGGAAGCCAGGAGAGAGGTTTTATGGGATTATTTCTGTGGGGACCTGAGAAGGGTACCATGATTGTGATAGTTTCATCTCACCTCCTAAGCTTGATCCAGAGGAGGCAGCTAGCTGGATTTCTACTGGCAAGGATTTCACTTTTCTTGCCTGTCCATCCCCACCTTCCTAGGTGCTTGTTTTCTCCGGGGTGAACTGGACTGTCTGGCCTCAGAGAGCCCTGATGGTCCTGCTATTTGAACTCGATGGAGGGCAACCATTTCCCTGTTATGACCTCCATTTCCTGAAACCTGCTGAGTTTCTCCTTCCCCAAAATTAGAGCCACAGCCCTGTACCTGCTGACTTCTGGCCACCAGTAAGAGAGACAGGAATTTCCTTGATGACCTTAGCCCTGGGACCAGGTCAGAGGGTAGGGAGACTACTCTGCCATCTTTAGTAATTGTCATGCCCGTCCTCCAGGGGGCACTAAGGACATTTCCCTGGTGTCAGAACTAAGTTTATAGGTCACTCTTAATTTTTGCACAAGCAGACTCTTTAGCTATTTAGGATGTTCTGGGGCAGAGTTATCATTGTGGCCACCTGGACACTTCAATCGTGATGCCTACATACAGACCAGTAATGTAACAAAGACCACTAGTCATGCCCCTGACCTCTCAGTGTTTGAGTGGTGCCCTTTACATTTGGGGCACTGCTAGGAACATATCGGTCATAACAACAGTTTCTCTGTCCCACTTGAGTTATCTGCTGTAAACCACATTTTAGTGGAATTAAACTTCTTATTGCGTATTTGAAATTATTAACTCTTACTATTGAAAAGCGTTAATGTTCTAATGCTATCCACTTCTATTTTGCAGTATGTAACATTTTTATTAGAGAAATTATAATGAACAATGTTAAAAGAATACTAAGCCCTTGTAACATTGAATACAAAATTAAAATCTCATCTTATATTATCCCTTTATTTTCTATCTTGGGTAAGGGATGCTGTGTATGAAATAGTTTATTGTTCCCTGGACCAATTTGTTGGCCATAAGTCCAGGTAAGTAACCTGATCGGGGAAAGGCTTTGCTCCCATAGATGGAAGGGTTGAGATTCTGGGTGGGAAGGAAGTCCCCTCAAAAGGGACACTGACTGAAGACAGAAATCTACTTGGTCAGAAAGATGGAGGGAATCAGATACACCAGGCCCACTGAGGCAGCCACTCTGGATCAGGGTGGGCAGAGACACTGTAAGGTGCAGGCTGATGAGACCCAATTCTGCTTGTCATAGAAAATTTCATCTTATGTTGTAAAAGCACAGCCATATAAAGGGACCTATACTTGGGACCTCTGTGTACAACTTCTAGGCTCTGAGTCTCGCAGCTGTATTCAATGTTTCAAGGGCTTAGGATTCTTTTAACATTGCTCATTATGATTTCTCTAATAAAAATGATACATACTGCAAAATAGTAAAATAGAGGTGGATAGATAGCATTATCTGTAGACTCAGGAGGGGGTAAACTGAACAAGCTGGGCAGATTCTGTGACAAGGACCTGTCAGTATCAGCCCAGCCTCCCTGAGGAATGAAGCCTACGCCAGATGCCCACAGAGGCAGGGGACTTACCAATTTCTTAAGTTCCTATAAAGAGAGGTGGCTGCCTATGCTATGTGGACGTTCTTCATAATGCCTCACAGTGTCCACTGGGCATGGGCTATCAAGGGTCGGATGTTTGCCTGGTTGAGAGGACGGATTTGTGTGGAAGATGCGTGAGTCTGAGTTACTGAGAGGGTTTACTTACCGATGACCTTGGAGTCGCTGAACTTGAATCTGCAGATAATTTCGCTGAGTTTCTTTGCATTATGAAAGCCATATCCTTTTAAGATGAGTGGGTCATCTTCTGCAAGGACAACGTGAGGAAGAGGTGGTATGGCCCTGGTTGCGTTGCTTATGATGGCCCCGGACAGGATTTCCAGGGCCCCATGAGAAGCAACAGCCATGTCTGTACCCACATCCATGGGCTCCACAGGCCAAATTCTTCTATGTCACCAAGGGGCCATGCCAATATAGCTGAGTGGAGCCTCCTACATGCTGGTTACCTCTCTCCACCATTCCTGATTTAATAGTCTGCAAAACCCAACAAGTGTACAGGGGACAGTCCTAAACTCCCCTGCCTCCAGGTTGGAGACCCTAGAAATAAGGTTAGAACAAGAGGGGACAAGGGAGGCCCCTGACCCACCCAAGGGTGTCTTTCACAGAAGACATTTTGTTTCAGCTGCAAAAAGACAGAGGCCAACATATCCCTTTCTCACCTTCTCCTTCTGCCTTACCAACTGAAGACTATAGCTCATTAGCAATTTCCTTCTGACAGCAGTGGGGTTGCTCCCTGGCTTTGAGTTCAGTATACAGGGGACACAAAGAGGGAATCTTGCTAGCTATTCCCACAGGAGAAAGGCAGGATTCTCTCATCGCCATTTATCTGAGCAGATTCCATGGGGATGGGCCTGGCTTATTCCTGGCCCCTGAATGTTTCAGATGTCCCGTGCAATGTCCCTGCTTCAATCTCTATGGCACACACGTTGACTCAACTCAGGGAAATAACCCATTGATGTGGGGTGTCCTTCTGTATGTGTGTTGCTTTTATTGCTTGAATAATAAAGCTGTTTCAGCCAATGGCTTAGCAGAGTAAAGCTAGGCAGGAAGTTCAAACACAGAGAGAGAGAATAGGCAGAGTTGAGGAGATACCATGTAGCCGCAGAAGAAGCAAGTTGTGAGGTAACAAGCCACGAGCCTCATGGTAAAATATAAACTAATAAAAATGGGTCAGTTAATAGAGAGAGCTAGCCAGAAATAGCCTAGCCATTGGCCAGACAGTTGTAACTGATATTAAGCCTCTGAGTGGTTATTCAGGAAAAGGCGGCAGAGAGAAACTGGTCCAGGGGAACAGTGGAATTTACCACCCATTTGGGCTACTGGCCTTTGGAGTTCCCCAAAGTGACAAGTACCCTGTATATCCCAGCTTTGCACAGGACCAACACTAGTTTACCAGGTCCGTGGTTAAGCTGGTGCCTGGAGCTGCTTGTCATTGTGACTCAGCTGCAGTGAGGAGAATGACAACTTGTATTTTCACCTGGAGTTTGTCATAGCTACCCAGACACCAAGTCCTAGGTATGTACAGTCTAGGGACAGCCAGAGAGACATGTATCACTTGGGTAGGTTGCAATGCTGGATTCCTTTACCCAGAAGCAGGAGAGAGCCTATAGAAGGGTCTTCTATCCCTTCACCTCTCAGTTACCAAACCAGGTTCTGACACACACACACACACACACACACACACACACACACACACACACATATGTGAAGAAAGAGAGAGAGAAAGAGAGAGAGAGAGAGGGAGAGAGAGAGAGAGAGAGAGAGAGAGAGAGAGAGAGAGAGGGAGAGAGAGAGAAAGAGAAGGCAGAGTCAGAGAGATGCCAATGTAGCCACTGAAGGAGAAAGATGTGAGCCACCAGTCAGAACCTTACTGGTAAACTATGAGCCTCGTGGTAAAATGTAAAACAATAGAAATGGGTTAATTTAAGATATAAAAGCCATCTAGAAATATGCTAGAGTCATTAGCCAAGCAGTGGCACCATGAATATAGTTCAGTGTGATTTTTGTGGGTCTGGGCAGCCGGGAAACAAACGAGCAGCCTCTGCCCACAAGAGTTAAAGACTAAATGTTGTAGCACTTACAACCTCCAAATGCTACATCTACTGCTTCTTATCTCCCAACTGACCTGGCACAGTATTTTCATCCATTGAAGGAAACACTGCAGCCTTCCCCAGACTGGGTACCATGGGTATCGGAGCTTAGATGTGAGTATAGCCCTGTCTTCTCAAATCTAGAACCAGGGCTCCCACAGAAGGCAAAAGCCAGGACCCAGCATCTGGGCTGGAAGCAGTTGCATAGCTGACTGTCCCCACAGGAGACTTGGGGTTTCCTCTCCTCCTTTTTATTAGGGTTCAAATGCCATCCACGTGAGGACCAAGCCTGCTGTACACAAAACTCCTGAACAAAGAGGCAGCCTTTCCCTAAGACCACACCAGCATGTTCTTGGCACACTGAAGTGGGAATCTGAGGCTTTAGAGAGGGTACCCTTGTCAGGTCTGTGAGTGTGACTGCCTATGTGGATATTTCTGTCAAGTACGTAGGCTTCCCCCTGTTCCCTGTAGCACAGTGGGTGTTCACGAGGCCTGATTCTTCCTTTTCATCCACTGACATGATCACATCGTTGCTGTCCCTGTTTTATGGATGTGGAGGAACCAAATGGTTCTTGACATGCAGCTTGGACATTTTTCATCTGAACAGGTGGAGTCTGAAATGCTCCAAAATTGAGAACTTTTTGAGACTCAACAGGACTCCAAAAGCGGAAACACTCTGAAAATTCACATTTTAATCCTGCTTGAGTCTTAGGTGAAATGCAGTTGCTCCAGAAGTGATGTCTGATCTCACCTTCAGCCTGTATGCACGCAGTGTATGGTGGAACCTGAGTCTCAAGTCATCTTATTATATCTATGTAAATCTTAAAAACTGGAATAGTACACTATCCAAGACCAATTCTAACAGTAAGGCTGCAAATAAGGGTGCTTAGCGTGTGATAGCTTTCTGTGTGTGTGTTTTTCCTACATTACAACTAAAAGCTCTGTTTTGAGACAAAAAGATGGTAGTTGCATACATGCCCACATTGCCACCACTGTCACACACCCTTTGACAAATGTCCATTGCATTATAACTAGTCATGAAGATAACACATCTACTTGCCCCCTCTAAACCACCAAATCCATGACATACTCCAGTTCACATAAGTACATAAGACACACAACACTGAATGTTCCATGTTTACTTGCTTCAATACTGTATCACATATCACACTTCTTAAAGATACACAACAAACACACAATAGCACACACCCCATACCCTACACACTCATCATATACATTTACCACACATACCATACACAAATCACACGAAACCCCCATGAACCACATGTGACATTAGGTATCACATAGAGCTTATGCAACTAGAATAACACAGTTCACACCTCACAAACACAACACACACATAATGGAGACATGTACACATGCTCCATTTGGTATCATAAACACCAAATGTGCTACATAGATACACACGTCACATAGACAAGTTGTACGAAAATGTATATCATATATACTATATACACATATGTTCATACTACAAGTAGGGGGTACAAAAAACAAATACACACAATATGAACACACTCTGCCACCCACATTATATGTCATGTGACTACTTACACCACATCCACCCACATCTGCACTGGCACATATATCACACAGCGCTTGTGCAAACATGCCACGCTCATTCCATGCATCCTAAGTACCCATTTGCATACACACAAATGACCTGTACCCAAGCAGCTACTCCACAAATCTCACCTCCTATGCACAGAGAGGAAGGCTCAATACTTCTGAGTTCAAGGCAGGTCAGTGTTCCAATCTGATAAAGAAAGAGAAGAATGGCTAGGCAGTGAGAACCCTGGGGGCCCAGTGAGATGCTGTGACCCACGCTGCTTCTCTCTACCCTACTCACCGAGTCTACTAAGCTATGAAACAGTGTAGCTGGACCTTCCACAATGAACACCTTGTCTTCGCTGTCTGCAATTCCATTCAGCTACAAGAGAGAGGATGCGTCTTGAGACCCAAGCTAGAAGACAGGGGACAAAAGGGGTCTCTAGATGTGAGACACAACCTCTTGCCTTCAAGTGATGATGACTATGAGGTGCCAATGTCTGAGGACAACTTATTCAACCGTTAGATATATTTCTGCAGTGAGACCTGTTGTTTGTGTCTCCTAGGACAGGCACACACCATCCTCTGGGAGGTAGGGTAGCTGCCTTTGAGACCTTCCCCCAGTTGGCTTCAAAGAGCACCTGCTTACTTGGGCCAAGATACCTTATTTCTGTCATAGAAGTCCATACCGACACAGTAAACATATGCCCCCATGCTCCGAGCTTTATCAGCCTAAGAGAAAGGAGGTACTGATTAAACAGGCAAAATGCATAAACTGCTTGGGAGGATGGGTTAGACTCACCTCCTTCTTAGATGCCTTCAACACTCGTGGTGACATTTTCCCCCAAACCGCAATGATAACCAGACTAGATCTTGTAGTGGCTGAAAAAGAAGCGAAGAGTAGCAGGTTGGATGGGGCTGCAGCCCCGTACTGTTTAAAACAGGCAGGCCTGGCGGTCCCCACTACTCGGCCTCCTGAGACATCACCCACTAAATAAAACTCCTGGAGAGTTAGGGCCCTGCTATCCAGTGACCAGGACTCCCAGTCACATACCATGAGTCCAGCCTATCCCTGGATGGCAGGAGGAAAGGGCAGCCCTTATGCCAGGGAGGTTTGTGCCAACTCTAGATACATTCCCAGGGCTGCCCTTCTGGTAATGGTGGGCACAGTGAGTCAGCAACACAAACAAACTGGCGCATCTTGGAAGAAAGAATGCCAATTTCCTTAACATTTTTTTTTCTACATGGTTCAACTTATTTGAGGTAAATGCCACAGACCTCCACTCGGGAGGAACATGGGTCCTAGCTTTGCGTGGAAGTTATGCTGGCAGATACAGAGGCCCAGGAAGCAGGTCAAACAAAGGAGGAAGTGAAAGTAGCCTAATAGCCTGACGGGAGGGGGGGGGCGGTAATTAAGCCCTGGCTTCCACACACAGGGTCTTTAGTCTGCTCAGGCCCTGTGTTTTCTTCTGTGTATTCTCCAGTCCATCTGTATGCCAAGGACCCTTGTGGGAACAAAGCCAACACGTGACAGCATGCAGTTTCCGGCCCTCTCAGGAGCCTCGTGAGTGAGTCGGGTGCTGTGCTCCAGAGGGGCCAGCTGTGCAGGGTGGGGGCACCAGCTTCCAGAGTCCAACTTGAAGAGGCTCAGAATCTGCCCACAGACCCTGTAGGAAGCCCAGCTCCGTGGGTCCTGCCCCACTGAAGATGTGCAGGCAGCTCACCTCCTGAGTTGGCCATTTGGATCTGTTCATTCACCTACCAGAAAATGAAGAAAACTCAGTGACAATGGGGTGAGATGGCCCCAGGGGTAGTCTACGCAGTGCCAGCACCCAAATGTGGTTCTAGACCTCCAAACCTTTTCCAGTGCTTCGTTTAGATATGTTAATCCTTGTATCAGAAGCGTCTCCACGCTGGTGAGTTCATGGCGGATTTTTTTTCTGAAGTGAAACAAGGGTTAGGTGAGGTATGCGGACAGTGCCAAGCTTGCTCCAAGCTCTTGCACAGATTCATTCATTGTACAGACTGCAAGCATGGGGCGAGCACCGGGTCCCCATCACCCTGTCTTTCTGTCTTTCTTTCCTGAGTCTTTCTCTGGCCCCTTAGCACTGAGGAAGCTCAGAAGGTGACAGTGTTGCCCAGTGGGTCCCAAAGAAAGGTTTGGTTTTCTCTGAGGTCATTCAGACTTTGGGTACCTTGATAGAGGCCCTACTTGTATCACCCTTGAGGCATAGAATGGCATCTTAGGGATGTGTGACTGAGTCACGGGGCACTACACTTCTAATGGAGAACCTAATGCCATAGACGTTCTCCTTTCCTTCCGTGGATGGTGTTGAGGAGGTCCATGCCACTCTCCTGGGGTGAGGTTGAACCACTGCCTGGCTCCTATCCCATGGCCACAGAGCCCTGGCCTGCCACGCTTCCTTCTGTTCTACTTAAGGCAGTGGTCAGTCTGTTTATACTTGGGGCCTGCTGCAGACTCCACGTGCAGAAGACCCATCGTTGAGAATGAGACCCAAGGACTGTCCGCAAGGCTTGTGCTCCCAAGGCTGGAAAGGAACACGGTCTGTCGGGTGCTATTAAAGCGGACAGAACACACTGGGGTCAGCAGTGACTCTGTGACTGTTCTAGGGCAGGAAGGAGATACACGTGGGATTTAGGATAATCCAATGTGACAAGGCAGTGCAGGCTCAGCAAGTGACCGAGAATAAACCCAGAGTGACTTTCTTCTGGGACAGTGAGACCCTGCTGTGGACTAAGCTTCAAGGGTCCCATGCCTGGCCCAGCTAAGCACTGCCTAGAAGCTGAGGACAGCATACCCATAATCCTCAGTGTGGGTCTGACCAGGGCTTGCCCACCCCACTCCAGCCCTTCCCCTCTGTCCAGTCCAGCCCCTTTTCTCTTGTCCAACCTCGCTCTATTCCCCAGTCCAGTCTAGCCATCCTCCCTCTGCCTAGGTCAGCTGCTTCCTTTCTGCTCAGGTCAGCCTTTTACTCGGTCCAGCCCAGCCCCTGCTGACTCTCTGGGTTCCCTACTACTCTCCTTCCCCTCCCTGCTACCTCCCACTCAGTCAGGAGGCTTGAAAACTGTGAGCCTGTTTCCGTACTGAGCAGAAGTCAGAGAGCTGGGATTTCCCTCTAATTCCTTCAAGGTTACTGTGCTTCTACCTCAAAACAAAGGTGCCACCTAGTTGTTGACCAGACAGTTCTGTTCTCTCAAGGTTGTTGTCAACAGGTGAGGCTAATGGCCAGACCTTGTGTTCCAGGAAGAGAGAAGTAGATTGTTCCTACCTCAAACAAGAGTCTAAGGACCCAACTAAGTTCCAGTTCCCTTTATGGAGATAATGTGGGATTCCACCCAGGGAGTGGTTTGCCTACAGACTGTTTTGGTCTAGGGTGTAAAAGTTTTGCTCTAGCAACAGAATATTTAACTAGGAATGTGGCCCTCAGCCTTCAACTGATATGTTTATTTCCTTGTATCCTGTTAATGCAGTCTTTTGTCTTACTCATACCTTTTGGGGTAAGGGGTATTTTAAGCCATTGGAAATTAAATGTGGGTGAATTTCAGTACTCACTGGAATTCCCTCCCCATATTGTCCTATATGCTTCTATATTTTATTATATTCATATTCTTTTCTAAATCCCCATGCCTTTATCTTGGCGAGAGGTATTTTTGTCGTGGCTGGTCTCCAACACCAAACCCAAACCACTATGCCTTCCTCAGGCCCCGAAGAGATTCCCTCCCTATTCCTTCTGGGGTGCTATCTCTATAAGTCTGGGGTGCGTCCCACTTCCCTCCTAATTTCTAGCTTTCTCCAAGGGCCCTGGACAGAGGGTCCCATAATTCATTATACCTCCAATTCCACATATCCATGCCTCCTTCTCTGTCTCCCTTGTTCTGTAGGAATCCCAGACAGGGCATCCAAAATTTTCCATTTCAGATAGACAGAGATCTCCAATTTTTAGCATCTGGGACTGTGGACACAAAAGGGCCACCCTCCCCCAGTGGCTGCCTGTCCCTCATACTTCCTCCTAGTACCTAGTTCTGGGCATTCATAGTCTCATGCTGAGGTTTCTCTACCTATAGTCAAAGGGGATACTAGATGCAGTCCATCTATCTCCCTGCTCACTCTACTGGTCCAGGGAGATGGTGAGCAACTCAGAATAGAACATGCATAGGCAAAACTTTGAGGGGATACACATATCTGCCCTACTGGCTCCCTAGATCCTACAGGTTTTCACAATCAGGGCCAAGGGAAGATTCTGGAGTGTGACGGAGGGAAAGAGTGGAGAATTTCTGGAATTGCAGGGGCCGTGGGTTCTAGTGAAGCAAGGATTTAAGGGGACTGGTGATCTGGGGTTAGAAGTCAGTTTGGTGCTGGCCAGCCACCCTAGGGACAATGGAAGTCACATGGAGGTCTTCTGGAGCCTGGAGATGCCTTGCCCAACCCACAAGGCAAGCCTTGTAGTCAGACAGTACCTACCTGTCTGCAGTGAGTGGCATTTTGACTGTAACTTTATCATCAAAGAGAATGAAGGACATCCGCAGATTGGGGCTGAGGACAAAACACGGTTGTGAGAAGCTGATGTAACAGGTCAGTAGCCCGATAGGAAACAACAGGGATGGGATAAGCCAAATCTCTGCTCCAACCCCATCTCTTCTGCATGGGGGACATTTCATAGGTGGGGAGTCCAGACAAATTCAGTGAAGGATTCTGAAGCCTATGGAAATGTAGGGCTCTTAGGAAGAAAGATTGCTAAGATGACCCCATGCTCCCTTCCTGTGCTCCAAACCCAACACACACACACACACACACACACACACACACACACAGATACATATTTAAATGGATTCCTACTTTCTGTGACAGAAAACCCTGAGCAAAGGCAGCTAAGGGGGAGGAAAGGGAGTTGTTAGCTTACACTTCTAGGTGATAGGTGATAGTTTTAGAGAAATCACAGTGAGGGGATCTTGAGACAGCTGCTCGAATTAGATCCACAGTCAAGAGCAGAGAGAAACAAATACATCCATGCTTGCCTTACTTCACCTGTTCTATGTAGTTCAGGGCACTATGAGCTTGGTCTTTGTACACCTTCAATTAACGATCAAGGCAAGCCCACAAAGATGTACATACCCACAGGTCAATCTGATAATTACTCAAACATGAGAGAGTATGCTCATGAAGGGGGAAGGACAGAGGAGGAGAGAAAGGAAAGAGATATCTTGATAGAAGGAGCCATTAGGGGGCTAACAAGAAGCATGGCACTAGGGATATTCCCAGGAATCCACAAGGATGACTCCAGCTAAGACTCTAAGCAACAGTGGAGAGGATACCTAAGCTGTCCTTCCTCTGTAATCAGATTGATGACTACTTTAATTGTCATCATAGAACCTTCATCCAGCAGGTGATGGAAGCAGATACAGAGATTCACAGTGAAGCACTGGGCCATGCTTCCAGAGACCAGTTCAAGAGAGGAAGGAGTGATAATATGAGCAAAAGGGTCAAGATCATGATGGTGATACCCACTGAAACAGATGACCTGAGTTGTGAGATCTCACTGACTCTGTACTGAAAGCTGGGGAATCTGCATAGAACAAAACTAGGCCCACTGAATGTGAGGGACAGTTGTGAGGCTTGAGCAGTCTTTGGAGCCATTGGGAGTGGGACCAGGTTTTATCCCTAGTGCTTGAACTGGCTTTTTGGAGCCCATTCTTTTTGGAGGGATATCTTGTTCTGTCTAGATATAGGGGGGAGGACCTTGGGCTTGCCTCAAAGTGATGAGTCAGATTTTCTTGACTTCCCATGGTAAGGCCAATCCTCTCTCTGGAATGGATGGGGGAAGGTAGGGGGAGTGGGAGGAGGGGAGGGAGTGGGAAATGGGGATAGCCATGTAAAATGAGAAAATATTGCAAAAAAAGAAAGACTGTTCTAGGTGGTGGGAGCTGACATCTAAAACTATCCAGCATACATGCTGAACAGGCAAGTTGACAACAATATTTCCATGGGTCCCTCCCACCCACCTGGCACTTGGACTGTCATGTCCTTCACTTGTCCAATCACCCTTTCTCATTCTTGTTCCCCATTTCTGAGGCAGGATTAGCTAATTCTAAAGAGATCCACGGGACCAATCTTCTATGTCCCCTGGCCTGCCTAGCACACTAGCTTTGATCTGTACTCACTCCACAAGGGATTCCCATGCCCTCCCCCAAAACCTAATCTGCTTGCCAGTGGACCCCTCCTGACAGGAGTCTTTAGGGCACAGACATACTTCAGGTATTTCTCCACCATATCTTCCCAGGCTGTGAACATGCCAGCCCAGTCTGTCACGGCACTGGACCTGCAAGGAGATGAGACTTAAGTCATCAGAGTGAAGTGGATGATGGGAGAGCCAAGTGGATCACACATCTTTCTACTTTTCTCATATTGCCCCCTATCAACTTCCCTCCCCTCTCCCATGGTCTTATTTCCTCCTCTGTCTCCTTAAAAGTCCCACTTTAATATCATTATCTACACATTCTCCTCTCTCTCTCTCTCTCTCTCTCTCTCTCTCTCTCTCTCTCACACATGCACACAGAGGAAGGTTCTGTACATGTTAAAGTTACTTAGTATCCAAGTTTCCTAGGAGCCTACCAAACTTGGACATTCTGATTGGGAAGGCTGTTTCATTCAGGCACCTTCACATGAGGGTAGGTACAGGCCTGGTCATGGCTACCCTGACATCACAGGTCCCAGCTGATGTGGGACTCCCCTCTGTATGCTGTGAATATGTTTTGTTATCATTGATTAATGAATAAAACTGCTTTGGCTTACAGCAGGGCAGAATAGAACAAGGCAGCAATTCCAAGCAGAGATAGAGGAGAAAAGTAGGTAGAGTTGAGGAGATGCCATGTAGTCACCTGGAGTAGGTGGGCCTTCTGTGTATGTGTTACTATTATTGGTCAAATAAAGAAACTGCCTTGGCCATTTGATAGGACAGCAGCTTAGATAGGTGGAGTAGACAGAACAGAGTGCTGGGAGAAAGAAGCAGAGTCAGGCAGAAGCCATGGCTCTCCTCTCCAAGATGGACATAGGTTAGACTCATCCCGGTAAGCCACAGTCACGTGGTGATATACAGATTATTAGAAATGGGTTAATTAAGATGTGAGAGTTAGCCAAGAAGAGGCTAGGTATAATGGGCCAGGAAGTGTTTAAATGAATACAGTCTCCATGTAATTATTTCGGATGTAAACTAGCCAGGCGGCCAGGAGCTGGGTGGCTGGCGTGAAAGCAGCCTGTCACTCCTTTTACAACAGATTGGCTGCCCAACATGGTACCTAACTCCACGTAAAACCTAAGAGGGCTTAAAAAGGAATTCTAGACACAAATATAGCGTTTAACACAGCTTTTTACTGTTTGCTAGGGTGTCCTGACTCAGCAAAAGCAACAGAAAAAAAGTTGCGCCATTTCAAAAAGTGGCTTCCTGGGCCCTGCTGCCTGTGCAATCTCTAGCTATGGAGCATTTCTGGGCCAGAATGTTTGTGTGCCCACTCGGGGTTGGGAACAAAGTACCTGAGACCATGCCCGGGGCTCAGCTCTTCCTGCCTGAGTAGGCAGCAGGATCAGGTCTACCAGAAAGTGGAGATTTTGAAATCCCAGTTTCTGGGCTGTGCTGCCATCGCTATCTCTGTCAGGCTCCTGTGGGAGACAGAGCTTTTGAATGGAGCATTTAGAGTAAAGCGCTATGGTTTATTTGATGGCAACTAGACTTGTGTGTGCCTAAAAGGGGGTCATTGCGTGCTGCGGCTCAGAGGCACAAGCAGCAACACAGGCAATAAGCTCCGCCATGTTGGACTGGCTTGGGCAAGCAGGCAGTACCTGTTTTTGACATAGGAATGTCACAGCTTAGATTCTTAAGAGCTTAACGATTTGAAAGTGCAAAGCAAAAGTGTTCCTGGACAGTTAAAAAAAGTTACAGGCAATGCAGTAGGACAGATTCAGACATAAAAGACCTCTAAATGGGTCATAGTGTTAGATAGACATACATAGGCTTGGGAGAGAGAATAAGAAGAATGTAGACAATAAAGTTAATGCTTTAAAAAAGGGAGTAAAGTCTTTTAAAAGACAGAGTACAGATAGTTATAGATTAAAAGAAATAAAGAAAAGTAAGCCATGTAAAAATGGAAAATTCACAGAGAGTTTGGATTCTATATATTGTATTTTCTTTCAATTTTTTGACTGTGAAGGAGCTAAATACAGAGAGACATTTCATTTTGTGGTCTGCTAAGCTCATCCAACATGTGTATTATAAAGCTTTCTTGACTTCAAAATTTGGATCTAAGGATATGATACTTTGGAAAAGAGATTCTTCTTTTGTTTTCACAGATGATGAGACCCTGTGGATTGCATCTATCCCAATATGGTATGATAGACCACGCCCTCCTGAAAGGTTGCTGTGAACACCCTCAAAAAATTACTTTGCTCAACTGCCAACTAAGATGAACCTAGCTGACAGGTTATGCCATGAAAGACCTAATTAACAGCGCCCCCATACAGCAGGAAAAAGTTTGGAGAGAAATAATTATGTCCATATTCCCAGATATTGTTTAAAAATGTTCTTTTACATTTAAAGGGGGATATGATATAGATATGAATAATTTACATTGGTATAAATCTTGATTTATTGATAGAAATTTAAGGTCAATTTTGTTAAATGTATATGTATTTCTACTCTTGATTAAAGTATTGTGTTTGTGTAGTTCATTTAAAAGTATAATGTATAATTAGGAAATATAGGTTGTTAATGGATAATCATTGATAATAGTCAAGCTTATAGTCATGTTAGATTTTCTAGATGTGCATAGATATATTTCAGATAGGCATTCTTCATATCTTTCAAAGACTACAGAATATGGCATTTAATGTTTTAATAACTTAGGGCTGTTCATAACAATGAGACACGTCTGTTCCTGGCAGCACCAATCTACTTCAAGAGGAAGATGAGCATTGAAGAGGCTCCTTATGGAGCTGGTTAGTTATTTGGGCAAGAAACTGCTCTTGCCTGGACTGTTGTATAAACTGGACACAGAGAACCCGCAGAGGGAGGACTGCTGAACTTGCCTAAAGGTGAGATGATCCTTCAGGGTTCCTGGTTCATGAAAGAGTCTGTGAGACATTCTGCAGGACACAGAAAAAAGTGACTGAACTGTTTTGAATTTTCCTGCTTCATGAACATGTCTGCTGGAAACTATGGGCCTGTAGGTTGAAGATGAATACCCCAATGGTACAAAAGAACTTTGGATGACTGTCCAGGCAGTGAGATGTCTCTGTCATTTAGAGTTTTGAAAGTTGCTTATTTTTTGTTTGCTTAGGTAATATTATATCCTTCTGGAGTCTTTGATGGAGTTGAAGAATGGTTAGTTATAGTTATAGTTTTCCTTAGTTATGATAAAAGATAAAATAGATATAAATATCGTAACTGTAATTCTTGCTTGATAACTGTTTTGCTATATGTAATTTTACTATGTTAAAGTTAAAGCCTTCCTTTTTGTTTAAACAAAAAAGGGGAAATGGTGTAGGAGGGTCTTCTGTCTATGTGTTACTTTCATTGGTTAAATAAAAAAAAAACTGCCTTGGCTTTTTGATAGGGCAGAATTTATATAGATGGAGTAGACCGAATAGAATGCTGGGACAAAGGAAGCAGAGTCAAGCAGACACCATGGCTCTCTTCTTCGAGATGGACACTGGTTAGACTCATGCTGGTAAGCCACAGTCAAGTGGCGATACAGATTATTAGAAATGGGTTGAATCAATATGTGAGAGTTCTAGCCAATAAGAGGTTAGAACTAATGGGCCAGGCAGTGTTTAAATAAATACAATTTGTGTGTTGTTATTTCAGGTAAAGCTGGCCTGGAGCCAGGCAGTGGGAATGCAGCCTGCCACTCCTTTTACAACAGTCACCAAAGGAGACATCCACATAAAACCTGAGAGAGTTTTAAAAGAAATTTTAGACACATAATAAAAGCAGAATTCAGCACAGCTTCTTGGTAGCTACATTTGCTTTCCAGATGGGCTCTGTTTGCTGGCAATGAGCAGGGCACCACAACTCCTTTAAGGGAAGTCTTCCTGATGCAGCATTGGCAGTGAAGGCTGTGTAGCTTCTTTATGGAAGACTTCCTGGTTTGTACTAGTTGTGTGAACAGCTCTGGCTCTTTTAGAAGGCTGAGCACTTAAATGGGGTCTGTGAACAGCATGTTACAAAGTGCTTAATGGTAACATAGATCTGCTACAACCCTGGAGCTGGGACAGTATGCATGGCTCTCAGAGACAGCTGGGTGCAGCAAGCAAGCAGGGCAGTGGAGTTGTTCCTAGCCATGCCTGCTTAGCATTTAAAAGAAAAAAACCACTCCTGGTCAGAAAATAATTGCAGATACACACACAATAAAAACAAATTCAGATGAAAAAGACCTCTAAATGGGTAAACAGTGTTGGATAGATGTACGTAGACTTGAGAGAGAAGGGAAATATAGAGAGAAGAGAGAGTATAGACAGTTATAATATAAAAGAGTGCAGACAGTTATAAATTAAAGAAGTAAGGATAAGAAAATAAATATTAAACTTGTAAAAAAGGTAACAGAGTAAAAACAATAAACCATGTAAAGATGGGATATACAACAGAGAGTTTGGATTTTGTATATTACTGTGTCTTCTTTGAATTTTTTGATTGAAGGAGCTTGAGCTAAGTACAGAGAGACATTTTATTATATGGGCTGCTAAGCTAAGCCAACATATATATTTTAAAGGTATCTTGATTTCAAAATTTGAGTCTAAGAATATGTTGCTTTGGAAAAGAGATTTTGCTTTTGTTTCCACAGAGGACAAGAACCTATGGGTTCCTTTCAGCTAATGTGGTTTGTTAGACCAAGATCCCCCAGAAGGTCTCCATAAATCCTCAAAATACTTCACCCAACCAGAACCAGGAAGCAGTTTGGGAAGAACTATGTCCAAATTTACAAATATTTTTTATAAATGTTTGTTTACATTTAAGGGGAGATATGATATGCAAATTAACTTTGCACTGGTATGGATCTTGGTTTATTGATACAAATTTAATGTCAATCTTGTTATATGTATATTTCTGCTCTCGATTGAGGTATTGTGTTTGTGCAGCTAATTTAAAACTGTAATGTAAATTAATAAATATAGGTTAATAGCAATCTATAATAGTCAAGCTTGTAGTCATGTTAGGTTTTCTAGATGTATAGAGATATATGTCAGATGGATAGTTATTCTTCAAACCTTTAAAGGACTAACAGAATATGGCATTTAAAATGTTTAAGAACTTAAAGCTTTTCTCAACAATGAGGCATATCTGCTCCTGCCAGCACCAATCTAGTTCAAGAAGATGATGGACATTGAAGAGGTTCCTTATTGAGTTTGCTAGCCAAGAGAAACTGCTCCTGCCTGGACTTCCTGATGGTATGTTATATAAACTGGACATGCAGCACCTGCAGAAAAATGACTGCTAAAGTTGCCTAAAGAAGGTGAGACAGTCCTTCAGGGTTCCGGCTTCATGAAAGAGCCTGCCAGACATTCTGCAGGACACAGAAGAAAGTGACTGATAAACTGTCAAATTCTACTTTCTACTCCCAAAGACTTGTAGCAATGTCATAATGCAAAAATGCATTCAGCCCAACTTCAGAAGTCCCCATAGTCTATAACAACCTCAAACTTATTTAAAAGTCTAAAGTTCAAAGTCTTTTCTGGGATTCATGCAATCTCTTAACTGGAATTCCCTGTAAAACTAAAATAAAAAAAAAGCAGATCACAGACATCCAACAAATAATGGCACAAGATATACATTATCATTCCAAAAACATAGGGAAGGGAACATAGTGAGGAAATACTGGACCAAAGCAAGACTGAGAAACAGCTGGGCAAACTCCAAACTCTACATCTCCATGTCTGATGTCAAAAATGCTTTTCAGATCTCCAACTCCTTTCAGCTTTGTTGACTGCAACACACTTCTTTCTCTTGGGCTGATTCCACTCCCTGTTAGCAGCTCTCTTTTAAATTTGGTGGTTTGAAAGAAAATGGACCCCAAAGGGAGTGGCACTATTAGGAGGTGTGGCCTTGTTGGGGGAAGTGTGTCACTGTGCGGGGAGAGGAGGGTGGACTTTGAGGTCTATGCTCAAGCCATACACAGTGTCACAGTAGATCACTTAGAGATCTCCCAATACCTTCTCCAGCAGCATACCTGCCTACATGCCACCATGTTTTCCACCATGATGGTAATGGACTAAAGCACTGAGAAAAGAGCTGTGAGAACAATCCCACAGCTCTGTCATCTCCAACATCTTGGGCTCTCCAAGGCAATTCAGGTTTCATGAAATGGCCTCTCTGGGCCTCCATTCAGGACACCCCTGACATGTGCCTGACCTCAGCAGCTGTCCTTAGTCACAGTTCATCAAATCACACTCAACACCACTATCTTCCATGTTTCTACTAGCATGCCCCCACTAGGCAGTACTTAAAGCATCCAACTACTTTTCTAATCCACAGTCCCATGTTCTATATTCCTTCAAATAAAATCATGGTCAGACCTATCACAGCAATACCCCAATCCCTGGTACCAAATTCTGTCTATCGTAGTGAAGAGACACCATGACCATTGCAACTCTTATAAGGGAAAGCATTTAATTGGGGTGACTTACAGTTTTGGAGGTTTAATCCATGGTGGGACATGGGCACTCAGGCAAATGTGCTGCTGGAGAAGGACCTGAGAGTGAAGTTTGAGCTAGATCTTGACCAACAGGCAACAAGAAATGATCTGAGACACTGGGCATGGATTAATCATATATGAGACTTTTCTTTTTATTTTAAACCACCACACCAAGCTTAGAATTCTCAAAAATAAAGAAAAAATAATTTTGAGAATTTGGATAAGTGGTGGTGGGGGATAGATGGGCAGTTAGCATATGGATTTTACATCACATAGAGCTAGAAAATGAAAGGAAAATAAGCACTACACTATCAGAGGAACTAAAATCAACTGTTGTGTCTCCCTCAGTCAGCTGTGAAGTGCCCAAGAAAGTATAAAGGGGGCTTCTCTGGTCAAAGACGCCTGAGGGAAGCTGACGGGTCCCCTGAGAGGGCCAGAAGGAAAGTCCTTCCTCTTTTTCCATAGCAAGTAGTGGTTTTCTCTCAAGCTGCTGTTCAACCAACAAGGGCTGACACTCAGATGCTAAGTTCCCTTTACTGGCAGAAACTTGCCCACAGGTTGCTGGCTGTGGAGGGAAACAGCAGAGAGAAGAAATCCAGGCCAGAGAAGGCGTTAAGAGGATCAGGGACTGACTCAGAAGCACGGCCTCCACACTACTGAGTCCTAAGAGCAAAAGGCTCTCAGTCCTCACAGAGCCAGGCCAACATCTTGTCCCTTGTGCACAGCTGTCATAGAGGCAAAGCCTTGACACAGAGAAACCTGGGTAAGAGTTACGGGCTGTGCAGGGATTGGGATTAGGGGGTGTCCATGTTCACTATAAAGACAGACAGTAGAAGACAGGAAACACAGACCTAGGAAAGCCTCGTGCCTTGGGCCCACATCTCCCACCCCAGCCTTTTCTTTTCCTTTTTAGGACAGTCTAAAGCAAATTCACCCTTTTCTCACTTGGACTCCCTGGTGACGTGTTGCAGAGAAGGAAGGAAACTGAAGTCTCTGACTCTAGAGCTCAGTGACTCGGATGTACTTTATCCGGCAGCTCCCATAGTCACCATACCCAAAGGAACAGGGAGAAGTGGAGCCCGAGATGGCAGGTACCAGCCATGGAGCCTTAGCTGGTTTTCTCTTGCTGTGTCCAGTACCATAGCCACAAGCCACTTGGGAGAAGAAAGTGCTTATTTCATCTTGGATCTTACAGTCTATCACGAAGGGAAGTCAGGAGAGGAACTCGAGGAGGAATCTCAAGGCAGGAACTGAGTCAGAGGCCATAGGGAGCACCCCTGCTGACCTGTTCCCGTGGCTGTCTCAGTCTGCTTTCTTATACAACCCAGGAACACCTATCTAGAAGGGGTACTGCCCACAGTGGGCTAGGCCCTCTCATGTCAATCATTAATCAAGACGATGAATCACAGGCACATCCACAGGTCATCTGATGGAGGCACCTTCTCCGTCAAAGTCTCCCTTTTCCTAAATGACGTTATTTCGTGACAAGTTGACAAAAGCCAAGCAGCGCACCCGCGGGGAGCGTTTTTTCTTTCCAGTGAACCAGGGCTGCACTACGCTGAGCCTAGCTCTCAGAGAACGCGGTCATCAGCTCGACCTCGCTCCTGTCCGCCAGCTTCCCTCTCTGTCCACTTCAGGCTTGTGGGTGTCATCCTGGCTTCTATCTCCCTGCCCCCTTCACTAGGTATGGCCACCACAGAGCTTGCAATCTGCTGTCTCCCAGGCACTGCGTGGGCTTCTGAAGCCCACTCCGCTGCAGCCCCAGATCCACCCCCTTCAGTCATCCAGGCAGACAAAGTGCTCCTCGGAAAACACATATTGGAGCCACCTCCTTTTTCTCAGTGACACCCTGTTATATCTGTCCTCTTTCTTATCTTGCCCCTAATCCCTTCTTCTTATATTGTGATCCTACTGCAATCATCAGAAGTTTGAATCTCAGAGTCTTTGTCCAGGTGGCTCCCTCCCCTGGTCCTCAAAAGCTACTTGAACTAGAAAGCAGGTGCACAGTCGTTTTCTTCAGATTCAATGAAGAAACCAATGAAAGATGATAAATAAAAAAATGGACAAAATCTACCAAAGGACCTCCTGAAGTTTTCCCTCTCTAGGCATAAAGGAAATAAGAGAGATCCAATTTTCTGGATCTCTCCAGAAAAAAATTTTTTTTTGTCTTCGGTTTTTAAAAACAGGGTTTCAAAAAAATAAAATAAAATAAATAAAAACAGGGTTTCTCTGTGTAGCCCCGACTGTCCCGGAACTCACTCTGTAGATCAGGTTGGCCTCAAACTCACAGAGCTCTGCCTGCCTCTGCCTCCTGAGTTCTGGGTTTAAAGGCATGTGCCACCACGCCTTTAATCACTCACTGCCTGGCTTATCACTCACAGACTTTCCCTGCTTCTCTCCTGGCAGAAGCTACCATGCTGCAGGCCTTGTTCCACCAGGGCATGGAAACACATGGGGGTTATCTAGGGCCAGGGTGGCAAGGGCTACTCACTTGTCAAAGACAAAGTAAACATCAAAGTCACCGTCACAATACTGTAGAACCTCTTCCTCCTCCTCCTCCGCCTGCCTTGACCTCCAGTCTTCATAACCATATAACCTAGCAGCAATCTCATGGTAGGGATTTGGTTCAGAGTGATGGCGCAGGGAACTCTGGACTGGGGCAAGTGGCACAGACAATAGCAGCAGTAGCAGCAGCAGCAGCAGGAACACCGAAAGGGACACCTGGGGACTATGGTCTCGCATCTTCTTGGCTGACCCTGTGACTCTACTAGAAATGGGGGCTCTGTGCCAGAGTCTATGCAGGCTGAGTTCTAGCTACCTCAGGCTTCCTTCTCGTCTTCCTCATCCTGCATTAAGGGACATAACCCTTGTGCCTTCTCACGGGTCCTCACAGCTGCTCTCCACTCGATGGCCTCAGAACCTAGAGACTGGGTATGTAGCTGCTCTAGAGCATCCTTCCACTCACTGCCTGTTTCACCCTGCCCCCAATAGCCTGGGGTTATGACGGACAGGGGGGTTGACATGGTGACTTTGTGACTTGCCCCTTTGCTCACTGCCTTCATGTTGACAGTGCCAAGTGGCAGTCATAGGACCTTTGCAGAGGTTTCAGATGAGGCCTCCTTGCCCCTCATCACAGCTCTCCTCACAGAGATCCTTAGGGGCCACCTCAGGAACCCAATTATTCTTTTCACTAGGAATGTAGCAGAGGGAGTGAGGTTACCAGATCACTGAGGGTAAGGAGGCCAAAGGACCAGGAAGCCTATGTGTGGGACACACGAGGCCAGTTGTGTGCTCTCGAGTAAGCCAGGCAGTAGAAGGGTCTAGAAAAGGATAGAGATCGTGCACTGCTGCCAGCATCCTCTGTGAATGGAAGCAGTCCAGGCATTCTTGGCCATGTGACAAGTTGCCCGATCTTGGTGACAACACAGAGCCATTTACTGTGCTCACGAATTCCATGGATCAGACCCTTGAGGAGTGTGGAGTGAGAGCTCCTGGAAAGATGACAGCACCGAGGCAGGACTTGTGTGATGGAGACTGAAATTATCTGGAAGCATCTTCACTACCACCTGTGGTACCCGGTGTGGATGACTCCAAAGGCTCATCTGCAGCCATTCACAGAACCCTTGTATCCATGGATATCTACAACTTGGGGCTCCTCACAGTTTGGTACCATCAAGCGGAGGTCTAGTATCCTAATTGAGGCACATCTCTTCGAGAGCATCTACAGGGGGCAACGTTAAAATATGGAACCCTTGATGACACCAATGTTTGTAGATCAGAGCTCCTGCAGCAGAGAACGCTTAGAAACAAGGACACGGCCCCCGGCTCTCGGATGATTGTGGGTGATCTTGGCCCACGATGACATCATAGCACTTGCAGCACAGGGGAATGTGCGATGGAGAGACAGTTGTGTTTAAAAAGGTTTCAGAACCTTCCAGCTGAGGGTGAACAAGCTTAGAAATACCCCAAATCATTTTTTCTTTGTTATTTATGCATGAAAACAAATCTGATAAAATTGTTATTAGTAAGTCTAAAATAGATCTTTTAATTCATATAACATGCAAATGCCTTACAGCACACTGTGTTGAACTGGTGGGCTTATGTTTTGTTTCAGGAATTATTTGAGAGAATGTTTGGTATTTTAGAATTCATGAGCTCCCCATTAGCATATTGTGGGTCTCTTGACTCACAACTGAGAAATGCAGCAGGGTCCGAGCAGGAGAATGAACGTTAGTGTTAGCCCAGGGGCCACTGAGGAAGCCACCAGACAATTATGACTCCTGCTGGAACTCTCCCTAAGGAGCCCTATCCTGAAATATACCCTGTCCTTCTGAGAACTCCACCCTGCAAATCTAGTAAAATGATTAAGTCACTAAGTTTGGGCGGCTTGTCACACGGCAGTGAATAACTGAACTGCCCCTGCTCACAGAAGATTGTGGCACCTCCATCCCCTTCAAGACTTTGTCAGCTGACTTAGGGACCCACAGTTTCCCAGTGTCCACTTCCTCACTATTGATGACCCATGATCTTGACCACTTTGAAATACCATCTCAGGTAACAAATGTCTGGATTCCTTAGCTAGGTGAGGGACAAGGAGCCTTTGTCACAGATTATTTGTGACTGCCTCTGGGCACTGTCAGCATGCAGGACATTGAGCAGAGGGGCAGGTCACAAAGTCACCATGTCAACCTTCCTGCCCATCATAACCCTAGAGTGTTGGGGGAAGGGCTATGCAGGTAGCAAGAGGCAGGAACCCGCAGAGCAGCTGTGTCCCCAGTCCCTAGGCTCTGAGGTCACCGAGTGAACAGTAGAAGTGAGCACTGGAAAGAAGACACAAGGGCTATTGTCCCTAAGTGCAGGCAGTGGCAGCAGAAACAGAGAAGGAAGTCAGAGGTGGCCTGTGGTTTGCCTATCTGGGACCTTCCTAAGACCACCACGAAGATGCTGGGCTGCTGCCCCCGAGGATCTCACTCTGTGTTCCTGTTCCTGGGGCTGCTGCCCCCATCACTGCTCAGCACAGGGAACTTCCTGTCCCAGTACTCTGAGTGGGAAAGCTACCCTGGCCTGGCCTTGGCCTCCAGAAATTTCCACCACCATGAAGCCCAGAACCCAAGGCATATGTGGCACCGAAGGAGTTCGAAGCAGAAACCATGCCAGGCCACCCCTGACATCTACTTCGTCCTGGATAAGTGAGTGGCTTTTTCTTACAGGGCACACTGAAGGCCCAGCCTCCCTGGGGGCCATGGTGGTCAGGACCCAGTCTCTGTGACTGACTTATTTCCTGAGGTCAGGGAGGCCACCATGGTGCTTCCTGGTGACTCTGTCTATAGTGTCTTGCCCCCATCTGGGTTTACATTGTCCTCCAGCCCACTGACAGTTAGGAGCTGACTTCTCAGCCCAGTGAGGGGTCCACTCAGGGGCTCTACAGAGATAATTGCTGGCACCATGTGGCCTTTGCTTAGCTAGCCTAAGTGATCAACTTTCTCCTATACAAAGAGCCAGAGCGTGACTCTCGGTAGGAAGGGGTTGTGGGCCAGTGCTGGGAGAGCTAGCCTGGCTTCGCTTCTCTGAACTTCCTGGTAGGCTGGGCCTGGATTTTCTGCCCATCCAACAAGAACCAGGTTGAGGAAGGGCTGTCTGGGCTCTCTTGAATGCTTGCCTCATCAAGCATCCTGGGCTGCAGAGTAGCTTGGGGCTTCTATCATGGAGTGCACTCTTGGGTTGGCAAGGTAACCTTGGTGGTGACAAGACCTTGCTTCCTGAGCTCTGGTGACAAATCTGGGCCCTGCTCATCAGTTCAGGCTCGGATCTTCTCATTTCTGTCATTCTTCTTGAACACTGGTGGGTGATAAGACATGGGCCTGGCTCTTTATTTCTAAGCTAGGCCAGCAACATAGAGAACCTTCCTAGCCACTCAATGAGAAGCCTTTTCTCTGTCCAGCCCAGGGACTCTGAAAAGAATGGGTATATTCTGTCCCTTTGATAGCACTGCTGAGGTCGTTGTTTCCCCTTGGGTATCAGGGCTAGATGAAGATGGGCCCTATGGGGCTGTGGGACCGACAGCCTGGTGCAGCCAGTCTTTCTACAAAGTGGCCCTTTCACGGTTAGCCTTTTGTACGTGTCCCAGCTACTTTTCTCGGGCTTCTGTGGGGTGCAGAAAGGAATGAGCCCTTCTCTGTGATACATGGAAAGGATTATGGGCACAAATAGGGGGTGTGGAAGATAATTAATTATGCAGCCCATTAATGTAGCCTGCTGGTTCACAAGAGAAACGAGGGTAAATTGGGTAAATTTAATGCCAACACTTATAAAGAATATCACAGCTCAAGGCACCTGTCAGACTCGCCACTTCTGATCCCATTCTTTCAAGGCAGGTACATGCATGTCTAGATCTTTCCTGTTGGTATTATGGCCTTGTCTACACCTAGCAGGATTATACTGAGTACCTTCTGTTTCTATATGAAGTTTATAGCTCCTCTATCAACCCATAGCTAAAGGAAAAGTCTTTAGCTTTTTCGTAGCTTGCTTTTCCTGAAAGATTCTGTCATACCCCTTCCCCTCCATCATGTTTATATAACTATGATGCTTAGGTCTCAGATTTTAGCACAAAAGGCATTCTCAGACACCAGGTGATCACTGTTTGATTTCAGCAGCAGCATTAATTCACAAATGAGGCAGTGTTCTGAAGTTCAGGGCCCCTGTATGTCATATGGTCTTTCTTCCCACTGTCTTTGAACTCTCTATTTGTCTTGAGTTCTGGAGTCAAGATTCTCCTTCAGTAATAATCTCAGATTGAAAACTTTTGGAGTTTGTGAGCAGGACAGATACTCCGGGTCCTTGTGACTCCTCACAAAGGGATAAAAACAGAAGCCCTGTCACCTCCTATTAGGGAAAAGGATTCGTCTGGCACATTGGCCTGGGAGTTCCCCAGAGAACAGCTCTGTGTTCAGTTTTTAGAGTCAAAGCTTAGCTATTGAGCTAAGACAAGCTGTACCAGAAGCTACGAGCAACACATGGGATTTGGAGAAAGTTCTAGATTCTCCTGTAGTTGGTTAGAATGCTGTAAAAACTGGTTCTACCTTTCAGAGCTTTGTTCTCTCTGTTGTAGAGATTAGCTGATATCATGGGGTTTATCGATAGGTACGTGGGTGCTGCGTTAGTATCATCTAGCAGTGAGTTTGCCCATTATCTTCACACAGAGTTCAGCTGGGTAGAGGGAGCAGCAGGGTGTGAATGGGGCGATCGCTACTTGGCGTGGAACTGTGATAGTTAATATTGACTGTTAACTTGACAGGGTTGACATCATCCAGGAGAGATACCTTAGGGAATGTTGTTGGGGGGAATTTCTAGACTGGGCTGAGTGGGAAGACTTTCTTTAAAAATTGGCAGCACCATGCCAAGGGTCCCAGAGTGGATAGAGAAGGAGAAAGGAAGGTGCTTAACTAGCATCAGTTTCCTCTCTGCTTCTGGGCTGCAGCTACAGCATGACCAGCTGCCTTCTGGTTCTGCACCCATGGCTTTCCTGCCTCCGTGATGGACTACGCCCGGAAATCTGAGGCAAAATGAACCCCTAAACTGCTCCTGTTAGCAATTTTGTTCCAGCTACTGAGAAGTGGAATCGTTGCCGTGATAAACCAGACAATGTGATTTTTTAAATTTATTTATTTATTTATTTCTTAAAGTTTCCACCTCCTCCCCTCCTCCCATTTCCCTCTTACTCCCCCTCTCCCCCTCCTTCTCCCTCTCCAGTCCTAAGAGCAGTCAGGATTCCCTGCCCTGTGGGAAGTCCAAGGTGATTTTTTTAAAAAAGACTTTTAGAACTGATTTGCAACCGAAAATACGAAAGAATTTGGACATTCGCGCTAGAAAATCCCTACAGTACTGTAAAATAGAGCTTCATGGGTCACTCCAGTGGCTGTTGGAAGACCAGAATGCCAAGATGTATGTGGGAATGGGAAGGATCTGCTCCTGAGGTTTCAGAGAGGGACGGGGACTCTGGGATCTGGGAAAGAATATGTCTGCATTACACTTATGTTCTGAGAACTTGAGTGAGAAAGTGTTTAACTGAATGGGGTAGCTTGGCCAGCAGAGCACTTCGGCTAAAATGCACAAAGTCTTTAGTTCCATGCTCAGAACCACACAAAATAGGCTTGGTGGTGCATAGCTAGAACCCCAGCACAGGAAATAGAGGCAAGAAGATCATGAGTTTGGGGTCATTCTGCACAACAAGTTTGAGGACAGCCCAGGATACATGAGTGAAGATTTTCACAGCTCTCTTGAGGATGGGGAACTATGATGTCATGGCAGCAGTGACTGAGCCTGCACCTGCCTCTCCTAGCAGTGTTGGCTGGAGGAGCCCTTCTTAGCCCAGGTTGATTGGGTTCTGTAGGCTGATTGAAGGCTCAGTTCCAAATTATACTTTCATGGCTACTAACCACAGCTAAGGACCATCTCCCAGAGAAAATGCCTCTTGTGGATGCTGGGAAAGCTGGAGGAGTTTGGAAACAGGGGAATGCCATGAGAAAAGAGTGTGGGTGGCACACAGGTATGAAAAAGGATCCGTATATGTTAGGGAAAATCTGATGTTCAAGAACTCAAGAGTATAACAAAGAAAATATGGCCCAGGCCTGAGCCATCCTCTGGGCCTGGATTATAACATGCAAGGACTCCTGGCAACAGCTGTGTTAAGTGATAAAAATGGAAACAGAAAACCAAGGGTAACTGGGGACCCCAGAGAGACTACCTACAAGCACTCAGGGGCTTTTCCAAACAAGGGACACTTCCTGATTTCAAGACTTCAGTCTGTACCTTGCTGTGCTCAGCCAGACACACCAATAAGCCTCTAGCATGGGGTCCTTTCTGTTCCAACAGATGGGGGCTCTGTAGTCACCCTCTGCCCATTGCTGGCCCTGAAGAAAGTTACCTCTCAGGCTGTTCTAGTGTGGTTGGCACTGTTGGTGCAGAGACCTCTAGTTAAGAAGCCTGTGGAAGGCTGGGAAGAGAGGAAGTGGGCTGATCCACTGGAACCCTGTATCCACTGAAAGATATCTCCTTTGTCCTCAGGTCAGACCGCATGTCAGACGCCTGGCCGTACGTCTACAAGTTTGTGGCGGATATGGTGCAGAGGTTATCGAAGTACGACTTGATGGTGCAGGCTCCTTTGTGATGAAGGGGGCGTGTCCTGTCGGCAGAGGACACACTTTTTGGATTTGGGAGGCACAAGAGGGAGGATCTTATGGAGAAGTCTTGGCTTGTTAAGCATGGGTGGGTGTGTATGAGTGTGTGTAAGTGCGTGAGTGTAAGGCATGTAAGTGTGCACGTGTTTGAGCCCAGGAATGGAGTAGGGGGTTGATTTGGCTGCCTGTTTTTCTCAGGGGTCACATTTCCATAGGGTTTGGAATCTTTCACGACATTTCCTCAACATCACTATGCCTGTTAAGGCCTCAAAGGGCAAGTGATGAGACCAGAGGAAAGTGAATTTTGTTGAGTACCTTCCTTTACATGTTGACGACATCATGTTGAGGTGGTGGCTTCTCATAAACACCTGCTTCCTCCCAGTCAGGATCTGCGAGTGTCCATCATCACCTTCTCCTGTAAGGGCAACATCATCCTGCCCATCACTGGAGACAGGTACGTGCTCACATGGAGGCTGGCTCAGGCTTGATGGTTCAGCCCTCCGTGGAACTGAGGACTTACAGAGACCTCCACGAGGGCTCCTATGGAGCCCACGTTGGCTGTTGCCATGTGCCTATGTCCTGTTATTCTCTGCTAACTCCAGCCTGTCAGCCCCTTGAATTCTGACTTCACTGGAACACATCACCTTGTGCTTTCAGAAGTTCTCTACATTCCTGCTTGTCTGCCTTCTAACACTCTTGAATCTCTTCTGGGACCTGACTATGTCAAAACATGGGGTTGAGGAGGAGTGGAACAGATACATGGATCCCCCAAACAACCCTGGCTTATATAGAGCCTGTTGGTCATTTTCCAGTGGGACACAGAGATATCTGGGAACCAGGGGAAGGTTCCGGGACCCAGGGAAAGTCAGCTGAGACTCACTTTGGGAAGGGTGAATCCCAGGATGGGAGCATGAGTCCACAGCATGCCTGTGCACTACAGGCAGATATGCAGAGCAGGTACCTAAGAGGAAGGTGACCCACTTGTCCCCAGAGTAACAGCGGAAGGATGTTGAGGACTTCTGGGAGGAAGAGCTTTGGATGCCTGGGTTGGAACTCCATATAGAGCAAACAGAGAGAAAGAGACATGGACATTTAGGATTAGGAATGTGCAGAGGTCTAGGAACCCCCCTGTCCAGGGCCTGGGGGAAGAGCCAGGCTCAGTGAGTACAAGAGGACATGTTCCACACCTATGATGATGGCAGCTCCTTTTCATCTGGGGAAAGGAGCAGGGGTACTGGCCCCAAGAATCCAAGAAAAAAAATGATGTGCCCTGTGGCTTAGGCTTGGAGAGACCTGAATGGGTTTGAGGTGGCAGAGAGAACACCTATGGGAAGGATTTGTGTAGGAAACCCAGAGAGGCAGTAGGATCTGGGCAGATGGATGGGGGCTAAGATGAGGTTGATAGACTGTGATTTGACACCACTGGGCCTCCTGGATGTTAAACTCATACTGCCTAGGCTGGGCTAAGCTGGGTTAGGACAGGCATAAAGTCTTCAGAGCTCAACTCATGGCACGATCTCTTTATCCCCCAGTAGGAAGCCACTTTAGAGTCCACTGTGAGTCATCTTGCTGTATCTGTATAGTCTTGTCACATTGGATTATCCTCAACCCCCACTTCCTGTCCCAGAACAGCCACTAGACCCAGCCCTGCCTGCCTCAGTGTGTTCGATCTTTTTTAACAGCACCTGACAGGCCATGCTGCCTCTAGTCCAGGGACCAACACAGATACCTCGGGAAAGCCCCCATGGAAGCCTTCAGGCTTCTCTGTTGGGCGCTGTGGAGTCCACAGCTGGGCTCATATCTAAGTACACAGGCTGCTGCCTTTAACAGGCTAAAGGGAAAGAAGTCAGGTCAGGGTCCTGCAACAGTGGAGATGGAAGCAGGCCAGTAGCTTAGCAGGGTGACATGGCCCCGCTTCAGCCCTACCCACTGAGTAATAGACTACTCATGAGTACGCCTGTGTATTCATGGCATCAGAGACAAAGAAAGGCCCAGGGAAAGCTTGAAGATATTTTGTCACCACACATAATCTTCATGTCACCTTTATTTTTGATTTTTTTTCAGAGAAGAAATTCTTAAGGGCATTGAAAGACTGAAGTATAGCATACCTGCGGGACATGAGCACATTTACCTAGGATTGTGGAAGGTGCGGAGGGCTGGAGCTACCTTTGCTTTGAGGACCATTGGGCCATCTCACAATGACTCCCTTTTTTTTTTTTTTTCTTTTTTGGTTTGTTTCTTTGCAGGCAAACAAGCAGATAAGAAAGATCAACTCAGGAGGTGAGCTGCCTGCACTTTAGTTGGGGGGGGTCCCCACAGAGCTGGGGTGTCCTGGAAAGCCCATGTGCCGAATGACTCTGTGGTCCCTTCTCTGAGCTTCAGGCCCCTGTGAGCACAGTACTGTATTTGTGATGCTTCTGAGAAGGGTAGGAGGCCCCATGTGACTATGTGTGGGTCTCGGTCATTCAGAGGTCTTTGTCCTAGAGATGGCCCCATGAACAGAAAAGGGTAAGGCACAGTGACCCATGCTTGAAACCAGGGCTTTGTGTCCCCTTGGCTGCCAAATCTTCCTTTTCCAGTTCTTTTTTCTCATGACCTGTCTCTTGCATCCATGTATCAGGCAGTATAAGGTGCAATGCATAGCCAGGACCCAGGACAGGGAGTTGTAAGCCCATAGCACTTGTCTGGAGTAGGTAGGAGCAGGGGGCAGGATGCTGAGAGTTGTGGTGTCTGTTACCTAACTCCTTCTGACCTATAGTCCTAATTATCAGGCCCACTATTACCAACAGGACATCTCTAGGACTGTGCCCAAGTTTAGCACCAGCTTCCCCCACCTAACTGGGCATCCTCAGCCTCAAGGATAGGCTGAGTAGAGACTGGGCTTCCCAGTCTATAGACTGTTCCTTGGAGCTGGAGAGATGGCTCAGCGGTTAAGAACACTGGTTCTTCTTCCAAAAGTCTTGAGTTCAATTCCCAGCAACCACGTGGAGGCTCATAATCATCCATAATGGAATCTGATGCCCTCTTCTGGTGCAAAGGTGTACATACAGATAGAACACTCATACAAAGACTGTTCCTGACCCCTCTACCTCCTAATCTGTAGAACAGGTAGTGAAAAAAGTTTCTTCTCACTCTAGGGTCACTGACTGGTGGGTTCTGGGTCTGGGTTCCTGACCCAAGTGACTGGGGGAACTGGGCCTACGTTGGGTAGTGTTGGGTTTGATAGCCTGGAAGGTGGGCCCCAGCGGTTCTGCAGGTCTCTCCTGGGACCTCAACCACCAAGTCACTTGCTTCCCTGCAGATGTCCAGCGTCCCAGCATGATCATCTCCTTACTCAACAGCCCTCTGGATGATGAAATCTATAAGTATTCGATGGAAGAGGTGAGCCCAACCGTCTTCAACTGCATCTCTTGCACGCTGTATACGTTGGTGGCTTTTATGTAACTCCTGTCTTTCTCTCAGGCTGATGATGCTCGGAAAATGGGAGCGTCTGTTTACTGTGTGGGTGTGGGCCACTCTGACAAAAAACAGGTAACAGTTTGAGCCCCAGTTAAAGCAAGCCCTTGCAAAGGTAGTCACCATCTACCCTGGTGGTATGGGCAACAGGTGGTCACTGAAGCAGTATGCAGTGGTAAACATGGCAGACTCTTCCCCCAGGTAGGGTGAGAGGAGAGCTTGCTGTTTCCAAAATCTAGGCTGTGGCCAGAAGCCAGTGTTTGAGCTAAGACTGAATCAAAAGATTCACGACTGGATGCCCAAGTAATGTCTCTTTTTTAGATACTAGGACTTGCAAAGGAACCAGGAAATGCATATACAGAAAAGAAAGCTGAACACCTGAATGACCTCATTTTCCCAGTGAGTGCAATGGGTGCAGGCAGAGGCATGCCTTCTCACAGGATTCCTGCATCTTACTTTTCTAACCTTGTTTACTGTTGTCCATGTTCCAGATAGCTTCCAAGGCCTGTCCATCCCTTAAATCTTCAGATACACACATTATATGTATCAGAGGTAAGGGCTGAGGGCACCATTGTAGGCAGACAAATGTATTGTGTGCAAATGCATGAGGTTTGTGATGTGGGGGTGATACGTGTACAATGAGTATGTGCTGTCTCTGGATGGCGTGTAAAGTTTTGTGTGCATGTGGTTTATATGGATGTATATTCTGTGTGCATGTGTTTTGTGCTGTTGTTATTGTATGTCCGTATGTATTGATTTTTGTGTTATACATATGGTACATGATATGTATATTTGGATGTATTGTGTGTACAAGAACTTTATGCGTGTTGGAATATGGACCGTTGTGGTAAGTGTATATGCAGGAATGAGCATGTATGGGGTGACTTTGATTTGGGCACATTTGGAAGGTATATGCTGTGGTGGTATAGCAGTATGTGTATAATTTCTGCTTACTTATCTCATAGCAAAAGTGTAATTATTAAACTAGAAAAAGGGCACAAAACTCTCAATGAAGCCCAGATGTAGCCACCAGTAAACCCAGAGAAGCTTAGTTCCTTCCAGAAAAGCCAAGCATTCAACACTCACAAAATGAAGACAGTAGCATGGCAATCACATTGAGGAATGAAGAGAAAGAATTGGGAACAGAGGATATTCACGATGTTACTAGAAGCATGAGGGACTCTCACTGTCTACAGAATTAGCTATGCTCACCTCAGCACTGAAATAGTAGATGCCTGACCCCAGGGACTGGAGCAGACAGGGATGGCATCTATCCATTCTAGCCCCCCCCCAGGTCAGTTTACAGAGGTCACACCTTTGTATAGTCTTGGGAAACGGATGCTCCTCTTTGTCAGGATCATGGTACATTCAGGCTTGGTCTCCACAAGGCTGGCATTTGTGTCCTGCAAAAGAAGTCTGGCTCTGCTTCCTTCAGTCTAGGCAGGTGGATCCTGACCTCTGTGTCCTCCAAGGGAGTCCCAAGACTCTAGACTTGGACAGACAGGACTATGATCACGTCTGAGCCCTGCTCTCTGTGACAATCAGCCTAAGTCAAAGAGGGGCTACAGTGTATTCTCTTATGGAAAGAAATGGCATGCACAGGCTGTCGATGAGATTAGACACAATGGATAGAAAGATGACGGGTCAGCATCTAGAAGACGGTAGGTGCTAGAGACAGAACCTGAGCCTGGTATTTCTATTCTAGTACTTAGCTCTACTCTGCCCCTTGTCCTTCCATATGCTGTGTAAGAGAGAGGAGACAGCTGTGTAGAGAAGGGAAGGGAAGAAGCTGCCTTCCCTACAGGCTCTCTACTGCTTCTGGATAAAGAAGCCCAGCCATGCAACCTTCCTGCATGTTTCTGATTGTCCCGTGGACAAAAAGGCCTTGGTGTCTGGGCATCTGAGGCAAACCCCAGAAGAAAGCATGAGTTGTCTCCAATAAGACAGGTGCCGCCAGTTCAACCACAGACCTGTGAAACTGTCGGCCATCTTGTGTGAACCTGGTACATACAGGAGGGAAGCCCAAGACAGGATGCTACATCCCAAACAAAGCAGAGTGGGCTATTTCCTATGGCTAGTTCTGAGTCAGCCTATGTTCCAGGGGTGTGAAGAGGGAGGAGCATCCTTGGTCTGCTACCCTTGGATATCTATCTGTGCACTTCACAGTGTACCCTGTGCAAGGAAGGGTAAAGGGACCAGCTGTCTGGGCCCTAAGGCAGCTGGGCAAAGGCTTGGGCTGAGGAAATTCTGTCTGGCTCTTGTAACAGCCAGTCTGCTGCCTACTCTTTGTCTCCTGTACGTGAGCATCAGTGTCCAAGAGCAGCTCCCCCACTGTGAGGAAGGGTCTGTCAACAAGTGGGAACCAGTATGAATGCTGGTTCACCCACAAATTTTCTCCTGTTGGAGGCCACCTGAAAATTCCATTTTAGGAAGTAGAGAGTCCTGAAAAGGTAGAAAGAACGAAGCATCCAGGTCTCCTCACGGTTTGACCATTGTCCTTACAGAATCAAACCCAGTCATACTTCGTGGATATGGCTTTGACTTTGCCATGCGTAAAGAGGAGGTTATTTGCAGGTTCCATTTCTACGACATGGACAATAGTTTCAAAGGTAAGTGGAGTCACTTCTCTTGGTCACGTCTCCCCGCCTTCATTGACTGTCCTGCTGGAAATAGAAAGTGTGTAGAAGCGAAAAGAGCCCTGGCTGAGACACCTGGGAGGTCCCCTCCCTCATCAGTACTGTACCAGTATTTCTTTAAACCTATTTCATACCAGAAAAACACATGCTTTTATTCTTTATATTTTATCTTACATTCATCCAATCTTATACATTTTTGTTATGGGACGATCTTTCAATTTATTCCTAATTTTCTATTATTTCCTATACTTCTTTAAACTTCTACTGTCTCCCTAGACCTCAATCCCTCTCCAATCCTATCCTGCTTTGCTTTGTTAGTGTTACACATATAAAGCTACAACCTGCTGGATCCACCATTGTCACCTGTGCATGACTCCAGGGCTGGGCCATCTGCATTGGATAATCATGGAGGGCTCTGCCCTGGGGAGACTTCTTCACCCTCCTACTCTCAGAATCCCTTAGTGGCCTATAGATTTTTGCCTTGGGTAGCAGTCTTTTTTTCTTTTCTGTTTTCAGGTTTTCTCATTATTGGGAAATATGACTCCCCCCTTTTTGCTAATCTCACACTATTTTCTTCTCTCTTGTCCATAGCTTTTTGCTCCACTTCTCTACTTATTTAAAAACTCCCTTTCTCCCCTTTCCCCATTTAAGTCCTTTATCTTGTTTACTATTCTGACACTTATTCTAAATAAATATATACACAATGGATTTTTCAGTTAAAAATACAAATGAGATCATGTCATTTTTCAGGAGAATGGATAGAAGATCGTGTTAAGCAAAATAATCCAGATCCAGAAAGACAAATATTACATTTTCTCTCACAAGCAGATTTTTTCCTCACATTGTGTGTGTGTGTGTGTGTGTGTGTGTGTGTGAGAGAGAGAGAGAGAGAGAGAGAGAGAGAGAGAGAGAGAGATGTTCGCTCATGCGCACTTAGCTTATGAAAGGGAAAGTTGATCTCAGTCCCCAGTCGGTGAGCCCTGAGGAGCAGAGGTTCTTGCTGTTTGGTGCTAGGGTGCTGGGCGGAGTTGGGGCCTACCAGGATGTCTTTGTGTTGAAGAAGGTAGAGATGAGATTGCAACAATGGTGGACAGACACATCCATTGACAATTTTTGTCATTTTCTTTTAGATGTAAAAGCCATCAATTTAACCAAGGCTACTGTTACTTGTCCTGGACCAATCGTAGACCAACCAGGAAAGTAAGTGCCCCTTGTTGGAGGGAAGAGGTCAGTGGTCAGTATTGACCAGTGTAGTGCGGGATATAAGGTGTGGCAGAGCACCTGTCTGCCTGCAGGTGAGCTCCAGTACCCTCCCACCTGGCCTTGTTGGTGGGCCCCCGTGGTGCTGAGTGGTGCACAATGCCCAGGCTCTACTGAGGGCGGGATGCAGGAGATAATGGAACTGACAGCCAGAACATGTTCTCTGACCATCTTTCTGTGACAAGCCAGCCTGGTGGTACTATACACACCTCCCTAATGCCTTAGCTCAAAGCCATGTGATGCAGCTGCCTCGCACGGTCTAATCTGCAGTCCTTCACTGTCATTGCAGAGGCTCAGTCCTAGTTCCTCTGGAAATGAGCTCTCTTTGCCCACAAGTCCACTCTCCAGCAATTCAGAGTGTCTGCAATTTAGGATAACCCAAGAGAAGAACTGGGATTATTTCTTCAGTCAAGCCCAAAGTCCTTGTTACCAGGCTGTTTCTAAGTGTCTGTCTCTGTGTTAGAGTGATCTATATTCTGCTCAGCCTGGACAATGGAAGAAACTTCCTGAATAAAAATGTATTCGTTGCCAGCAAGCTATGTGTGAGTACCAGGGTCGGGCTGTGATCCCATCTGTGTAGATCCTCTGGTTGGTGCAGATCTACCCTCTAGGTCAGAGGGGCAGAGAGGGGGTGGTTCCAGGCAGGACCCAAGGGCAGCTTGTTCACCCAAGCAACTTAGGTGACCCAGCCCAGTTTCCAGAAGGACCAGTGAGGCATGTACCAAGCTGTCTGCCAGGACCTGCCCATGATGTCTAGGGCATGTGGCCTTTCCATGTGGGTGTCCCAGGTTCAGAAGTTCACTCTTGCAGTCCGGGTGGGTGTGGTAAAGAAAGGGAGCCCTGGACACTAATGTGGCCCCCAAAATACTCTAGACCCCCTGTCCTCAATCATATTTGGTGGCACCAAAGTCCAGTGCAGTGTAACCAGAGTGTGTCCAGGAAAAGGTTGTTTCACCGATCAGCTTATAAGAAACCCACAGAGTTGAGTGGCTCACCCCTCATATCCACACATAGGTTGAGAGAGTGAATTCAGATTTCTGCCCCTTAGGCTCTCACCCACTAACATCCCCAGACCTAAATACAGAGGCAGAGAAGCCCCGTGTCTTGAGCTCCCAGCAGCAGCTACTGTTACATCTTCCAAGTGCTCTCTGCTTTTTTCAGTCCGGCAATCGTGGGGTCCAGGCACCTCTACCCAGTGATTGTTGTAGCTTTCCCCTAACAAGCCTCTGCCTCAGTAGGGTTGCACAGGCTGCAACCCACTCTAAGAGGTAGCTGGGAGAATAGTCCCAATCCTGAAGTTCTCTGTCCTGAACCTGAACCAGGACTGTGAACTCTGACCTTGCTAAGTGCTCACAAAGGTGGGCACTGTTTGAGTCACAAGATGGAGCTAAGAGGGAGAAGAGGTGAGTACCAGGCTGTGGAGTTGTGAGGTAGGAATAGAAATCTTAGTCTTGTAGCCCCATCTATCTCAGAACTGCAGCCTTTCCTAGAGATTTGGCCACCCATAGCCCAGTGCACTGTCAGCTGAAGCCACCCGAAGGCCATGATCTTCAGACCACAGAGGATCCTGAACCATTCTTACCTTGGCAAGAGCCTTGGAACCGGACCAGAGATAGGGTATCCTGGTTATCTTTCAGTTCTGAGAAGCCCAGGAGTAAGAGAGAGAATGAGAAGTCAAGCTGCAGATACCTAGGAGGGCCTTGCACAGTTGCCTTTGGTCTCTGTGGGATGTGCTTCTGGCGGTGGTGGCATCTAACTTTTCCTTCTCACAGGGCAAAGACCCATTTACAGTTACAACCACCACGACTACAACCACGAGGAGGCCCACAACTAAAACAACACGTACCACTACCACCAAGACGCCATCTACAACAACGACACCCACGACCACAACTACACCTACCACGACCACAACAACTACACCTACCACGACCACAACAACTACAGCAACCACTTCACTGACGACCACTGAAAGTCCCACTACCATCCCGCTGGTCACAGAGAAACCGAAGCCAAGCGTTGATATATTCATTTTTGCCCCAATACTCCTGGGCCTGTTGCTGACTCTGTTGCTGATTGGTTGTTTATGGCAGCTGTGCTGCCTTCCGGTGAGTCCCCTAACCTGCTCAGTCTGGAGCCCGGGAACACACCCTCCATGCAAGAGGCATAGACGCAAGGTGGCGCCATGACCCTGGGGATGACAGAGGCAGACCTGTCAGGTCCCATGTCTATCCAGAGGTGTAGGCAGTAGAGAAAGCTGATGTCAGCCTGGAGGTCAGGGGAGACTGCAAGACACTGGGACTATAGGCACTGATGCAGGTGGGGCTTGCTGTACACAACTGCACAGGCAGGGACACCCACGCAGGTTCCAGGATATGTGCATCCCAGCTTCAGATCAGACACCCCAGTCTGCAGAGCTAAGGCAGAGGCCAGTCTACATATACCAGCTTCTTTTTTCTGTTTTACCCTCCAGCCTGTCGAGGAACCACCCCCACCTAAGCCCCAACCAGAGGTAAGTCATGCTTTGGATGCTGACTCTGTCATGTGTCAAAGGACAATGACCTTCAAAAGAGGTATCGGAAGACCCGTCCATACTCAGGAAGGAAGAAGGGTGGAGAATCTGAAAGGGTCTAGGAGGGGGCTCATGGTGACATCACTCAGACTTTTAGGGCCTCCTGTCTTGGCCACACAATCAGTACCTCGAGGAGCTGTTTCAGTGAGAGCAGCTGTTTCTACAGACTCAGTGGCTTGCAGGAGACTCCAATGGACTCTGTTTGATGCTGAGGTTGCAGCTTCCTGAGAACAGGCTTCTCTGTCAAGCTCTGGTCCCCATTCCCATGTTGGAGGTCTTCTTGCTCCATTAGATCTGTCTTCATCCCTGTCTCCTGGTAGTGTAGAGGGGCTGGCTGTGATCAGCCTAGGGACCCGAGGGATAAGGGTTGTGAAAGAGTCCCAGCAAACCCTGAGCTGTGAGGGGTGTCACCAGGGAAACACAGGAGCAAGGTGGATGAGCATCTGTGGTTCATGTCGGGTGAGGATCAGAAGTCATAGCGAGAGGCTTGGGCTTGTGGACCTGGGTTTGGGCTGAGATAGGAACAGGCTCCCTGTGTTGGTGAGACTGTGCTGGCTGCAGAGTGGCCTGGGTGAGAATGCCCATGCAAAGGCCAGAGACAGATGGATGGGACAGTTGCCTGGTAATGCTGGCTTACTCTACAGCAACCAGGCCAGGTTTCTACCAGCCAGGCTGGCCTCAGAAGTGGGCTGCTCTTACTTCGTGAAGCTCCATATCTGAAAACTGTGGGGAGGGAGCTCTTTGCTTTGTTTCTAGTGGAAGACCTTCCCAACTTGGGGAACACACCCTTCTATCTACCCCAAAACAAGAGCTGAGTGACCCCACAGTGCCAAGTTTAGGGCAAAACACAGACGAAGATCCGACAGGTTTTTCTCTCCTATCAGCCCAGAAAGAAGCAGAAGTCCCCAGCACCAGTGTCTCCCACAGCACCAGCACCACCCGTAAATCCGTCGCCCATTGTGATCATCTGCTGCTGCACCTGTCGTGGCCTGAGTGTGATCAGAGACACGGAGGTGAGAGGACCCCGTGGGGCTGTGACTCCCTCCCTGCCTGGGTGTGGGAGGATGCATCTCTAGGGAATAGGATCTGAATTGATATGTGTCTGAGGACAACCTTATTCTAGGGAGGAGAGCGTGCAAGAGGGTCCCCAGGACACTTGCCCTCTTCTTTGGCAGCATCCAGGCTCTGGGACAGTGTTGTGGGATATCAGTTTAGCTATGCAAAGTTGTATTGCATTTGCCAATGTTTTGGGCTATTAGTTTAACTATGTAGAGACGTGTTGCATTTGCTTATGAAATCCTTGCTTAACTGTGCAAAGCTGTATTGCATTTGTTTACCTTGCCTGCCGAAGGCAGCTAATGGGACTAATGAAAAGCCAAATGACCAATAGCTAGGCAGGAGATCTAGGCAGGACTTTCTGGCTGAGGGAGTAAGTAGGAAGAGGAATCTAGACTTGACAGAGACAGGGAGAAACAGAGAAACCAGGGAGAAGCCAGAGGCCTGCCAGTCAGCCATGGACAAAGCAAGAAAGCAGGTCATTCAGAATGAAAGGAAGGTGAAGAGCCCCAAGGCAAAATGTTGATCAATACAAACAGGTTGGAATAAGTTATAAGAGATAATGAGACAAATACAAGCTAAAGGCCAAGCATTCCTAATTAATAAGTAAGTCTTCATGTCATTATTTGGGAGTTGGTTGGCGACCCAAAGAAAATGCCAACAACAGGACAGTGATTACTACTGCCTTATATGACCAGGCCCTGATCCTCAGGTTCATTTTCTTAGCTCTGACAGAGCCTCTCATGCAGGTGGATAAGTCAAGATATACTGAATGACCAGGAGGTTTGGAAATCTAGGGACAGTAGAAAAAGAAAGACCAGTCCCCAAACACATTCGCCTACCATGAAAACTGGGGAAAATCCAGTGTTCCTGGCCAACTAGCTCCAAGTCCTACGGGTCCACAGAGAAGAGTTGACTCCGTGGTTCTATTGCCAAGACCGGGCAAAGGGTTACAGGTTGGCATGGAGACCCTAATGGGTGTCACAAGAAACCTCCATAGAGTCAATCCCTGGTGGGTAGGCAGTCCAAGCCTGTTTTCATCTATGAGGTCTCGGTCTGAAGGAGAAAAAAGTTGGCCTGACAGTAGCCTGGGCTTTCGTCTCTAGTTTCTTCCTGGATAGTCCTCTTCCTCCTTGATCCTGCCTCTGTGATGGTCCCTGCTTGCTTCTAGAAGCTTTTAGTTCCTCTGTAGCCTCCCAGGCTAGCTGAAGCCTAGTGCTGCCTACTTCCTTCCTATGGCATGAAAAAATGCCAACCCAAGTTCTCTAGAGAAAGAGGCTACTGGCCATGGGACTAACCTGATATAGAGCGCCTGGCCCAGTCCACCGCACCAGACTTATTGAATGTGAACTTTAGAACTGAGACTGCGGGGTTCTCAAAGCCTAGAGCTCAGGCCCTTCTTCCCTCTATGCTTCTGCCTTGGTCTGTGTCGCCTGCCTCTGAGCAAGACATGGGCTGTTTACCTGCCTCTCCCATGTGTCCCTTCTCCAGGTCTGTGCCCACCTCAAGGCTCTCCTAAAGGCCTCTGCTTGCCACTACACACCCCACCAGCCTCTAAACTTCTCCAAAGTCAGCTGCTGGCTTCTCCTCCTACAGAAACACTACTTTGTCTCATCCCAGACTCTTCAACTGTGTCCCACAGTGGCACTTCCAGACACTCAAGGTTGTAGGCTTCCCTCTCCAGGAGCATATTTCGGCTCCTCCGAATTCCTTGAGCACAGAACAAGGATCCTTGTGCCTTCCGGGGCAGAACCCTTGCCCTGAGTCTTCCTCATGACTGTATGTATCCGTTTTTCAGGGCAATGTGACTGTGCGCAACTTCAACCCCCTAAGCTGTCACCAGTTGCCGTTGATGTTGCCTCATCCTGGTGACCAGGTAAGTGGGACCCAAGGACACTACAAAGGGGCAGAATGGCAACTTATTTTGCCTTTGATGGTGGCTTTCTGGGACTGTGGCTCAGAACCATGTCCCAGCATGAGCAGAGGAAGAATTCTCAAGACATGAGACCTGATACTCAAGAGCCTTCTAGAGCCTCCATGAAGTCAATGACTGGTCACTTTGGCCATGGGTAACAGTGCTGTCTGAACAATAGTGACCCCATTTATCAAGCAGTAAAGGTCTTTCGTGTGTGTGTGTGTGTGTGTGTGTGTGTGTGTGTGTGTGTGTGAAAGAGAGAGAGAGAGAGAGAGAGAGAGAGAGAGAGAGGAGAGAGCAAGCATACACATGTATAAGCATGTATTCTTGCCTGTGTATATGAGTGAATGGAGGCCAGAAGTCAACAATGCATGTCTTCCTCTATTGTTCTCCCCTTAATTTCTGAGACTGGGTCTCCTATGAAACCTGTAACTTGCTGTCTCTACTATATTGCTTTGCCAGTGGTCGCATGGAATCTGCTTATGCCTTGCCCGGTATTGGGGTTAAGAATATCCATGACTATGCCCAGCTTTTATGTGGGTGCAGGGGATGTGACTAAGGTCACTCTTCCAGGGTGGCTTCCAGTTTGGGCTCATCCTAATGGTCCCTTCTGGGTTCTGGCTGCCCAATTTATTGTCTGCATCCCAGACAATAATTGTGGTTGGAAGGGTGGCATGTGAATCCTGTCTTGAGCCTAGAGAAAAGAGGGCATTTGCTTTCTCCAGTCCAAGGTCTGTAGCTGCTCTGCTAGGAATGTGGCGTGTGGCAGAGTACAAGGTCTGAGAAAGTGAATAGTGGAGCCTGCGGGTCTATGTATAAGGTCTCTAAACTGCGTTATAAAATACATTAAAAGTACCAAAGAAAGTCAGAGGGTGGCTTACACCTTTAATCCTAGTACTCAGGAGGCAGAGGCAGGTGGATTTCTGTGAGTTTGAGCCTTGCTTGGTCTACAGAACTAGTTCCAAGATAGCCAAGGCTATGCAGAGAAACCTTGTCTTAAAAAGCCAAACCAAACCAAACCAAAAAAGTACAAAGAGAAAGCAATTGTGAGACAGGCTTCATTTTGGAAGACACTGATTTGAGAAAGCTTAGTGCCACCAAGAAGTTTTATCGAAATGGCTTCATCTTACATCTGCAGCCACACATTCCACAGGCTGGCCTGACAATTCTTTGGTCAGCCAGACTCATGATTTTTCTCCACTCTTACAAAGTGTCTGCTTGTGCTCTGATACACGCAACAGTACCCCAGGGAGGAGGAAGGAGGAAGTGTGAGAATGGGGCTTCTGGAGAAATGCTACCCCACAATTCCTGTCAGCTTTCCACTTGTTGAAGTGCGACGTGCTTCCTGACCAGCAGGAATGAACGCCACTAAAAACGAGAATTCCTTCTCTGTACACGTCTTTATTCGGAGCATTTGGTTGAGGAAAATTGGGGGAAGGGAAGAGAGAGTTCAGGGACAAGAGAAAGCTTAGAGAGAGGAAGTAGAGCCCAGAGGCAGCTGCTTTTAAACAGTGGAGAGGCTTGAATGCTGATTGGTTGATGCCAATCTGCTGTTCTGAGCATGTGCAGGCAAGGGTGCTCAGCCTCACGTGACTAAGCCAGGTATGGACTTGTATACCTCCAAACTGCAGGACCACCTGTGCCTCCAGGTGGCTCCCTACATTGAAGCTCACTCCCTTAGCCATTTTGAGACACACCACTTCCCAGCTGAGCACCCTGCATCCTTTAGCAAAGTCCGCTTAGTGTTGCGAAGAGGGTGCATGACATAGGGCTCCTTGCCAGCCCCCTTAAGAGCTGAGTTACACAGACAGCGGGCAGGGACAGGCATAGAAGCGGCCCCTCTGCTCTGACTTGGAGTGAGCAACATGGAAGACTTTTGTAAAAGGCCTAATAAAGACCTCCAGGCAGTTATGTGGGCACAAAAAGCTGGCAGAGGGACATATAGGCAAATGTGGAGTGAATCCAGCCTGTGTGGCTCAGGGTTCCAGGTTGGTGTGTGTGTGTACGTGTGTACTGCAGTGAGGGAGGGGGGAATCCTAAGACTGTGCACAGTGGGGGTGGTAATAGAATGAGACAGAGACCTCAGGGCTGAGAGGCGGTGTATTGAGGACCACCTGTTCATCCCCCCATCTGACTTCCTTGCACCTACTGTGTGAGAAAACAGGGTCCTTCCCTTTGAATGGCCTTGCTTCAAATTACCTGTTAACATTCCCGAACTCACCCCTCTTGCTTGTCCGGAAACCCGCGCTTGTTGAGGTGGTGGAAGAGTCCATTTCCTTGCCCTGACCCCTGGAGCTAGGGCCTTATCTTTCATAGCATCAAGAGCCCCCTGGCCATCTCACCGCTGGTACTGTGTCCTGCTGGGGTTTGCATAAGATCCTCTCACGTCTCTAGCCGACTCACCACCCCCAAATCCTTAATCGCCTTCCCAGAAATCCTGCTGGGTAAGGTACAAAGGGCAAAGTTTTTCAAGATAAGAGCCTGCGGATCTCTCTGTCTTCACACCATTCAGACTCCTGCTACCTGCAGCAGATCTGGAATTAGAGTGCAGGTGGGAGGGTAGGACCCAGGGGAGAAGAGGGGTCACCCAACTTTACCCTGTGGTTTTGGTGGTGCTTCCCGCTACCTGGTAACCAAGCCACTGCAGCTTGGGGGCCTGTTTGCTGTGGTATCTCAGCCTTCTGTCTCTTCTCTCTCCTGCAGGGGCGGTGTACCAGCTTTACCCTCCTGAAGGCCCTTTGTTCTCAGGACTCCTGCAGCCCCAGGATCAGCCTGCCACCTAGCCAAGAGTATCTGCCTCTAGCTTCCGGGTCCCAGTACCACGAGGTCCCAGTCAGCTGCTCCAGGCATCTGTTCAGGTTGCCATCGGTCACCCCTCCTTCCTGGGTTCCTAGAGCCTGGATGTCAACCCCACCCATGCACTATACCTCTCAGGTTCCACAGAGCCAAGATTGAGAGATCTTTGCTGCTGTATTCTATGTATCAGGCTAGGAGTTTAATAAAAGAAATAATAGATTGGAACCTGATACTTATTAACAAATCTGTTGCCCAGGGAGATGCTCTATTTCTTGAGATATATGCACCTGTCAGGACAGGAATCTCTTGTATCATATGACTAGACAAGGCACTGTTAGTTCTGACAAGTTAATCTGTCACAAAGGGAAAACATTTCTGTAAAACTCCCCTTCTCCCAATTTTTGAGTTACAAAGTCTAGTTTAGTCCCTTTCTTTCAATCTGTATAAAGGAAAGCATTTGAGTTTCTCATCTGCGGAATTCTGTGATGTTACTGGGGTCAAGGACACAAATCAAAGAATCCCAAGTGGATCTCAATCATATTTCTTTATTGTAAGGGGCAAACTCATGGAATAGGAATGGGAAGTCCAACCTCAGGTGTGTAATGCAGGAGTGTGTTTGTGTGTGTGTGTGTGTGTGTGTGTGTGTGAGAGAGAGAGAGAGAGACAGAGAGAGAGAGAGAGAGAGAGAGAGAGGAGAGGGAGATCCCTGATCTCTGGGCAGGCCTATGGTTTTCTCTGGGTACCCAAAAGGTCACACCCTCTTAAAGGTTATTGGCTGAAGGAGGTTTCCCATCACTTTGACCCTGGTCTCTAGCTTTAGGCTACTCCTGTCTTAGAAACGATTTAGAGGGGGACAAGGCCACTTCAGGACCAAGACTTCTCTTTCCCATGACCCACCATGCCATCCCTAAGTCCAGCAGATTTTCCAGGGTTCTCTGGAGGAGACAAATATCTATTGTGTCCTTCGTCTGTATCATATATGCTCCATGAGAGCGGTGCCTTGTGTGAAGTGCAACCATCCAGCATGCCCAACTGTGTCCACGTGACTACCCAGCTGGTAGGCACACAGGAGCTGATGGGAAAGGCCAGCAGTTGCTACACTGTGGATCTTAAACTGATATACTGTAGGTTTTGCATCTCTGTGTGTAATCTCTTGGAGGATGAAGAACTTCATGTTGGCCCCATTTTCAGACTCATTTCCAAAGTGCCTGTATGAACCTGTGCTGGTTAGGTGTTTTAATCAACTCGACACAGACTCAAGCCCCCTGGAAAGATGGAAGCTCAACTGAGAAACGGAATTGCCTCTGTCAGATTGACCTGTGGCCCTGTCTAAGCACTGCACTTCCTGGCTTTAGAATGCCTTTGCCTGGCAGTGCATCACCTAAGGGGTGACCAGAGCAGTTGTACGAAGTTCAAAGATTTTTCACATCTCCCCTTGAGTCAACAGCCCTCCCATCCATCCCAGGGTGTGGCTTAGCGCCCCTGGCCCTGACAGCAGACTTCCATGGGAGAAGGTACGACACAGGTAACAAACAGGGTGACCATTGAGCGTTTTCTTTGGCCTCACAGACACTGTCTGGAAGAACTGGTCCAATGAGACTGCCATTTCCAAAAGCTCACCCTCCACCTCCCCACCTGTGCTGGCTTAGCCACCAATGGTCTGTTCATTGTTCCTGGGCTAGGCAGAGGATGGAATTCTCTTTCAGAGGGAAGATTGCTGGCCTGGCTTGGGAGCTGAAACCTAGGACCATGATTTCCAAGAAGGAGGAGACATGAGAGAGAGGGTGGCAGAAGGAACCCAGAAGAAAGCCTCCATTTTGTCACCAACACCTAGGATGCGAGCACCATACCCAGGACACCAACCACCTGGGGTGTTGAGAGGATGCAGACAACAAGGAAGAAAGCACTCAACCAGTCAGGATTCCCTGAGCCCACCTTCCATTGGCTGCACTTCTGCTGTGCTTCTGCTTGCTCAGAAAGGAAGGAATCCAGGCAGCTCTTTCAAACCCAGTCCCCATACCGTTCTTTGACAGCCAGGAAGGGCCTGAGGGTCAGCGCAGTCTACCCAACTCTGCTTTTAGACAGGTTAGACTCCTCTTAGGACAGGAAACAATCAAATGCAGAAAGCAAGGTGTTGTAGGAAGGCCTCCAGTTAGTTCCCGGTTGCTTGGCAGCACAGACCCGAAATAATCACACAGAAACTGTGTTAATTAAATCACCGCTTAGCCCCTTAGCTTTAGCTTCTTAATGGCTAACACTTACATCTTAATTTAACCCATTTCTATTAATCTGTGTATGGCCACGTGGCTGTGGCTTACCGGCTAAAGTTCTGACTGGTGTCTGTCTCCTGCAGCTACATGGTGTCTCTCTGACTCTGTTCTTTTTTCTCCCAACATTCAGCCTCGCCTTCCCCACATAGTTCCATTCTGCCATGCCATAGGCTCAAAGCAGTTCTTTATTAATCAATGGTAATCTTAGCATACAGAGGGAAATTCCACATTACAAAGGCAAGGGGCTCTGAGTGTCAGAGAGAAGCCCTTGTGGCCTGCCCAAATGGCTGAGAAGGAAATCTCTGGTAGCCAATGGGCTGAGCAGTATCAAAGACCCAGATGGGGCAAGATATTGGTACAGTGCTAAGAAGCCCTGGAGTGGGCTCCTTGCCTTCAGGAAGTAAGTCGGTCACAGACGGCTGTGATATGGTATTTGATCACAATGGCCTTGCCTGTTTTTCCATAGAAACAGGGGTCCCTGAGCTGCTGTGACAGTACAGTGACAAGGAGAGCAGCTGTTACTTCACAAGAGTCACTTGGAGGCTGGGCATTTGCTTGTCCAGGAAAAAATGGAGGTCTTGGTGACCTGACATGACTTCCGCCCTGTGTCTATTGGTGTCAGTTCTGCCCTGGACCTTTGCAATGATAAAAACTTCTGGAGCACAGGCTCTAAGATCTACTGTACTTTTGTTATTCATTTAAGATATATGTTTCTTTTAAAATGATTTCTTTTTATTGATATTTATTGAGCTCCACATTTTTCTCTGCTCCCCTCCCTACCTCTCCCCTCCCCTTCAACCCTCTTCCAAGGTCCCCATGCTCCCAATTTACTCAGGAGATCTTGTCTTTTTCTACTTTCCATATAGATTAGATTTATGTATGTCTCTCTTAGGGTCCTCATTGTTGTTTAGGTTCTCCGGGATTGTGATTTGTGGGCTGGTTTTCTTTGCTTTATATTTAAAAACCACTTATGAATGAGTATATGTGATAATTATCTTTCTGGGTCTGGGTTACCTCACTCAAAATGATGTTTTCTAGCTTCATCCACTTGTCTGCAAAATTCAAGATGTCATTATTGTTTTCTGCTGTGTAGTACTCTATTGTGTAAATGTACCACATTTTCCTTATCCATTCTTCAGTCGAGGAGCATTTAGGTTGTTTACAGGTTCAATGCAATGCCCATCAAAATCCCAGCAAAATTCTTCACAGACCTCAAAAGAATGGTAGTCAATTTCATATGGAAAAGCAAAACACCCAAGATAGCCAAAACAATCCTGAACAATAAAAGAACTTCTGGAGGCATCACTGTCCCTGACTTCAAACTCTATGACAGAGCTACAGTACTGAAAACAGTCTGGTATTGGCATAAAAACAGGCAGGAGGACCAATGGAACCGAATCAAAGACCCGGACATTAATCTACACACCTTAAATCATTTCTTTTTCAGTTCCTTGAGACTTATTTTGCTATTTATTTTCTAATGTATTTGGTTAAATTTCTAGTTCATTTATGTCTCCCCTTTTTGGTTAATATAAACTTTTTGGGTTATAAACCCCATTTCTTCTTTCATGGAATATTTAAAAATTTTTATGTGTGTTGTTTTGAGTGATTTCTCCTAAGACACATAATTTTATGTATGGATTAAAGCTTTCAGTTTTGTGTGTGTCTAACATTCTGTTGGGCCATCACTTTCCACACTAATTTCACTGTAATCAGAGAACCTGACTTGCTGAATTGACTGTTGAAATTTTTTTTGGGGGAGGGGAGGGATTTATCTTAACACATGATTCGGAGGAGCCCCATTTAATGGAACCTAGTAATTAATTGTCTTGCTGTTTAAATCTTCTAAATTTTGGCAGGTGTTATATCGACATTCAGTGTAATGGAGAATTTGACAAAACGCCCCTTTTTAGATATCATTTGCTTTCTTTATAGATGCTTGCACATTTCGAAAGCTTGTTGTTTTCTTGGTTAATGAATCGCTTTCATTAGGAACTTGTTCTCTTTAAGTTTCCAAGGCTGAAGACTATTTCTTTTGGTCTGCTCACCATCTCTGCCCTATTTATTACTGTTTCTTGTTTTTATTTTGCTTGTCCTCAGGTATGTATACCTTCTAAATGTATACAGCTCGACAAAATGAGTTTTACTGCCCGTTTGAGTGTGTCATTCAATGTTACCATTTGGGTCTCCCTTCTGTGTGTGTCATTTAATGTCACCATTCAGATCTCTACCCCAACCCGTGTGTGTGTGTGTGTGTGTGTGTGTGTGTAACTGGAAGGGAGTATCACTAGTATCTACCCCATTCTCTTACTCTACGACACAACCCCACCAAACAGACCACCTCCCAGGCTGCTTCTAGCCAATGACTGGGTCTAACAGTCTAGAAGTCAGCCCATGTTAATAACTTCAGATACCCTATCTGCCCTGGTTACAACTTCCAGGCAGTCAGTACTCTGCGTCTTCTTCCCTAGTCCTCTTTCCTCCACTCCTTCCTCTTCAAAGAACTTTCCAACTGATGCTAACAATCATCCACCCAGCTTAGTATGCTTTTAGCCCCTTTGCACGCCATAACCTCCCCCCACCCCCAACATTGGTGGTGGCTTTGCACCTCTGAAGATATCTTTGCTTTGTGCTCACTCCTGAGTAGCAGTGCAGGTGGACGCAGTGTAAATACATACATTGTTTTCCAAGGCACCCAGAGACCTTACAACCTGATGTCCACGAGCACTAGTGGCTGTTTGACAGTTAGCATCGCCTCGGTAATCCACGTTTTGAGCTTAACGGCTTCTAAAATGTGTTTCTCTGACCTGGATGGTTGCCTGCGTGGGTGCTTGGAGTTCGGGTCAGGTGCTTGGTCACCAGGGAATGGCATTATTTGTAAGTATTAGAAGGATTAGAAAGGGTGGTCTTGTTGGAGGAAGTGTATCACGGGGGATGGGCTTTGAGGTTTCAAAAGCCCATGCCAAGCCTAGAGTCTGTCTCCCTGCCTGTGGACCTGCTGGATGCAACTCTCAGCTACTGCTCCACCACCTGCCCGCAGGCTGCTAAGTTCTCCACTATGATGATAATGTACTAAACCTCGGAAGCTGTAGCAAGCCGTCAACTAAATGCTTTCCTTTATAAGAGTTACCATGGTCATGGTCACAGGAATAGAACATTGACTAAGACCTGTGATTCTAAGGGATGTGCAGCTCCAACCTTACCCACCTCCCATTTACTTTTGTAACAGATTCCCGAAGCCCGGGGGAAGGCTCTGGAGAGTCCGCTGTTTCTCAGTGTATCCTGCCTCCCTGGTGGCCTCACTGTGTCAATGAATGAGTGAAAGGAGCTGGGAACTGGGTGCGGTTTCCTTTTAGCTCTCAAAGGAGTCTCCTTTCCCTACTGACTTCAAGACGATTAGCGACCCAGGTTCAAACATCAGGGTTCATTCACAGGGGTGTTGCAGCTGGGCCAGGTACCACCCTGCCCCTGACTACCCCATCTTCCCGGAAAATCCCTGGTCCTGCAGAACATGGCCTTATGGGCACCCATCTCAGTCATCTCTCTCACAGAGACCCTTTCTGCCTGCCTCTACCCCCTTTTCCAGAATAGTTCTCTAGAGGACACCTGCTGATTGATGGCAGCCAGGGACCTCTCCGCTGTCCACAAGTTGGTAAAGCAGGGGGGCAGCGGATACTCCAGTGAAGGCCAGGAGAGCGCGGTGAAATTGCAGCTCTGGAGGCTTTTCTGGCAGTTAGGGGAAAGCAGTTTGAGAGCAGACGGGTCCTTGTACATCTCATGCAGGGCACGCGCCACCAAGCTGTCAGTACAGCCAGGGCCTGGACGATTCAAGAGCCTAGATGCTGAAGTACACTGTGCAACAGCTCAGAGGTGAGAGAAGACACGACTTCCAAACGCAGCAGGACTGAGCCTAGAGCTCCTGACGTCCTTCAGTCTCTGGCGCCTGAGGGCAAGGCGGGAGAGTTTGGGAGAGTCGAGTTCCAGACGAAGGTCCCTGGGAGCTTACAAGGGCCAGGGGTGGGGAACCTATGGGCTAGCGACCTGAAGGTCCCGCCCCCGAGGCGGGGCCTGGACTCCCGTGGGCTCCCCAGCCAAGTTCAGCAGCTCAGGCTGGCCGCCCTGCAGCTGGTACCCGGTACCCGCCGGCCTCGCTGGTGATGCGCAGAGCCCAGGTGAGACTCGCGCGGGCAGGAGACTCGCCAGCGGGGGAGGGCGGCGGCAGAATGCCTCTCCATCCCTAGGCCTTTTCCCGGGCAGAATTCTCAAGACCGCCTTAGCTCTGGGGCCGGGATCTCCCTGGTCTGCTCCTACATCTTTCTCTAGTCCACTCCCTGGGGCCCATCTTCTTGTGTCCTCCTGTGTCTCCTCTCACTTTTTATCCTTGTAGGAATTTATCTTTATTGGCGGTTCCTCCTTGCACTCCCGTTCCTCTCCTTTCTTTTCTTTTCTTTTTTAAAAATCTTCTCTTCCTCCTCTTTTCTTCCCTCTGCCCTCACTTCTTTTCTGTACATAATCCTGTTTTTTCTCCCAGACTGACTTCTGTGTGTGTGCGTGTTGCGTTCTTGATTTCATACTTTCATGCATGCATTCCTGTACTCTATTATTCTCAACAGGGCTTGTGCTGAGTGCCATGTTAAGAACCATGACCCGATCACAGATGTGTTCTTCAACAGAAATTTACCAAGATCTGGAAAGGTAACTCAGTGTCTGGTGTGGAAAAATACATAAATGTCTGAGTCTTCATGGTTGAGCAGAAAGAAAATACCTTGTTTTGATAAGATGCTGTGTCCTTTTCTTGAAACCGTTTTCTTTCCTAATAGGCACAGACAGCACGCCAGGAAAGCCAAGTAGCACTGGGGGGACAGCTGCAATCATGCGTGCCTTTTGGGCGAGCTGTGCCTGTCAGGGTCTGGGGCACCGAGATGGTGGCTTTCTGGGCTGGGCTGTAGGAAGACAATGGGAGCCCATGGCTGGGTGTGTTTTGTCTCCATGAAGTAGAAGGACAGATGTGAATTCATTTCATGTTGCCCTCAAAGATTGTCTTACTACATTTTAAATGGAAGAAATCTAGGGGAGTCAGCCTGCTTAAATTGTTAGGGAACCAAATTCAGCATGCATATCACAGCGATTTTAATCACTTTGTTAAAGGGTTAGTTTTGGCAAAGACACAATTTCATGTTTAATGATATTTATGGTATTTCTTTATATTCAAAAGCACATACCAAACATACACAGACTTGCTTGTTTTCAAACATGTTAATTACCCATTAAGGTTGGCAGCCTTGGCTTCTTAGACACAATTTAAATTGACCTTGTAGTTTATTGTGCCTCTAATGATAATTCCGCCAGCTTAACTTTTCACTGATGCAGAAAAGGAAGCTTGACCATACGTAAGCCACACAAACCTGAGCAAAAGTAGAATCTGGTCAATGAGGATGGTGTGGTTAGTAGAAGAGTATGCAATGTTATATTAAAGAGTTCCAGACAGTTAATGAGCATGATCTGGGAGCTTCGGTTTAGAGACTGTGTTCTGCATTGGAGAGTGCAGTTGTCTCGTGAGTCCTCCAACCCCTGATGCCAGTGAGACAGAACTGGCAGTGGCAGTGGTGAATGGGGAGCTTTTCAGCTGATTTAGAATTGCATGGCAGTTTTGTTTGGCAGATTTCTTTTCTAGAAATCCAGGAGTTGGCGACGTATATTTAGAACAGATAAGCCATTTAAAATGTATATGAAGCGAAGTCTTGAGTCTCAGGGTTTTAAGTTTTATTTCCCTTTATTGCACAATCTGTATCTTTATAAAAATGTCCCTACTCTTTTCTCTTTAGACAGTGCTACTACTTTAGTGTAAAAGGGTCTCCTGTTGAACAGCCTGGTAGATAAGCCATGTACTTTATCCTGTGAATTCTGTCCTGGAGGTAAAACCCTGGCTAGGGCAGGACACCTGTTCTCCCTTTCCAATAGTACCAGCAGCAAGAGCCTCCTGTATTGAGATCTTACACACTCCCTTATTGAATCCAACTAGAAGTACCCTGAAGTAGACATCACTGTTCCAGTATTATGTATATGGTGATTAACACCCTGAGTGGTTGTCCTGGGTCATGCACCTAGTGAGTGGCTAGGCTGAGACTGCAGCTCAGGCTACGTCTTGGAATCTGAATCCATAGGGCTAATTCAGCCCCACAGGTTCTAGTTGAAATATCACCCCAGATAACACTACTTGCTGACCGGTTGATGTTTATTGGAGTACTGCTCCTTGCTCTAGTGTCCTGCCCATCCTTGGCCATAGCTAACCCTGAATCCACCCAGCAGAGCTCCTGCGAAGCACCGTCTTTGCCCTCTGAGTTCATTGGCTCTGTTTCTGAAGATTTCTGGGCTTGGAGGGGTGAAGATATGTCCTCTACCTCTCTGTGGCTTCACATGGCTAAGCTGGGTTAGTTCTGTGTCTAGCTTCACTGTAGTCCTGGGAACTGACTTTGCTTGAGTTTGAGCAGCATTGCTCTAGAAGACTAAAGCTTTAGATGGACATGGGACACCCCCCCCCAGGAGCTGGCTAGACAGCCCTTGGCTCTGCTTCTCTATGAAAGCCTGGAAAGCTCTTATGGTCCCAATGTTTCTAATATCCCAGAGCTAGGAGATGCCTAGAAACATGAGCATTCCCCACAGGGAGACATAGGTGCTCACCATTCTTATACAGATGTTAATGCATTATTATAGTCTGGAATCTTCCAAAAATGAAGATTTCAGCGACTAGGGACTGAAACCCAAAGACTGGAACACTGGAGTTGTTTTATGCTTTCTTTTGTTTCAACTGAGAAGCAAATGCATGAGACAGACTAGCAGAGTGTGCGGTGTCATGGAGCAGAACTAGCTTCTGAACTGCAACTCAGATCCATGAGAGTTAATACAGTGTTCAGAGGACTTTCAGAACTCTGAGGCATCCAGCTTAACAAGAATCTTATTGTCTATAAACAGAGCCAAAAGGAAAGAAATGCCCTTGCTATTTGCTTATTCGTTTAACAACACTATGTGCTAGTTTCTTTGAGTTCACAAGCAACAAAAAGGTAGCTATGAGGTGACTCTGTCACTTTGTGATAAGCATGACACCCAATTTGTCTTTGCACTGAGTGCTGAGCCAGTTTCCTTGGCACTTTAAATATACCATTGTAACCAATCTTTATGGCAGTCCATGGGGATGGAGTATCCATGCATTTCCTTTACAGAGGGGGAAGCAGAGGTCCTAGTGTGGATAATGGCAGAGAATGATGGAGTCCAGGTCTTCTGTCCCTAGAGTCTATGCACTTGACCTTAATGATGTAAATGGGGCTCCACAGTAGCAGGAACAGCAAGGCTGCGTGGGAGACTATAACCAGAGCCTTTTAGATATTGGACCGATGAGGCTATAGTTTCTACTCAAGCATGAGTAATAAGACTGGAAACAGACTGATCTCTCAAAATGTAGCACTTGCTGTGTTAGTCAATGGCAGTACCCTGATTGGGAGCTCACGAGATAGGCGCTACAGGGAGAAGTATCCATGGCAGGAAAGACGGGCCATGGTAAGATATCTACCTTGTTGATCTGGGGATCCTGGTGTCAGAAAGCACTCTGGATCATATTATCATATGATCTGAGGACTCCGAGAATAGTGGGAGGGTCTTAGTTTGTCATCTTTTTTTTTTTCTTTTTTCCAGATAGAAGAACATGGAGTGAGTGACTCTGAATCATTTTGTTCAATTTGTGCCTTGTGGACACCAGAGTGAAAAGAGCCAAGAATGATAAGAAAAGCCTTTTAGTGGAACAGATACAATGATGGAGTGATGAACACCCATAAAGAGTGTCAGGATGGAGAGCCCAGGATGAACTGAGGCCATTGAGGACAGCCCAGGACAACAGAGAGTCTTTTCACATGAGGTGCAGAGCAAGGAACAAGGGCTGCATAGATCCGTCACTGCCTAGGGCAGCTGGCATCTGTGGGAGGAGAAAGGGGAGGGGGCAGTTTCAGTCTGCCCAGAAAGCAGCTGCCCAGGGCGCAGGTCCACAGACACACAGGGTGGCGGGGGTGCAGGTGAGATGGGAGATGTGCCAAGCGCTGTGTGAAGGGTCAGGCTTCCGACCCACAGAACTCTGTGGTCGGGGTGTGGAGATGAGCTCCCCCATCTGTGGTGGCCATCTGGGAAGCACAGGGATGAGGGGATGTAGATGCGGCTGCAGAAGGATGAGACTGACCCCTGCCCTCAGACAGACGCCAGTGTTGAAGGAAGGGCTGGGAGTCCATACAGGAGAGGTGAGCACACGGAGGCAGCGTGGTTTCTGCAGGAGTAAGCCACAGCAGCCTCACGTTATATTCCATTTCGAGAGGCTTACATCTGGCAGTTTTCTCTACCCTCTATGTTTTTTCTACCCTCTATGGAGGGTAGACATGGGAGCAGGGCCTGAGATGGGCTTTATAGGAAATCCGGAGACTTGCCTGCAATTAACCCCAAACAATGCTGATTCACGAGCCAGAGGTAGTCTCAGGGAGGCAGGCAAAGATTCCACATGTCAACATACACGTGCACATAATCGTGTACAATGGCATGTACAGCCAAATGCACATGCTGATAGGTGTGCACTCTCATATATAAGGACATGCACACATCTCTCTCTCTCTCTCTCTCTCTCTCTCTCTCTCTCTCTATCACACACACACACACACACACACAGCTCAAGCACGTGCATACACACACACACACACACACACACACACACAGCTCAAGCACATGCATACACACACACACACACACACACACACACACATATCCTTCGTTGTTCCTTCCTCTGTTTAGTTTTAGTTTGCTTTTGTCTGTTCCAATTCTCCTTTCGGTTTCTCCTTAGTAACATTATTCTTTCCCCCTTTCTCCCTTTTCTCCCCCATCCCATTTTTAAGGATTGGGATGATGGCATCCATGGGACATGTGGTGGGACAGGATATCTAACTCAATATCTGACATTCTCCAGATTCACAATGGTGTCAAAAACTGCCCTGTGCAGTTGAGCAAAATGACATGGGATAGGTTGGCAAAAAATGTTGAGTTGAGAAACACAATGCACCACAATTTTTGTGTGAAAATTAAATGAAATCAAATACAAGGAACTGTTGGTCTATACACAATTAAATAGAAGATTATCACCACTTTTTTTTTATATAATGGAGCATCCTGGTGGCCAACTTTCTGCCCTGCAAGGCCCTCAGAAGTGGGCAGTCATATCTCCTTGCATGCCACTGAAAGTTCTGGCTCCTGAAATTAACTGTCTCTGCTTGGAAAATGCTGCCTGGACCATGAAGGTGGCACTATAGGGTCTCTGCAGAGGTGAGATCAGGGAATTTTGATGCAGGTTCTTGAACATCCTTGGATATAACATTATCTGGACTCAGCTGACTCTAGAGAAGTATCTGAGATTAGAGAGGAGATAGAGTGTGTGTTTTAGTTTATAGTGGGCGTGTTTGTATTAATGTGTATGAATATGTTTGTGCAAACATGTGTATGTTAGTGTTTGTGTGAAAGTATATGTGTATTTGTCTGTGTTAGGTATATGTGTCAAGTGTGTTTGTGTGTGGACACAAGTGTGCCTATGTAAATGTATATGTGTGTCTGTGTGAGCTCATGGAATAGAAACTTACTGGTGGGGATAATAGCAAACAGACCTGCTATTATTTGAGAAAGGGAGAAGCAATTTATCAATTAATTACACCTGGGAGATCAGGCATGGTCTTGGAGATTTTTTTTAGCCCATTTTACAGGTAGAGACCTGGGATACTGAGGGGCTGGCTGCTTTGCCCAGGCTTACCCTGTGACTGCTGTCACCTCCGCACTCTCAAAATACTTGTAAACATGATGTCTGATGCTAGAAGCAGCCCACTGAAGCTGTGGTTTAGAAAGGATGCTGAGGTGACCCATTTCATCCTGTAAGCACACAGTATGCATAGTGAGGGACTTGGGGACCCAGACCCACATGGAGGGGGCTGTGTTTGTATTTATTTTCACCATAGTGGTTGTGCAAAAGCTTTAGTCAGAGAAGAGTGTGTTGTGGTCCCCTTTCCTGCACTTTGGGTAACTTTTATATTTTAACTCTCTCAGAAAGTTGATGCTGCTTTAATCTCTTTGGGGACTTCTGAAAGAAAGGGGCAGGCGGAAGATGCGTGTGCTGTGTGCTCCCTGCACCGGGAGGCAGAGGGCAGCTAGTGGATGCAGCTGCCCAACTAGCCCCCGAGTCCCTGGGAGTAAGGAGCCTGGTCACTTCCGCATACTCTGGCTCAGGGGAAGTCATTCCAGTGATGAAGCCGCTAGAATGCTGGTCCAGACATCGCTGTGGCTCTGCCAGCACCTGTGAAAGGAGAGGGTCTGGTTCTATTTCTTAGTTTTGGAACCAGATGGCTGGGCCTACGGAGATAGGGCAGTGCTGAAGGCCTTCCTTAGAGAGCTGATGACATTACCTCCGAGGTATCTCCCTCTCAACCATGGCACCTGCAGGGCACAGTCAGAAGCTAGTTCATCCGTGGATGCCCGATGGTTTGGGACAAGTAGACAGCGGGCATGGGTCGAGGAGAAATGAGTGGGGTTAGTTGTGGGATGGGTCAAGAGTGAGTCTGGTGAGTGGCCAGGAGGAGGCTCTAGACAGGAACAAGGCCAGGTGGAGAGTGGACAGTGCCTCAGTGTGAGGCAAAGGCCAACACAGCCCAAACCCACCCTGCCAAGTGTTCCTCGGACCCTCTGGTCACTTGCACCTATAGAAGCCCTTGCCTGTCCCTCAGTACCTGAGGTGGCTGGCCTAGCACACCTGACAGCAGGAATTAAAGTCAGCCTGCCAACCAGCAAGAAAACCTGCTAATGTGGGCATAAACACATTAGAATTGTCAGAAGAGTCAAGCTGGCAGCTGACGCTGTCTAGACTCGGCTAATGCCGTACAGGCTGTCCCAGTACTGACAGCCGCAGGGATGGTGCCCTGGGTGGTAGCCTCGGCCTGTGTGTTTGCTCACACGTGTGCACATGGGAGTGTGGGTTGTGTTGACATCTCCCCTGATAGAGTCCTGGAGGCGAGCTCTCAGAGTTGTGTGCGGTTGTCACTTCTAGAACAGTCAGGGTGCTTTGGATAGAAGTGGTAAAAGTCAACTTTGGCCAAATCCGAGAAGGAATTCATTAGAATAAGGGGCCAGAGTAGGTCCCACTATCAGAGGGGTAGCTGGAGACCTGGACTGGAGAAAAACAGGGACGGAGTAGCGGCAGAGAATCTCAGTAGTAGGAGCAGGACTTGGCTGGGAAGATGCTGGGAGACACAAACGATCAGGTATCTGCTCTATGGTCCCAAGAAGCAATAATCTCCCTCCTCTTTTTGGCTAGCATGAGGGCCTTTTGGTCCAGACAGTGCCTTCTGGTTGCTTTCTGTGTGCCTCACCCAGCCTCCTCTGGGGGCTGCAGAGGGTAGACAACAGCATAGGCTCTTTCTTCTGGGCCGGAGAGGTCAGCAGAGTAGAAGGCTCTCCTCTTGCCCAGGGAAGGCTGTGCCTAGGGCTGCAGCTGGGCAATACGGTGACCAAGGCAGGAGAGGGCAGGGTGTTGATGGAGGCCATGGCTTCGCTTGGTAGGCAGGCTCCTGAGCGACCCTCACATCTGCACACTAGAGGACATCTGCAACTCTCAAAGGAAATGGTGCTGAGTTATAAGCTGCACTGGGAGCAAAAGCCACTTCTAAGCATGTGTTAGGTGGTTAGCTCCCACAGTGTGGGAAGAATGGCCATAGGACCCTGCACTGGCATCCCTTGGGACTCTGGGACTGCTGGTGCACCCCGTTGTGGCTGCCCGTGTACCTCCTTTCCACTTGTACTGTGAGCCCTCCATAGTTTTGCTTTTGTGACTCAGGGCGGCCATATCCAGGTGAGGTGAAAGCGAGGTCTCTATGAAGCATCCCCAAAGTCTTTCCCCAACAAAAACCCACCCTTCTTCCCCCATCCTTGGCTTGTCTATCAAGTCCTTGACTCCCAAAGGATTCCAAAGAAAGACTCCCTATCAGGGACCAGAGCAGGGAAAAGCATGCATAAAGCTAGCAGTGGCCACCGCATTGTCTCAGCCAGAGCGGGGTCCACAGGGAGAGCAGCCTGACCATACAAGGCTTGGGTGGGAGTAGGGGGAGAGCAGGCACAAGGACTCTAAGATGGGTCCAGAGGAATCCAAACAGCCAGTGCAAGCAGGCTGGAGACGTAATGTAGAGAAAGGAGCTGCTAGTGTAGGAGACAGGGAAGGAAAGGCACATCACAGGCGCCAAGGTAGTGAATCCATGAACCATCCACATTGCCTCCTCCTCATGCTGTGGCTTCCCTAGGACTCTGGATCAGTCAGGGCCAGACAGCGTCTGGAGCAGAAGCTGTGGTACTCTCTTCCTCCCAGCAGGATCAGCTTGTTGGTAGGTGTCAGGATTTCCCATTTTCTGCCCCAGAGCAGGCTCCCTTTCCTACCTCTCCAGCTTCTATGGTTCTGGACCAGACTTGTTAACCAGTCGGTGTTTGTGAGGCTTCCCTGCCTTTCCCTGCATGGAGCCATGGCATATTCATCTGACATCACGGCTCCAGGCCTCTCTCTGGGAAAAATCTGCCTCTGCACACGCTGGAGTCTAAACTATCTCAGCTCACTGTCTCTTTCTCCTCAGATGACCCTGCTCCTACTTCACAGACATCAAAGGAAGGCCAGGAAAAGTGGGTCTGCCTGGTGTCAGCCTACATGGGGCGCTGAATGACCAGTGCCTGCCTCACTTTTTCTGCAGTGGTCAAGTGCATCCAGTCCAGGCTTCACTGCAGGGACTTTCTGGTCGCATTAACTCCTCCTTGAGCTAGGGACCAGTCCTTTGGAACTCCAAAGCCCTGTAGACTAATGGCTGCTGGAACATCCACCTTGCTTAGCCTGTCAGGCCCTGCTGATCACATGGCTGAGGAAAAAGGGGCTTCTTTGAGTCCTCCGGTTGACAAAAGATGGAGGCTCATGGGACCTAAGCAGATTCAGGCAGGGCTGCTCAATAAAGCAAGCCTCCTGGACTCTGGAGCTGCCGCAGGGAAGGGTGGCCAAGATCTGGCCCATTCTGAACTGAGCCTCTCAACAGAACCGGATAAGCCCGGACTGCACAGGCCCCTGGGCTACAAGGCCTGCACAGAGCAGAGGCAGGGTTCCTTTACAGAGCTGTCATGTCTCCAGGAGAGGCCAGGCGACATTCAAGCCCTGAAGAGGAAGCCAGAGGACCCGGAAGGCCAGCTTGGCACTCAGCAGCTGCCCCAGGATCTCCCCAGAGCCTCAGCTGATGGCACAGAGTGCTCAGTATGGCCGGGTGCAGTCCGGAGTGGGAAGAGGAGCGCTTTCAGGAGGCCAACCACGCGCCCCGTGGAAAAGCCCCGGTGCTCCCCCGCATTTCCGGACGGTGGAAACGCGGAGGGCCCATGGGAGCTCTCGGGACTCATCACCACCGTGGATATCCCATGTTGGGCTCAGCTGTCAGCTTTCAAGCTCACGGGAGACTTCTGGAGACTGCACATGCTGTCCCAGAACATTCTATTCTGCAATGCTTTCCATGGGGCTCCAACACCGTGGCTGGACCACACGCAGGCGCAAGCATCCACATCCTTGACCCCTTCCGCCACAGCCTGCCGGGTTCTCTTGCCACCCACACTCGCATCCCCAGGCTTGCCCACTCAGAACTGGTGTGCAAAGTGTAACCTCGCCTTCCGTCTGACGGCTGACCTGGTCCTTCACATGCGGTCCCACCACAAAAGGGAGCACGGAGGCCCTGACCCACATTCTAAGAAACGCAGAGAGGAAGTTCTCACTTGCCCCATTTGCCATGAGTACTTCCGGGAGCGACACCATCTTTCCAGGCATATGACGTCACACAGTTAGTGGGTGGCTAAGGAGGAACCCGATGGCCATAGTATCTGGTGCTCAGTGGTGAGGCACGGCCGACTCCTTGCCTGAGTTGAGAAGGTGGTCACAGGTGTCTTCACGGTTGTTCCCTTTGCTTCGCAGAGGTGAACGGCTCAGTTATAATTTGTCAGATGTCCCGCCCCTTGTTTTGTATTTTCCAGGAAAGCCATTCACTGAAACGGTGAGCTTCACTCATGGGATTAGGGGATAAGGGGACCCATGACTTGGGGAGCAGGGCTGTTCCTGGCTCTGCTCCCAGTGCTCTGCCTGGAGCACATGAACACAACACCTTGGCTTTTCTGACCAGCAAGCCTACATTCACTCTGGGCTCTTTCACTGCTGCGCCGCAGACTTGGATATGTTCCTTTAACTTGCCGACCCTCAGTTCTCTCGTTTTAAAGTGGTGCATTAGCAGAATGTCATCGGTCTTGAGGAAGGTGTGTGGGAGGTGGCAAGCTCGTTTTCTGGTAGGTTGTGAGCACTGAGCGCATGGAGCTCATGGCCACTGCTTGTGCTGGTCAGCTACATGACTTGTGAAATCTCAGGGGTGAACGAGGACTATGTTTCTCTGCCACGAGCCTGCAGCAAAGCTGAGGGTGAGCTTGACTTGGTAGACACGCTCAGGCTGCATTCAAGCCTATTCCCCCGTCCCTGCTGCGTCACACGGTGAAGCTGGGAATACCGGATGGCAACCAAAATGTCCAGCTAGATTCCCAGCCTCTGCCTGGGTCACAAGCCTAACCTCTGGGTCAGTGTAAATCCAGGCCTAAGGTGACCAAGTGGAAAAGTGGCCTGGCTGAACCCATAATAAGGGAGTGGTTAGCAATTCACCGTCCTGTTCTCTCGGTCTTCACACCGTGAATATGTGAGGAGAGGAAAACAGAAATACACCACTTATTCAGCATGATTTCTGGGTGCCATCCTTCCTTGTGATCCTGAGCTGGGCAGGAAAGAGCAACTGGAGGGCACTCAGAATGAGGTCCCCATCCCCACAACACTACAGGACAAACTTGAAGAGGTTGGTGACTTTTCCAAGGCCACCACACTGGTGTATCGGTGGAAGAACAAAATCCTGTGACCTCCAGATCTGAGGTCTGTCTCTTCCAGCATGCTGCATGTCTGCTTAGCTAGCGTGGTCGTGGAGCATACGGCAGGACTCAAGAATTGGAACTTGAGTCTGACCTAGTCTCTTCACGTCCAGTTTCAACTTAATCTTGCTACTTATGCACAAACACAGACACATAAACACATAGAGACACACACACAGATACACACAGGCACACACAGACAGACTTACATAAACACACAGAGACACACTGACACAAACACACACACAGATGTACACAGACACACACAAGCACAGACACACAAACAGAGACCTACATAAACAAACACACACACAGACACACACAGAGAGACACACACAGATACATACAGGCACACACACACAGACTTACATAAACACAGAAATACACACAGACACAGATATACATAGACACACACAGACACAGACACACAGACACAAACACACACACAGATATACACAGATACACACAGGCACAGAAACACAAAGACACAGACACACACAGAGATGTACACAGACACACAAACAGAGACCTACATAAACACACACACACAGAGATACACACAGACACAGACACAGATATACACAGACGCACACAGGCACAACAGACACACAAAGACATAGACACACACACACACACACCCCACTCGAGTACTTTTCTCCGTCCTATATACTAAGTAGCATAAGATCTGTCTTGTTCACTGTAGTGCTCCTCACTAGAAGGAACGGGAGTTTTGCTGTTTGTTCCCTGCTGTATTCCCATCACCTTGGACAAAGCAGACGCGCAATAGACACTCAACAGGTATCTGCTGAAAGAAATAATAAATGGATGAGTTAATAAATGAATGATCTGCTTGACTCTGGCTTTGTTCTTGACAACTCTGGTATTGGCATTGGGGGACAGGAGATGGTATCTGTCAAGAGTGTGTCCACGCTTATTTCTGGCGCAGTGGATTGACCCACGGTTCCTATGACATCTCTTTGGAAGGGCAATGGTTCTGCCAAAAGGTGCAGACTATGCTTAGGATTGTTGCCAACACAGGCTGTTTGGCAGTCATTCAGATTTACAAGTTCAAGGATGTTCAGGAGCTCATGACTTAGAATTTGTTAGTGACTCAGCTCCTCAGAATGAGCACGCTGGGGTCCCCTACTTCCTCAGAGTGAGCACACTGGGCTCCCAGGCTTCCTCGGGAAGTGAAGGCCCCTCTCATGTCCTCGTCCTTCACGTCACTTTAAACTATGGCTTCCTAAATTTTCTCTTTCATAAAAAATAGTCTGAATATTTTTCATTCCTCAAAATTCACATTCAAATCCCAGCTTTCTGTTTTCTCTCTGTCGTCATGGCTAAAAAGAACAACCTCTGACCTTAGAGGAGGTCTTCACATGAGACAGTTCATCTGCCGACACCTGTCCCTCCTTTGTGATCTAAAACTGTGAGCCATAGATTCCTGTTGATCATAACCGCCCAGTCTAGGGATTTTGTTATAGCTGCCTGAACAGAGGGGGCAGCTGCTTCTATACACAGTTCACTCATTGCTTCTCGGGCATAGGGATGACTTAGTGGTCCACAGTTCTTGATCTTCCACAGGACCCAAGCTGGGTTCCCATCACCAGCGCGGAGCTGGCACAGGCCTGGAACTCCAGCTTCAGGGAGTCTGACACCCTCTTGTGGCCTCAGGGGTGTCAGCACCCATGGAGCACAACCTCTCCCACATCCATAAATAACAATTAAAGAATTCTTGGGAAAATTAAGGCTTCTAAGAAGTCCTTAGGGGCAAGGGCTTATGACTCAGTAGTAAGGTGCTTGTCTAGTATGTGTGAGATACAGGGCTCAGTTTGCAGCCACGCAAAAAGAAAAAAAGAATTTGGAAATGAGACCGAAATAAGGCATTCTGAATTCAACTTATTAAGCAAGGTCTTTACCCAGTTCATATCCTGAGCGCTTAGAGTGCTGAGGTTAGACCACTATTGAGGTGATTTTTTTTTTTAACTATCATCTTGGAAACAGCTATAACCACTATGATGATGATGCCAGGTCCTCATTCTGAGCTTTTTGCAGATTCCTGGATCTTTAGGGCAGGGATCTAAACGCAAATGACTGTGTATGGTTAAGAAAACACATATAGGCGAAGGTGCTGGAGCGCAGGTATCGCGGGTGGCACACCTCGGGGTGACAGGTCTTATCAAGAGCTTGGCTAGGTTTCCTGGGGAGATCCTCTTCAGGTCCAGCCTGGAATTGGATAAAAGAGAGAGCAGCATACCTGGGTGCCACCTCCAACCCCTCGACACCTCGGTGCGGGACATGGCCTGGAATAGACTAAAAGAGAGACCAGCAAGCGAGGAATTAAAGAAAGTAGCTGCTGACTAACGCAGCTGCTGGTTAACGCAGATGGGCAGATGAGGGCCTTCTTGAGGTGACTCAGAGGAGGGTTTCCTGGATGAGGACTGGGATCTTGATACCTTGCTTCCTTTCTGTGCATCCTGGCATGGCAATGCGAGTGACGTGGGCCATGTGGCATAGACTTGCTGATCCATGTCAGTGTAGAGGATGAAAGAGTCGTCACCCCAAGTCTGATAAACGTCTGGCTGTTGAATGGGCTAGGGGCTAGGCCCAACCCTTCTAACCTCACTCCTGGCCCTCTCCTCATGAGCTCTGGAAGAAGACATGCTACTCAGGACGAGAGCATGAAAAGCCCAATTCAGCCCTTGTCTCCTTCATCCCCTCCCCCCCCTGGGAAAATATGGCGCCCCCTAGAGGCATCCGTAAACCATTTCTCCAAATATTTCCCTTAGCACTGCCATTTTCACAAGTTTCTTTTTACAAGTCTTGTTACAGATTTAATGGTAATATACTAAATGGAATATAAATCCGCTGAGGTAGCCCCCTCCCCCTTTAAGGAAGTTATTCAGTAATGTGATATGATTTAAGACACTTCTTAGGTGAGACTGTTTAGAGATCATTTGTATGAGGGATGCGGAGGAAAAGAAGGAGGTTTTAAATTTAGTTTTCCATCTTTTATCCATGTGTGTGTCTCAGGTCTGGGGGCAGGGGACCTCTCAGGTCTGGTCCCCTTGCTATTCTAAGATCCTGAGATTAAGAGACTATTTTCAGCACTAGCCAGCAAAGCAAAGCTGAGGTCCCTAGGCCAGGTGGCAGCAGCTAAGTCCCTCTGCAATCAGTAGGTGGTAGATAAGTGCCCTCCTGTGAACACTTGAGGGAGAGCTTCCTGGCACAGAAGTGGGATTTAATATGCCTAGCATCCTTTCATTTCACGCGGTAATTGTGGTGACCCTGGGCATAGGAAGGTAAAAGATAGATCAGGGCCTCTCCTCTGCTGTGTTGGCCCAGCCTCAAGATAGGGGTTCTGTGGGGATCGCTATGTGGTCTCCTCCCCTTCCTTGTTGAATGGAGTGTGATCCCTGATGCTTTGACAGAGCACAACAGCAGCTCCTTAGGCATGTCTTGCCCCACAGCCAGTTTGGAGTCTAGGACTCTTACAATCCTCTAACTTTGCAGGTGGTAGCAATGCCAGGACTATTAGAACCAGCTGGACTCTCAGGGGCACTCCAGCATCCTGGACAAAGGTCATAGGAGTTGCCCCAACTCTTTCTGCTTATAGTATTTAGCTCCTTCTCCATCTGGTCTGTAGGAAGGGTCAGGTAAGTCTGACCCTTGAGAGGAATGCCCCTCGAGAACAAGGCCTTTCAGTAAGATCAACCCCTTACAGCCCATATATGAGGTAAAAGGCTGGGCAGGAACCAAGCTAGGGGCCTCAATTCAAGAGAGAGAATGACAGATGGTACCAATAGTAATGTCAGATATTAACTCGCCGGACCCTGGTGTCTGTGTGATCGAGGGGCCTGGGCAAGAGAGGGTGTCTGTCAAGTGGTCTGAGTGTCTTAAAGTAATGTATGGGAGAGTTCAAGATGCTAAGTTGGGGACAGGAGTTGCCTTGGCTTGATGGGCCTGAGAGTATGCTGGTAATAAGTGCAGACATGAGTTTCTGGGACGTGTGTGTGTGTGTGTGTGTGTGTGTGTGTGTGTGTGTGTTGTTCCTTTTTTCTTTTACTCTATCCTTGTCTCCAGGTGGGTATCATGAGATGCTCACATAAGGAAGACTGACTCGTTTTGCTATACAGAGACTCTTAGTGTCTTTCAACTTCAAGTCCCTTTCCCAGGCCCAGGTCAGGGGATACTGGAATGTGATGGAAACATTGGACTCTTCAGACAGACAGATACGGGTTGAGGTCCCACCCATCTCCTCACCAGTGGTGCTAGACTGCTCTACTCTTTGAAAGGAAACAACCTGACTGATGGAGGCAGAGGGGAACCTCTGGAACGAGCCTGGATTGTATTCAGTCTCCGAAGAGTAGTCTGAGGGATACGGCTGGAGAGTGGATGGAAAAAAAAATCAGTGACTTAGGACCACAGCTTACGTCATCCCTGGGAGCTGCCTCCTGAGGATGCTGCTGCTGTCAGTCTGCCCCTGCCCCCTGGGCATCTGGAGGGATGCGGATGTCTCAACTCTCTGGTCACTTGTTCCAGATTTAATCTTCGCCCCAGGTTCCTCTAACCAACCAAGGTAGAACCAGCTCACTACCAGGGAGGTGGGCTCCCAAGGCATCCACCGTTGAATTAGAAAAATGATAGCCTCTGACTTTGGCTATGCAACATGAAAAGGCTGGGCCTGATTGTTCGGATTTCTGTCCTGCCCAGCCCCCCAGCTGCTTAGCCCCAGAGAAAATGACACAGAGGACTCCGTAAGTTATAATGCTGATTGGCCCATTAGGTCAGGCTTCTTACTGGCTAACTCTAATGTCTTGATTAACCCATTTTTCTGATCTATGTTAGCCATGTGGCTCAGTACCTTTTTCAGTGGGGCAGCTCACATCCTGCTGCTTCAGTGATCTGGGCAGAAGTGGGAGGAATCAACTTCCTCCTCCCCAGAATTCTCCTGCTCTCTTTGCATCATTTCCACTTCCTGTCTGGTTTTCCCGCCTACACCTCCTGTCTGGCCAATCAGCATTTATTTAAAACATGATTGACAGAATACAAACAATTCTCCCACACCATGGCTAGGCTTCTGATTAACTGTAATTACTCACAGATGTTCTGTTTACCTCCCCTACTGAACACATGAGGGAACTGAGACCTGTAGAGTGAAGTAAGCCTCTTGGAATCACACTTGCAGGGGGAGACTAG